AAGTCTCATCAATAATGGTTTGGGTATTTTAATAGATAATCCGTTGTAGCATGAAGCAGTCCAGATTGTTAATTGTGAATTGTCTTGTATCACTAACGAGACGCAAAAACACAGGAGTCACAAAATATCGGCTTAATCCTTACTGATTGTTCTTTAAATCAACACTGACGTGTTCAATAGTTATTTTAATAATTAATTTGCAGTGGTATGAAGTTCAGATTTATGTTTAACCTGTTTGTTGACAGGTTCCTTTTGTTGAGTGTCTCTAGTCATAGGCGTACGAGCTGGGAAAATTTGGGCACACAATATTGTACTTTGTAAAAGTTGTATAAAAAAATATTGCGTTCTTGAATGTGTCCAATTTAACAGTGAATTTATTATTATTATGTAACATACTAAGAACATAACTACATTTTTGGGGCACCAACCACCCCCCCCCCCCCAGTCAAAAATGTTCCCGTACGCCTATGTCTAGTCATAGACAGGAACTTACCACATTGTTGTTGAAATCTGTAATAAACAACAACAATCAATGGTGGCTGGTAGTGGCCATGTTAAATCTCGCCCTTTTCACAACGCACCAACACGACACCACGACAGTACGACAGTATTGACGCAATCACACGACACTGCTTGTCCTGTTATTTTGATGGAATATCAAGTGATACATATTGTTATTCATCTGGTATAAAGAGATTGTCTAAGGTAAGTCATGCTACCAATGCTGTTGTTCTTAGTGTGGGGGTTGGATGGCCGAATGGTTAGCACGCGCGCGCTGTATCATACGGTCTGTCATTGAGTCAACTGGCGGGGTTTCGATTCCCCGGTCCTACGTGACAAGGAGTAGGGTCGCCTGTCCAACCTCGTGGGTTTTCTCCGGGTCCCCCGGTTTCCTCCCACTGCTAAAGACCCCTGCGCGCATGCGAATTATTGAAATAAAATTGAACCATGTGTTAGTCCCGAAATGACCTAGTTTGTGTCGAGTGGACGTTAAACCCCATTTCTCTCTCTCTCTCTGTTCTTAGTTTTTAACGTCCGCTTCCACCCAAGGTGATATATCGAAGACAAATTGTCTTATTTTCATTATCTTAGTTAATCTATAATATACAGCGAATATCTTTATATTTTTTACGTATTAATACAAAAATAGTACTCCTCATCACCTCACCATTATCACAAAATTTACAAAATCTGTTATTTCTAACAACACCTACTTCTATAAATACGTTATGGACAGATAAACGGATTTTTGAAATACAATTAGCATATTTACATGGAATGGATTTGGTCAAATAATATTACAACTGAAATGCTGATGTTAAAAAAGTGATCCTGACAAAATTTGTTACTAACTTACCGCTAAGTTAGCTGACTTTCTAATGGGAAATTAAAATGAGAAAAAAATCTTGAAAACTGATCCTGACAAAATTGGTTATTTCTCAACATAGTAGCACTAACTCACCGCTTAGTTCGCCGATAAGACTTTCTTATGGGAAATTAAAATGCGAAAAAAATCTTAAAAATTGAACCTTACTGGTTATTTTCCGTAACGGAAAAAGTTAGAAGCAATTTTTAGATATCTACAGAATCGTATTAACCATTCTATATGTTGGATGGAATTAAATACCATAATTTTAAAGGAATATTGAATAACACTCATTTGAAGAAGATATTTGTTTTGAAGACTAAAAATACAGATGTTGTCAAAATGTTGTCATTTCTAACCCATTTGTAATGTATTCTTAACGTTTCAAGTCGAAATCTTCATAAATAAAAAGGTTACGCTCGGAATTTTCACTCTTTTCACACTTGAGCTTAAAATTGGGCCATACGCATGTGTCGTAGAGGCTACAATGTCTGCAAATAAAAGTTGAGAAATACAAACAGCTACAAATTGGTAAAACACGCATTAGTTGAAAAACAAAAAAGTTTTCTTTGATTTCTCATATTTGTCTATTGATAACATTTCTAAAGTTTTATTTATTCATTCACCTTTTGAACTAAATACCTTTCGGATAGTATAGAGTTTAATTCTGTAGAATATGTACTTTTTCCAAAAACGCGAGGGAAAAAAATAATAGGTAGTATGAAAACTAATAATATTCCAAACAAAAACAAGATGTTTTATTATAAAAACTAATAATTCGAACAAAAACAATAGTGTTTCACACAAGCTACGCAGTGTGAAACCCTAACACGCTACGCAGTGTGAAACCCTAATAAGAATAATTTTAACAAAAACAATAGTGTTTCACAAAAGCTATACGCTGAGTGAAACCCGATTAATAACCCGAACAAAAACGCAGTGTGAAACCCTAATAATAATCTTAGTAATAACAATAGGTGAAAACCTAATAAATAAAATGACATGGGGTTTAACATCCTACCGTTCTGCTTCGACTGTGCCAATGAAGACGGGCATATGCCATACAGTGCGCTATGGGGAAAATTTTGCTCGACCTATTCTTATATCGAATTCCAACTGTACACAAGATCTCGGTTTTTCTTCCTTTCCGAACGTTGTCCCTTGCCAGCCCCCCCCCCACCCCGTCCTGTACCACTAACAGGGGGGAACCACGCGGGCCAATCCCGATAAACTTTCTCGGCTAACACCGGGATCGAACATGTGTTATGCCTACTCATTGAGGCACCGTGGTCCTCAACAAAACAATAAACATTGAAATAATACTTAACACAACATTATGTATAACAATCACTAGAAACTTTAATAGTGCAACGTTTCAACAAGTCGGCCTATCGTCTTATCGGTAAACAATAATATAATACAAAAAGCTCTGAGTGGACATATATCAAGCCACAAAGACAAGAATTAAAAAATAAAAGAGATCAAAGACTGTATAAGTGGAGTTATAACTACAAACCAGAGATAAATAAATTAACTCTTAGGTAACTACCACTCAGAGCTATTAGTTGGGCTCAAAGGTGGTTAAAGAGAAAAGAAAACTATTTTAAGCTTACAAATGAATACATGGGCTACAATTTAACGCGTGACTAATCAATTAAAGCATAGATGTCGTGAATGTACTAAACAGCAAAAAAACCCCCAAAAAACCCAAAAAAACAAAAAAACGTCAGTGCGATTTCAAAATCATTCTGTACACAGTCTATAAATCCGTATCTGGTGTGTCCACTACGAATGTCAATTACAGCAGCGCTGTGTCTGTACATGGGGTGGACCAGGCGATTGATGAACGCCTTTGGCACCTGGAACCACACTCTCAGAAAAGCCTGGCGCAACACATCGGCTGTTAATAAGTCTCCTCTGAATTTCATCCCAAAGATGTTCAATCGGGTTTAAGTCCGGACTAAGGGCTGGCCAGTGCATAACGTTGACACCGCTCTGCTGTAGAAAGTCCCGAGTAACTCTGGCGGTGTGGACACGGGCGTTGTCATGCTGGAAAACGTTGTTTCGATGACGTGCGAAATGTGGTATGAAGAGGGGGAGGGAGGTCTGAGAGCTTGATTGATGAGCGCACTGCTGTGATGCCGCCTCCTCTCCCTGGCCCTGGACTAAGATTTTGGGGCACCATAGGACCCACTCTCTGGTTCAGGCCGATTCCGACCCAAACCATTATGCTTGAACCTCCCATTGAGTCTCGTTCCATGCCACATTGGTCAGAATAACTCTGGCCACGTCGACGCCATATTCTGGTCCTGCAATCTGCAGTTGATACGCAATACCGACTCTCATCTGTGAACAGAACAGTTCTCCATTGCCTGTGTCGCCAGTTCTGGTGCTGTTGGGCAAACTGTAGACGTTCACGTCGATGGCGAGGGGTCAGGATCGGTCCACAGTAAGATCTACGGCATTGGATGTTCTCTCTGGTGAGACGTCGGCGCACTGTATCGGTACTGATGGGTCTTCCGTGTGTTCTCACTATCTGACGTGCTGTTTCCAGATGCCCGCACAAAATGGCGGTCTTGCCTGGGGCCAGTTTGGGAGCGATCATCCCTGGTGTTGGTGGCCCGAAAGCGTTGCTGAAGCCTGTAGATGGTCCGAACATTGACCTGTAAGTGATTGGCAACGGCTTGGGCAGTGTGCCCAGCGTCGAGTCTTCCAAACGCCTGGTTTTTCTGAGCTGTCGTGAGTCGTGGCATGCTGCTGACGTTGAAGTGTGAATGATTCAACCAGGTATGGAGTGCATTTTATAGGGCTGGTCCTGGTGAACAGCACGTGCAGCATGAGTTACATGAAAATCATGGAGAACATATTACCATCTCAGAAGTCAGGCTGCGTTTTAGAGAACATTTCCCGGGTTTAAGTCTATGTTTGGGAAGGAGCCTTATTGCTCGGGTAAAGTTTGAGATGTGGTCACAAATATACAATAAAAACATTTGGCAAGTTTTATGCAATGCGTCTATTCAGAGTAACATACCAACCTGACATTTCTTTTGCTGCTCAGTTTAGGTAGTAAGAAACGAAAATCATAATCACAAAGATGACCGCATCATGACCATCAAGGCACAATTAATGAATTAAAATGTCATAAGCCCCATGAATGTGAATTCCATCGTCGCGGTTTAGTTTGTGATGGTGTCTCTTGATGTGTACTGTTTCCGAAAGTTTACGCACTTTTTTGTTATGTATGTTGCAGGCTAAGGTTTTCACACTATCCCATTTTACTTTATGGTTTTGTCTGGTTTAGGCTGATTTTCCATTAGTGTTTACCCGTATTTTAAACCAGTTTTTTTATATTTCACCTTGTCGGCGGATATGCTAAGATGTTTTGCCTATAAATGTTATGGTAACACGTATTTCATGTTTTTTGCCAGTTTGTGTTTTATTGGTGGTTTCGTTGGATGAAGAACTGGTCGAATTACTTGTTTCACTAGCTGTTGTGGGTATTTATTAACGAGACACAGCGATTCTTGGATGTGCTAGAGTTCCTTTCTAGATAGATTGGGTGACAGATGTTGGTTGCATGGTTTATTAATTTTGAAATGATGTCTGCATTTAATAAAAGCTTGAATTATTAAATTTATGTCAGTTTCTCGTGGTGTTCAAGTGGATAATTTTTTTTATACTGTTTAACGTGGGTTTTCATCTCTTCTAGTTGATTCTCTAGATGTTTCGGTAAAACATCGTAAACATCCTCAAACATTTCATCGAGACTAGGTCGCTTTCTGCTTTCGGCGTCAGCAAAAGCTCTCATGACCATTTTATGAGATTCTAACTTCCATTCCTTTTCCATTTTTTCATCCCAGATACCATTATTAATCATGTAATTTTGCAAACGTGTAATGGGATTTTCTTGTTTATCCCAATAGTTTACTTCCTCTACCGATCTGTAGTCTGAATTGTCATGCGCGGCACTATGATGACCAATTCTGTATGTCATAGCTTCAATGAGTATAGGTCATTTTGGGCTACTGCTATTTCGCGAGCTGATTTGACAGCATTGTACACAGCAAATATATCATTTCCATCTAATCGAACTGTCATCATACCATAGCCTACACCACGAGATGCAATACCATCCCCTCTATATTGATCTTCAACAGGTGTAAAAATAGCATAACCATTGTTCCTACAAAAGAATATCACTGGACAGTCTAATACAGAAGCAAAATTAAAAGCTGCATGGGCATCACCTTCGGATGTTGCACCATCTCCAAAATAGCAGATCACACACTGTCCATTCTTCGCTCTCTTTAAAGCATAAGCTGCACCAGCAGCTTGTGGCATCTGTGTACTTATGGTTGAAGATATTGTTACAAAGTTCAACTTCTTTGTTCCATAATGAACAGGCATTTGTCTTCCTTTACCAAGGTCATTAACATTACTATAGCACTGATCCATAAATTGGTCAAGTGTAAACCCTCTCCACATCAGAACTCCAGCTTCTCTGTACTGCCCAAATACCAAATCTCTTGGATCCAGGGCCGCAGCTGAACCAATATGTGTGCCTTCCTCTCCATAATTTGTCATATAAAATGATATTCTTCCCTGCCGTTGAGATTCATACAATACTATATCCATGGTATTCAACAGTGTCATATCTTTGTACATCTTGAGGACCGTTGAACTGTCTAATTTGGGATCTTCACTGTCCTCTAGTATTTTACCATTTCGTCCCAGCGCTCTGTATACAGGAATGCCTTTTATGTTGTCTGGTTCAATAAATTCTAATTTACTGACAAACTCTGATTTTGACCCTGGAAACTCCGGTCTATCGTCAAATTTTGAGGTGCCATTTTCCGAACAAGTGATGGAATTGATTCTGTGGAAGTTGCGCTTACCAATGAACCGAATTCCCGATGAATTGAGGCGAAAAGAAATAGAAATTAATCCTTGAACCTGGCGAACGACAGACATATTCTCACATTGTATAAGACCGTTCTTGATTTTCGTATGAAGCCTGCTCTAACGAATAGTTAATGCAGTGGACCAAGGCCTATGTTACCTTTTAGTAGATGGTGACTGTCGTATTTTCATAAGAGTTCAAATTCCAGATTTTTTTTAGATACTTTCAGAAACCAATGAATTGATTTCTTTGTCGTGTAAAATTAAGAAATTATTTTTTAATTTTAATATTTAATGATATATAAAAGTTACCGATAAAACGCCGAAAATGAAACATAAAGTCAATTTTTTGTTTAAAATGTTGATTTTGTGCATGAAATGTTGACATAAAAATGTAGAAACAAGAATCATTAGTTTAGAATGTTGCGTTCGTGTCTAAAATGTTCAAACTGGAATGTAGAAACAAGAATCATGAATATTGTCCCATTTGCACACTGAAACATATTAACTTTGTATTATACATATCGGGCAATAAATAATTAACCTAGAAATTAAAAAGGCAGAAAAATCTTAAAAAATGATCCGGACAAAATTATTTATTTGAAGGCCAAAAATACAACTTTTGCCAAAATGACATTACTTCCGGTGAGAATGGAAAAGTTAAATGAGTTTGATGAAATCCGAAATGGCATAAGGCATCACAAGGTTAATATTTGATTCAAAATCGAATAATAATGGACACTTTTAATTTATAAAAAAAAAACCTTGAAAAGTGACCAGTAGAAAATGGTCTATTGCTCTTCAACCGTTCGAGTTAGAAACCATTTTATGGTATCTGTATGACTATATTGGTTCATTCTATTTGTTGATTGGAATCAAACAATATTATTAAAATACAGATCTATACTTCGTTTCGTTGATTTATACTTTCGACGGCTACATGAAGATCTGCCCGGGTGTAGTGATAGGTCGCGTCAGGCGTCGTACGAGCGGCTTTTGACCCTATGACGCCAGACATTGATTAATCAATCAGCAGTAACACACCGTTTCATTGGCTTATCCCCCACTTAAATCAAAACACCGGTAGTATAACAACTCTTCCAGATCCTAGTGTACTAAAGACAAGTAAAACGACATTTTGAACTGTAAAAAACGAAACGAAATAGGATCTGTGTTTTAATCAGATTGGGAATCAAGTATCATAATTTTAAGAAAATAACAAATACATGTACAAATAATTTGAATAAGAATTCAGTTATTGCCCAAATGACATCACTTTTGATGACAGTGAAAGTGTTAAAATGGTTTGACCTATTCAAAAGTGGCATTAGGCATCAAATGGTGAAAGAAAATTGAAAATCGAATAATAATTGATTCTTTTACGGGCAAAATAACGTGTAATGTGACTTATTTAAAATTGCCTATTTCTCGGCAACTGCTGATATTTTGACATACATTCTCTTTGAATAAGTTATTGCTACGAGTTTATGAAAGTTATGAAGAAATATTTTAAAATATGATGACACTGGCTTGGTTGTAAATAGCTTAGTTTTACACATTTTTTCACCTTTTAATCGAAATGACCCGAAAACGAAATAGAAATTTAAAAAACCCAATCAGATGTTTTGTGCGCCTTTACTTTACAGGGCACACCCTTTCAGTTTTACCAGATTAGAAAAAAATAATATTTGCTTTCAAAAGGTGGTACCTAACTGTCAAAATTGTGTTTTGGGTAAAAATACGTCACTTCCGGTGGTGATCGGAAATGTTATCGGTAGCAAAAAAAAATATAACATTTGCGACCAAGGGGCATATGAACTTTGTTTTATACAAATCGAACAATAATTAATAATTATTAATCTAGGACCGCAAAACTAAATTCGCCAATGGCACTAACACAAATTACTTACTGAGACAAAAATCGTTCACATTTTTTCTCCAATATTATATATTGTCATTGGCGTACTTATTCAAATATGTATAATTTTTTTTTACACTTGTGACGGCGTTAAGTAGTTTTTTTTACACTTGTGACAGCGTTTAGGAGCATAATAGGTCTGACTATTAATTTTATTCGTGCAAATCAGTGAGGTGTTACAATAGTTACACAGAAATAGAAGATGTTAATACAACCGTAAGAAAACGCGTTTGCGACCGTCAAACTTTCCAAATTTTCTTCTTTATTTTATTTTATTTTTATTTGGGAGGGGGGGGGGGGGTCTATACGTCGTCTGTAACCCGAAATTTTTTCGGGCAAATCAAGTTCTGCCCCCAAACATTCATCGAGCCCGTACGCTTAAGCCAATGGCGGCTAACACAAATTACTGCGACAAAAAATCGTTCACATTTTTCTCTTGTTCGACGAGCGTTTAATCATTTGTAAAATATCATCAATAAATATTCACAAATAAAAAAGGTTTTTTGTACAAATTTTGGCCTAATATCTGCAAATATTCGTCGAAAATCAAAAATCTAAAGCACCGAAGCTGTGTGCCCTGTCTGGGGCTGTCAAAATGTATCATATGTTAAAATCCAACTATTATTGTTAATATTACGGGAATATTTAAAAAAAACGACAGTGTTGGTGATTTCGGACATTTCGCATTGTCGCAGTACGTCCAGAATAGCTTTAAAACCTAAGTCAAACCCACTTTCCAAGTATAACCGAAGAGATCGAATCCATAGGCGTACGGGCTCGATGGCAGTTAAGGGGGCAGGGGTTAAAGACAGCGGCGCGGTCTTCCTCGAGAGGCGAAGAATCGGAGCTTACCTTGTGTAGATCCCCCCCTCCACCAAGAAAATTTTGGAATATCTGACGGCTGCAAACACGTTTTCCTGCTATTTCAGCCCGTGAACAAAGCAACTTCAAAGTGGTCTAATATAGGCCTTCAAGATGGCTGGCTCGACTTCCAATCAAAAGATCAATCGTTTACAGTCCACGGAGACGGGACCGTTGGGAGAAAATTTTGAAAATTTAACCACCACAAATGCGTTTTCTGCTATTTTAGCCCGTGTAAGCAACTCCAAAAGTATCCAATGGTTTTGTAACCGAAATCCCATTCTGAATTCCAAACATCTAATCAGACTGTTGCAGCTGCATTCACAATGCCTGAAAAATGTCGCACAAAGTAGAGTGGCTCCAGACAAAATGTTTTAATCCATAGTCAACTCAGTACAAATTCGTGGTATTCAATTAAAATAAAAGTAAAATTAGTGTTTTATTAGGGCTCGATGACAGTTAGGGGAGCAAAACTAGAAATGCCCCAAACATTTCAGGTTTACAGACAGCGGCGCCGGTTTTCTTCGAGAGGCGAAGAAGCGGAGCTGACCTTGTATGGACCTCACCCACCAAGAAAATTTTGGAAGATTTGACGGCCGCAAAAGCGTTTTACTGCTATTCCAGACCATAAAATTAGTGTTTTATTAGATTTCGGGCACTTTATTTGGCCAAGTAGATGAAATAATTTTTTTTTCACTTTACCCGTCTGCCCGAAAAGTCAGCTTGCCCGAAAGTTAGGGGGGAAGCTGCCCCCCTGCCCCCCTGGCTCGTACGCCTATGATCGAATCGACCCGACAATTAGTTTCTGAGATATGCTCAAGTGGAAAAATAATGATAACTAGAACTGCGACGCAGTAGTGGCGGGTTTCACTATTGCCACTATACCCTTTGATTTTATGTCACTTCCGATGCCTCGTTACCTTTGAACTTATGTCACTTTCGGTACCAATGAAACCGTTAAACAAATTTTCACATAAGTATTGCACATGTTTTATAAAAGTGACACGGAATCAACCAAATCCAGCAATATGAGTTCCATTTATACATTTTTAACATTTTTTGTTACATATGTTAAAAAAGTGATCCTGGGAAAATTTGTTACTAACTTACTGCTAAGTTAGCTGATGAGACTTTTTAATGGGAAATTAATATGCGAAAAAAATCTTAAAAAGTGACCCTGACAAAATTGGTTATTACCCAGTAACGGAAGAAGTTAAAAGCCGTTTGTTTATATCTATAGCATTATATTAAATCATTCTAATTTTAAAAGAAATTTTGAATAACAACCATTTGAAAAAGATATTTGTTTTGAAGGCTAAAAATACAGTTTTTGTCCAAATGTTATCATTTCCAGTAAAAAATAAAAGTTGAAATTAGTTTTATGAAATCACAAATGGCATTAGGCATCAAATGGCGAAACTTTTATAAAATTCAAATAATAGTTAATAATTTTATGGACCAAAATCCGTAAAAATTTCTCCACAACCTTACATGTTAGAACCCATGATCATATGGGTTCATTCTAACACATAACAAATAGGACTCATTTGAAGGCTAAAAATTCAGTTTTGGGCAAAATGACGTCACTTCCGGTGTCAATTTTAAATTCTGCTCAAAAAGATATAATGCACATTTGCTTTATGCATTCAATGGTGTTACTTTTATGAAAATCCAATAATAATTGAATCTTTTACAGACAAAATAACGTGAAAGGTGACTCGTGCAAAATTGACTATTTCTCAGCAACTACTCACATTACAAACTAATTTCGGCATAGATTGTCTTCGTATAGATACATGCTACAAGTTTATTAACATTACATAGAAAATTTTTAAGCATGACAAAGCCGGTGCTCACTCGGGACTTTCTATAGCAGAACATTGTCAACTTTATGCACTGGCCAGCCCTTAGTCTGGGCTTTAACCCGATTAAACATCTTTGGGATGAAATTCAGAAGAGACATGATAACGTCGTACCGAGACCAAACAGTCTTTGGATTTCGCCAGGCTTTTCTCAGAGTGTGGTTCCAGGTGCCAATTGCGTTCATCAATCGTCTGGTCCACTCCATATAAAGCCACTGCGCTGCTGTTATTGACAGCTTTGATCCATTTGGTAAGTTGTTTTCTAGAATGATTTGATTAAAGTGCCTTCCTGATTTTGAAATCGTACTGACGTTTTTTTGTTGGTTTTTTTTTTTTTTTTTTTTTGGGGGGGGGGTGCTGTTTAGTATAATGGGTAATGTATACGTATTTATAAGATCAACGATAAAAAAATTCATTATTAATACTGTACATTTGGAGCATGATGTGATTTTTAATTTTTTTTAATAACCAGAAGCATTTTATGAAGGGTGTTTCACGTTTCACTGAGTGTTATTTTATCAAGATAAATCTAGAAATATCAGATAAATCTGTACATAGAATGGTCGCCTGATGCATGGACGTACCAACCTAATGAATGTTTGAAAATATATCTACAGCAAACGCGTTTACCTACTAGATCAGCCCGTGAATACAGATACTTCAATGTCGTCCAATATAGAGTATCTTAGGTGACTAACCTAAATCCCAATTCCAAAACAACCAATCAATCGGCGCGGGGTATTGGGGGGGGGGGGCTCGGTTGAAATTTAATCGCAACAAATGCGTTTTTTTGTGATTCTAGCCCGTGATTAAAGCAACTTCAAAGTTTTCAACCGAAACCCCACTCTATGCCAACCTGAATTCCAACCACCCAATAAGACTGTTGCAGCTCTATTCACAAAAAATAATCGATGCCCGAAAAATGTCGTACAACGTAGAATGACTCCAGGCAAAATGCTTTAATCCATTGTCAATTAGGTTTCGGGCAATTTGCCAGCTAGATGAAATATTAATTTTTGTTTTCTCTTTACCCGTCTGCCCAAAAAATAAGATTGCCCGAAAGCTAGGCCCGCCCCGCCCCGAAAGCCCCACCCCGTGGCTCGTACTCCTTTGGTTGTGAGGGTCACGATTAGTTAATTGAACAGTCGATCCTTAATTCTCAAAACTCTTTCCCTATGCCCCTTATCTATCAAATTTTTCATTGCTATCAGTTATGACCAGTTAAAACAATTGGTTGCCATGCACAATACACCCACATTTTCCAAGAAATGTATCGGAAAGAGGTAAAATTAATAGGGTTCATCCTCTCATTCAATTTGCTACTTAACATATTTGTTAAGTTTCACCAGAATGGGACAATTGTAGCTCCTCTGTACCGCCTAAAAATTCATACATATTTCACACCTTGCGTAAAATGCAGGGGATATAGCTCTAGAATCTGAGGTCTGCTGCTTACCAATAGGTTAAGTTTCATCTCATAAATTGGACAAAAACTGTAGCCTCAGGAAGGTCCACAAACTTCATTCTTATTTCACATTTTACGTAAAAGGCCGGAGGCCAATACGCACCAGAATTAAACTCAGCCAAGAGCTAGTGATACTCGTTTTAAGTTCATCTAAATCAGATAAAACTTCTGACTTCTAGATGGTCCACAACCTTGGTATTACATGCTTTTATACTATTTGCGTAACGGAGGTGGCCATTTGATTGAAAGTTACGGCCCGATTATCAGGAAATTCGGACTCCACCATAATTATAGTGTAACGGTGATAGATTTGAACGGTTTTGAAAATAAGATAAAAAAAAAAGGTGACCTCTGTAGGGTTCACAAGCTAAAGACGTGATATTTCGTAAATTAGGGATCATGATCCAGAAAGTTACGGTCCAGTACGTGCCAATATCAAAAGGAACCAGTCTTTAGGATATATCAAAATTTGATGAAAATTCGAACCTCTGGCCAACAAACTGGGTTTTACATACCGTTAAGGGTAGCAACCATTTTATCGGACAGTTTCAGTCCGATTTTCACTAAATTATAGTGCAGTGGTGATGTATTTCAACGGTTTTTACAATTAAATAAAAACTGTGGGGTCTAGAGGGTCCCCAAGCTCAAAATGTCGAGATCTTTCGGTTATAAACATACATTGTCAGTTTCATCCAAATTGTATAAAAATTGTGATCTCTAGAGTGTCCACAACCTTGGAATTATTAGGCATATGTTTGTCAAGTTTAGCATCGCAGGAAACCGCAATCGAATGTCCTTGCATGGTAAGGGATTTTATAAAAGAAATATAATTTCACTTCATTGCTGAGCAATTTCATTAGCCAGAAAACGTCTCTAGATCACCAGGATAGTTTATATCTACATTCAAGTTAAACCAACTGCATCTATTCATTTTAAGTCTTACGTGGAGCTGAATAAACTATCTGATTTATTGTCATTAAAACATCTATGGCTGGTTAACAGTGTGTACCTAGAATTTTCTACATAAAGTCTGTGGCATATATATAGATATTAAAGAGAAACCATGTTGTTCTGGGTGAGTCTCTTTTATGCGCACTTTCTTATCAGTGGGTGGGTAGAGTTTACGGGTGATGATCACGGTTTTGATGTCGCCGGATTCAATACTGATCTGTATCCATGATAATAAATATTAAAAATGGTTGGCAAAATTTAATCCAAAATGCCCCGAATTTTGCAATATGTCTTATTTATGTGTTTTGTGATTGTTGAGATCAATTCTGATCTCAAAATTATTTTTCAAGAATTCTTATGGTAGAAATTCATAATGGCTGGCAAAATGAAATCCAAAATGGTGGAATTTTAATTAGTCGTCTTTTTCTCGTTGGGTATGGCTTGTGATATGTGGTATATATGGGTTTGGTGGTTATTGGTTTCTATTTAAAAAAGAAATATGAATGGACCAAATGGTGTAATAAGCAATTTGATTAGCCGAGACTTTGGAACACAATAACTCTCCTTCTAATTGAGCTAGAATGTTCAAACTTGGTGTAGGCGTTCATTAGGCGAATGCCTTGATGGAGTTCGATGATGAACATTGTTTGCTTATGGTAAGCAGGGATAAGCAATCTGATTGGTTGATGCTTTGGGGCGCGAAAACATTAGTTTTAATTAAGCGAGAGTGATTGAAACGCCGAGTATAGATTCATTATATCTTTACCTTGACTAAGTTCGATGGTGAGAATTTTCTGCTTAGACTAAGGAGTTATAAGCAATTTCATTGGTCAAGACTTTGGAACATAACAACACTGCTTTTAATTGAGGTAGAATGTTTAAACTTGATGTAGATGTTCATTAGGTGAATGCCTTGACTGAGTTCAATGATTAACATTTCTAGCTAAAGCTAAGTAGAGCTAAGCTTTGGGGCAAGATAACTTTGATTCTATCTGATGGAGAGTGATGAAAGTTAGTGTAGTTGATAATCAGTTTGATTGCTTGATACTTTTGAAAAAAATGTATGTGCGATTAATTAATATGTGTCATCTATTTACTTTGGGATTTCGGCGGGGGACATCAGCCTCACTGTTGGCTTGTTTTCATTATCTTAGCACATGAATAGATAATCTGTGATGGTCATTTATACATAGGGCCGATATAAGTAAATCCCAATCCTGTGTAGCCATCTTCAAAGCGATTATCATAGAGTATTTTAACTCGATAGTTGAAACCACGTTCAGATGGTTATCTGATGAGTGAATTGTTATTTTTGTCAAATGAATCAGTTGTTGTTTTTATCAAAGATAAGTAAAAGTTGCTCAAATATATTGTTTTTGGCCATTATGACTAACTTATTTGACCGTTATGACTAAGGTGGGGCCGTTTTGACCAACCTGTTTTGGACCGTTATGGCACAGGGCGATATTTGCTCAATATGTTTTGGCCATTATGACCAAATTATTTGGCCATTATGATCAAGCTTTTTGGCCGTGATACCCAAACCTAATGGCCGTTATGACTAAAGTAGGGCCGTTTTGACCAAACCTGTTTTTAGCCGTTATGGCATAGGGCCGTAATAACTACATCCGTTTTGTCAAAATTATTTCTATTGGTTAATTTCTAGGTCAATTTCAAGATGTCTGCGTCCATGTGTAGAATGTCAACATTACTATTATTATTTTTACAGGACTGAGTGATCGTTAGTACATGTATTAGATGTGCTTGTGCAAGAAGAGTTTACTTTTATTTATAGCACACGTTAAAATTAACAGGGTCTACTTTCGCTTTTGAGGTAGAATTGAAAATGGTGATGAAATAATGAAGGTAAGAATGAAACCGCACTCTCTGGAGTTACTGAAGTCACAGTCATAACAGTGCCATAGAAATGGTTCCACTACTGGTGTCTTCCGTCTTACTCTAGCCACAGTATATAGTGAACCGTCCTAAGGCCTTCCTTTGAGCAATTCACTACAAAAAAGTTACTGGCCTATAACTCCCTTAATTTCCAATAACACTGACCCCAAACTGTAGGCCTACTGTACGTAATGAAATGAAATGAAATGGGGTTTAAAGTCCTACTGTTCTGCTCCTAACCTGGGCTAATGAAGACAGGCATATGCCATACAGTGTGCTATGAGGGAAATTTTGCCCGGGCAGCGGCACTATCGCCTACTCTTATATCGAATTCCAACTGCCAAGGGATCTTTTACGTGCAATTCCAATGTATACACGGGACCTCGGTTTTTCGTATCATCCGAAGGACTAGACAGCTGTCCTTGTCAGGCCCTCCGTCCTGCATCACTGACAGGGGGGAACCACGCCGGAAAATCTGGATGAACTTTCTCGGCCAATGCAGGGATCAAACACCCGACCTCCAGGCTAGCGAGCCAGCGCCTTACCCACTTAGCCACGTGGTCCCCCCTACTGTACGTAGCTTAACTTAATAAACCAATTCCCATTGAAATAAAGGTGAAACCTTACCATATAATTATGTGATTTGATTTAACCCAACTGCTATATGAAATTTCTGTGGAGTTTAAAACGGCCGTGGAACCAGAATCGCGGGGTGTCATCTCGAGAAAACAGAAAAACTGTTCGGTAAGATAAGATTATGATTTCAGTTTTCAACTCTTCACTATTTGTAACATAATTGCTGATTTCCATGCAAACTGTGATGATATGTGTTGAAAAGTTTGCAATTGAACCTAATTTTATTTGCTCAAAGCCTTGAATAGTGTATCGATTGCAGTCGTAGATAAGTATTGTCACAGATAAAATTTGGCGCTAGTCACACGATAGATAATACCGTATTATCTATGGTCACACAGTCCTGACATATCTTGTTACGCGGAATTTAACCCACAGTCAACAAAACCCCATTATTAGGGCTATTTAATTTATCACTTGAAATGGGGTTTAACATCCTACTGTTCTGCTCTCACTTTGCTAATGAAGACAGGCATACGTCCTACATGATACCGTGTGCTATGTTGAGGAAAATTTTGTCCCGACAGTGGTACTACGAACTACTCTTGTTTTGAATTCCAACTGTCAATGGTTCTTTTACGTGCCCACCAATGTGTACACAGGATCTCATTCCCTTGTCCCATTCGCATGACTATACATTGTCCCTTGCCAGACCCTCCGTCCTGCACCACTAACAAGGGGGAACCACACCGAAAAATCCAATGATCGAACACCAGGATCGAACACAGGAACTGATCTTCTTATATCAAATTCCAACTGCCAGGGTTCTTTTACGTGCACATCATTTTTTCGACCCATTCTACAATTAAAAAGATTTCTTCTTTTAATCAGAATGTGGGTCATCTATATTGATATTAGATTCATAACAAATATTCATTTTTTGCTAAGCTTCATATATAGGCTCCTTTTTTAGCTCTTATTTTTATTAGTAAAATAATGATCATTCTTTTGCAATCTGTCATGTTATCCTTTTTATACGCCCACATGGAAATGTTGTCGTATATTGCCGTCGCCCCCATCCGTTCGTCTGTTGGTCCATCCGTCCGTCCGTCGTCCACAATTTCTTGTGAACACTCTACAGACTACATTTATCATCTGACTGTTTTGAAATTGATATATGCTGTTTGCATTAGTGAGATGAAGAAGCCTATTTAATTTCCGTTAATTTCTTCTGGAGTTATGGCCCTTGTTTCACTTTGTTGCATCTTGTGAATGCTCTAACGACAAAAGTTATCAACCAATCTGTATGAAATTTATATGCATCATTTAAATTAGTAAAATAAAGATGCCTATGGAATTTCAGCAATTTCCGTTAATTATGCCGAGAGTTACATGTATGGGGCCCATGTTTCACTTTGTTGTACCTTGTGAATGCTCTAACGACAAAAGTTATCATCCGATCTGTTTGAAATTTATATGTATGGTTTAAATTAGTAAAACGAACAAGCCTATTGAGTTTCAGCAAATTTCCGTTAGTTACATCTAGAGTTATGGCCCTTGTTTCACTTTGTTGAATCTTGTGAACGCTCGACCGACAAAAGTTATCACCCAATCTGTATGAAATTCATATGCATCATTTAAATTAGTGAAATGAAGAAGCCTATTTGAATGTCAGCAATTTCCGTCAATTACTTCTAGAGTTAAGGCCCTTGTTTTAATTTGTTGAACCTTGTGAACGTTCGAATGACAAAAGTTATCATCCAATCTGTACGGAATTTATATGCATTATTTGAATTAGTAAAATGAAAAAGCCTGTCGAATTTCAACAATTTCTTTAGATTACTTCCAGTGTTATGGCCCATATTTTAGTTTTTAGAACCTTGTGAACCCTCAAACGACGAAAATTATAATGTCATCTGTTTGAAATTGTCTATTAAATGCCCCTAATTACCTACAAAAGAATAAATATGGAACAAACCCCTGTCGACCTCTCAGACGATTTAGCTGCTGTGGGTGTATGTTTTGTTGCCTGGCAACCTATCTTATTTTTGGTCAAAGGAATAATACATTTTTGTTATTATTTATTTAGAGCCAATGATCTGTTTAACTTAATCATTGAAAGAATCAACAAAATGGATTTGCTGAAGTTGTATGAGAATGACTCAGATTCTAATTCCAGTGGTGATGATCTTGGACCTTCGGAAAAAAATGTGAATGATAACCAACCACAGTTACACAGTGATTTTTTTTCTTTACAAGAAGATGATGAAAGTGGCGTTTCTGTCACTGACTATTCTTATACTAAAAACATTTATGTGAACGGATTAGAAATTGAACTGCCACAAAGCTCATTTTGGATGAGCAAAGATTCTTCTGCGCAAACTAATTCCAACAAGAAGATATCCACAACAAAATCTATTTCAAAAGATGAAGAAGATACTTTCTCTACAGTTTTCCTAAAGACTGTTTCTGATGTTAAAGTTACTTCCTCACAGAAAAAAGACAAAAATGTGTTACTAGGACAAATTTCTGATAGAGAGTGTAAGGTTTTACCAGTGCAAGAATGTAGTCCATTTTATAATACAATGTCTAATAATATTTTAAAAAGGAGTGCTGATTTTGACATTATTCCAGAAAGAAAAATTATTAAAACTGTATCGATTAGTGCCCCAAATACCAAAGAGATTAATCCAAATAATAAAGAAAAACCAGAACGAAGAAATATTTTTTTCATCCATGGAAAAATTGCTCCTTTATTGAATAAAACATTCCAATATAAATGTCCTCATAAAGTTGAGAGAGAATGGGCTGGACATAATCAAGCCATAAACAGAATTTGTTGGAACAATGCCAATTATAGTCATTTAGCCTTGTCTGCATCCATGGATAAGACTATTCAAGTTTGGAATGTGTGGTCAAGTTTTGATTCTTGCGTTCAAACTCTGACTGTTCATGATAAAGCTGTAAAAGATGCTGCCTGGGATTCGTCTGGTCAAAAAATATTAAGTTGTGGCTATGACAGATCATGTGTTTTAACTTGTGTACAGACAGGTAATATTGTCCTTTTTGTGTATCCGGTGTGGTTCCCCCATGTCAATGATGCAGAATAGAGGGCCTGGTAAGGAACAGTGTATAGTCGATCGGATGGGAAGAAAAGCAGAGGTTCTGTGTACAGTGTACACATTGGCGTGCTCATAAAAGAACACTTGGCACTTGGAATTCAATATGCCTCAGGGGGTTGGATGGCCAAATGGTTAGCACGTGCACGCTGTATCATAAGGCCTGTCATTGAGTCAACTGGTGTGGTTTGTAATCCTCGGTTGTATGTGACAAGGAGTAGGGTCGCCTGTCCAACCTCGTGGGTTTCCTCCGGTTTCCTCCCACTGCCCCTACGCGCAAGCGAATTATTGAAATAAAATTAAACCATATGTTAGTCCCAAAATGACCTAGTTTGTGTCGAGTGGACATTAAACCCCATTTCTCTCTCTCTCTCATTATTAGAACAGTCCGAGCAGAACAGTAGGACATTAAACCCCACTTCATTTCATTTCATATAGTGAGAACTGCCAACTGGTTATCTAATCTCCCATAATGTATCTTTAAAGTTACAATTTCATATTTTTAAGTTATATTTTTAAAATGTATTAAAATAAAGCCCTAAAATAGATGGTATCTATAAACAGTCCTATCTTGTTAAAGAATAATCCTATTAATCCTATAATTTACTATTGCCAGTTGAGAAATTGCCAAAAATATCATTTTCAACTTCAAATTCAAACATTTGAAGATAGCTATTCCATGGTGGGGAAGAGGAAAACAAGGGAGGTAATTGTGTTATTATTTCCGCTGCGGAAATGTGGACGTATATTGTCGTCGTCCCTGTCCGTCCGTCCGTCCACAATTGTTTGTGAACAGTCTACAGGTCACAATTTTTATCCGATTTCAATGAAACTTGAAATATAGGTTTATCACCCTAAGATCTCGGTTCCTCTCGATATTGGCATGTATCGGACTGTAACTTCATAGATTATGGCCACTGATTGTACGAAAAATCACGTTTTTAGCTTGTGAACACTGTAGAGGTCACAATTTTTATCCGATTTATTTTAAAGTTGAAATGTATAATTGATTTTGGTTCCTTTCGATATTCGTGCATATCGGACCGTAACTTCCTGAATTATGGCCCCTGATTGTACAAAAAATCGCGTTTTTAGCTTATACCCTATAAAGGTCATAATTTTTATCCGATTTAAAAAAAACGTCTTATTATATCACCGTTAAACCCTAAGGCCAGCTGAGTTCGAATTTCGTGAAAATCGGCCCAAAACTGACAGACAAAATGGCTGCCGTTCGTTCTCAAATAGCGTAAAAATATGGTATATCAAGGTTGTGGACCCTATAGAGGTCACAATTTTTATCCGATTTTTTTGAAACTTGAAATGTAAGTTTATAACCCAAAGATCTCGGTTCCTTTCGATATTCGCGCATATCGGACCGTAACTTCCTGAATTATGGCCCCCGATTGTATAAAAAATCACTTTCTTTTTAGCTTGTTATCTCTCGAAAATGTGGGCGTATCCTGCCTGGCAACCGCTGATTAAGTGTGAGAAAGATAAAATAGAAAGCAAAAGACATAGAAATAATTATGGTTTGACTTTCTTAGAAAATATGAAATTGTAACTTTAATTGGATTAGTACATTATATGTGTGAATTCCATGTACATGCACTAACACGAACAAAAATGTCAAATTTAATTTTATACCAGTACAACTTTGAAAATGTATTTGTATGTTTCAGGTAGTGTTATAAAAAGACTGGATCATGATGGCTATGTATTTTGTTGTAAATATCATCCATGTAACCCAAACCTAATTATAACTGGATCAACCAATAGAATATTATCATGGGATTTACGAATACCTGATAATCCAGTCTCACAGTTTACTTATAAGGACAAACTTGGACAGGTATTTACATGTAACAGTAGGCCTACTATAAATTACCTGCATGAATGACACCCTAGGTCAGACTGCGACCATGGGTAAAATTTGGTAACATTATCACATGGGGTAGAACCATTGCCCTGGCAACATTATCACACTGAATAGAATCACTGGCAACATTATCACACTGAGTAGAATCACTGCCCCGGCAACATTATCACACTGAATAGATTCACTGGCAACATTATCACACTGAATAGAATCACTGGCAACATTATCACACTGAATAGAATCACTGGCAACATTATCACACTGAATAGAATCACTGGCAACATTATCACACTGAATAGAATCACTGGCAACATTATCACACTGAATAGAATCACTGGCAACATTATCACACTGAATAGAATCACTGGCAATATTATCACACTGAATAGAATCACTGCCCGAGCAACATTATCACACTGAATAGAATCACTGCCCTAGCAACATTATCACACTGAGTAGAATCACTGCCCTGGCAACATTACCCTCTGAGTAGAAACACCATTATCATCTAAAATAGAATTTTTGCTCTAGTAAGATTATCACCTTGCCCTTATAAAGTTACCTCCAAGATAAAACCACTGCCATTAACAATAGATGGGACAGCTATTGAAATTGACTTTCTAGACAACTCTGTTCAAATGCTAAATTAAAACTTGCATTGATTCGTGAGGTCAGTGGTGGAACCAACTATTGTCAATTTGATAGGGTATAAACACGACTAACTCTATCCTTTAAAAGTGATACATGTTCATTTATATGTATATGTATTTGGAAATTTTGTCATTATCAGAATTATTAAAACATCGTCATAAACTGAAGTTTTTATTTAATATAATAAAGAAATGAAAAATGAAATGAAATGGGGTTTAACATCCTACTGTGCTAATGAAGACAGGAATATAATAAAGAGTAACACATTGAAATGTATATATTGAATGATAATTACTGGTTTTAAACATGCAATATTTCGAAGACCATAAACCAGTAATTAGTTTATATATTATAGTTTTCATTGCGATAAAATGAATGTTAAATTACATGTATCTTCTTTTTTTTACCAGATCCAAGATTTATTGTTCAGTCATAATGGAGAAACTGTATTCTCATGTAGTGATGTTGTAACCCAGAATTCTTCCGATAAAAATATAATGGCATGGGATTTTAAAACTACTAGTATACTCTCTAATCAGATATATGAGGTAAATCTTCGTCATTAACTAAATTAAAGGAGCCAAGTCTTTAACTCAGACAGTATCATCCACAGTCTTCAATATTGCAAACATGACTTATTGGTCAATTTAAATCAACATTGATGTTGTTATCTTACCGTGAAAAGTTGGGCTTCTAATATCCACTATTTAAGACAAACTGAAAATGTTAAAATTGGTACACGAATCTCGTGCCAGAATGCTTTTCAGCGTCAGTTGTATGAATCGACTCGATGAACGAGGCTAAATGTATCCCATGTAGGAGAATACTATCGGTGTTAACTGGAATAACCAGACGCCAACGACTGCCATTCAATTTAGACTCTTCGTGTATTCCAAAGAATACAACTGATTAGAAATTACCGTTAAAAACAGAAACGATTGAATGGAAATGAGTTTTTATACGTTCATATTACAGTATATGTGTCGTGACCCATTTGTGTTCATTTCTAGGTGCCAAAGAATAGCGATTTAGCTTCTTCAATATAATCCTTGAATGGCATTTAGGGATTGACCACAATAAAAAATACAACATATTTTTTATGGAAATCAATCACTGATTTGTTTACATACATATATACATGTAGCATGAATTTCGATAAGTATTCTCTTATCGTTATCAAGCATAAAAGATCATAATGCTTGATAACGATAAAAGAGAATACTTATCGAAACATCGCGCTACATGTATATATGTACAAACCAGTGATTTTATTTTCATATTAATTGTTTTGTGTTTTTTATTTCCAATTTTGATCAAATATTAATGGGGGTTGGCAGGTCGAATGGTTAGCGTGTGCGCTTGCATCATAAGGTCTGTCATTGAGTCAGCTGGCGTGGTTTTCGATTCCCCAGGTGTACATGACCAGGAGTAGCATCGTCTGTCCAACCTCATGGGTTTTCACCTGATCCTCCGGTGTCCTCTAACCATTAAAAACCACTATGCGCAAGCGAATTATTGAAATAAAATTGAACCATGTGTTAGTCCTGAAATGACCTAGTTTGTGTCGAGTGGACATTAAACCCCATTTCTCTCTCTCTCTTTTAATCAAATATTACTGCAGCTAAAACTTTAGAATATTTTGATGTGTATGTTAAGCTAAAATTTGCCTCTATTAGAGTTGCCTTTCCATATGATTACCTAATTTGACCAAGTTTGTAAAATGTAAGAGGTTTCGATCAATCCACACTTCAGCCAGATTTAATCGGATGAGGAAAAGGTCAGCTGAAAAAGGTTGCGCTTTAAATTTAATTTAACACCAAATAAGTATAACCCACACAGTGGCCACACTGCAAGTCATAAGAAATAAAGGATCAGTGTGTGTTGGGAATATTGTAAGGAATAAGCTTGAATCACTGAATGGTAAGGTTTAGTATGGGGATAATTGCTACTTGGAACAGAGAGTTGAGTAATGAAAAGTAATAATTTGTTTCTTAATCTTGATAACTGATTAACACTTACTTTCACTCACTGTTCCTAAATTATGAAGATAATACACTATAAAAATGAAAACATGGAATTAGCAAAATACTTGAATTATCTGATTACATTATGTGCACTGACTGTTTTAAGAGTTATCGTGATAGACAAGTCTAATGTGCCCACTGAGAGACAAGTCACAAGTGTAATGTCCCAATGATAAATGATTTAGGAAAAGGGGAGATAACCCATGTGTTTAAATTTGCAAAGCGCGTTTTTTTAGCCAACTTTTCTGTTGTAGCAAAAATATTCCATAACAAATATTAGCGAACCACAGTCATAATTTCAATCAGTAATAAACACTATTTTTATTAAATAGAATTATCCCCTGTCCTGTTAACCGTAGTTTCATACATTGTTTTTAAACTGATTTTCAGGAACGGTATACATGTAACCGACTAAAGTTACACCCACAAGATGCCAACTCCTTTCTCGCACAATCACAGGGTGGTTATATCGCCATATTCTCTACAAACCGGCCATTTAAAATGAATAAATCAAAACGATTTGAAGGACATAAGGTAGGTAATATGGATGTTTTTATAATGGCTTATCTCTACTCTAGATATATATTTACAGTGATGTAACAATATCCCAAGTTGCAATTCAGTTGGCATGGCGCAAACATGGCGGACTTTCCCAACCTCACATAAAAAGGTTATTCTTGGCCGGACGGTTAATGTCGGCGATTATGTACACACGCCAACATTGGCTAAGTGGGTAAGAGGCTGGCTGGCTAGTCTGGAGGTCGAGTGTTCGATCCCTGCATTGGCCAAGAAAGTTCATCCAGATTTTCCAGCGTGGTTCCCCCTTGTCAATGATGCAGGGTGGAGGGCCTGACAAGGACAGCTGTCTAGTCGTTCGAATGGGACGGAAAACCGAGGTCCCGTGTACACTGTCCCTTGACAGTTGGAAATCCATATAAGAGTAGACCGTAGTGCCGCTGTCTGGGCAAAATTTCCCTCATAGTACACTGTATGGCGTATACCCGTCTTCATTAGCCATGTTCGGAGCAGAACAGTAGGACGTTAAACCCCATTTTATTTCAGTTCATATACCGACATTTATCATCAGTTGCTTTATATTGACTATATTTTGTTTTTCAGCTGCTGGGTAGAAATATAGGATTTGATATAAGTAGTGATGGTGATATTGTTATATCTGGAAGTTGTGATAAAACATTATATTGTTATAGTTATAAAACTGGTAAACCCTTTAAAACAATAGAAACTACACTAGATTATACTGATGTAGCTTTTCACCCTGTTCTAGCCAGTACGGTATTAACATCTTCATGGAATGGACAGCTGGAATTACTACACTAACAATGTGATATGTAGCAAATAAATTTAAAGACAATATTTCAAGTTTTATTATATTCACAAATTGTGGCATGTATGTTCTAAAATTTCAGAATATTGTTCACAGACTGTGGCAACAGCTTATGGTTTCATAAGATTCTAAAAAGAGTACGCATAGTCCGTTGGCTGTATCGGGCTCCCCGAACAAAAGATGATGCGCATGGCAATGGCTACTTGCTGCTTCACTTATTTGTTTATTAGTTGCGCATTTTAGGTCACTGTCAAGAAGATTACATATATATATATGACTTTTTTTCAAGCGCCGAGAAAGTTCATCCAGATTTTCCGGCGTGGTTCCCCCTTGTCAGTGATGCAGGACGGATGGCCTGACAAGGACAGCTGTCTAGTCATTCGGATGGGACGAAAAACTGAGGTCGCGTGTACACATTGGCATGCACGTAAAAGATCCCTTGATAGTTGGAATTCGATATAAGAGTTGGAATTTCCCTCATAGCACACTGTATGGCGTATGCCAGTCTTAAAGGAGCTAAATCGCTAATATTTAGGACCTAGAAATTAACCCAAATGGGTAGAAACGCATATAATAATGTAATCTGATTGTATATAAACTGATTTACATTCAATTGTTTCCTTTTTGACTCTAATTTCAAATCAGTTATGTCCAGCGAAATACAGCATATGTCTCAACCCTATAGCAATTTCTAGCGTCTGGTTATTCCAGTCTATTAAGCAGGCTCTCCAGTTGAATATGTCTAGCCTCGTTCTTTCTGGTCACTTGTTGCAAATGACACTAAAACGCACTATGGTACACGATTCGTGTACCAATGGTAAAATGTTTATTTTGTCTTAAATATTGGATATCAGAAGCCTGCCTTTTCCTGGTAAGATCACAACATCAATGTTGATTTGAATTGACAAATAATTCGTATTTTCAACGTGTAAGACTTTGGATGATATTGAGTTAGAGACTTAGCTACTTTAATTATCCCAGTCGGAGTAGGACGTTAAACCCCATTTCATTTCATTTCATTTTTTTTTTCAAAAATGCGTTAAAACGGTGTACAACGAACCTTTGTCGTTAAATATAACGATGTGGTTAAATGATTTAACCACATCGTTACATTTAAAGACAAGTTTAATAACTGGGCCCATTAAACCGACGGCTTTTACGACCAATTGGCCCATATCTTAATGCTCCCCAAATCACTGATTTGCTAAATAAATATTAATCTTTGGTGGTCTTGAATGTCATGTTTATCTGGACTTCGCATAATTCGGGACAAAATGGGGCGTCACACTATAGCAATTCGCACTATGGGTATAAAATCCAAAACGCATAAAAATGAAGGCTGTCAAGCTCGATCCCATGGCCTGTATATAATTATTTTGTACATTTATTGTTTAAATTAACACTGTTTAAGACACGTTACTTTTCATGCGACTTTGTGATGAAAAATCCCCACAGGTCGTTAGAAGCTAGAACGAAGGTATTAGGTAAGCATTTAGTAAAATTGACTAGTTGATGGACGAAAAGCCTGTAGGCCTATAGATAGGAGGGCAAATCTACCAAGCCCGTGTCATACTCCATGTTCCTTAATAAAAATCTAAATGTTCCAACGTGGTTTACTTTTGTCAGTGGTTCAGATTAGAGGACTTGACTATGAACAGCGTCTAGTTGTTCGGATGGAACAAACAATGGAGGGCTCGTGTACACGTTGGCGTGCAGAGAATTGATTCCTAAATTATGGGTTGAAATTCGACGAAGAGTATTCGTAAACGCCGCTGTCCGGGCAAAATTTACCTCATATTGCACACTGCATGGCGTAAATTGCCCGTCTTCATAATTGGTCGCGTTCTTGCATTATCCGCATTTGTTACTATTTATGTTCTGGATTTCTTGTTGGTTATTATGTGCGGTTCGGATTCCATGCACTTTTTAATACGGAATACGGGAGAAATTATGCAGCGTTGTTGACGTCAATATAATCTCGCGTGACGTCATATCTGAATGACGTAACAAAGATGACGTCTTATCGTCGAATTTGAAGATGGATTCTATTATTATCATGGGATTGATAGTTTTGAGTCCATTGTACCAAATAAAAGAAATCGTTTAAGAGAAGATATTGGTAAAAATGGAACCAGCAACATTTCTGAAAGGATGTACTTTCTGGATAGTTGTATTGTCAGGATTAATATTACAAAGTCACGGTAGGCAACAAAGACATCAACATCGACGTGACGTCGTTTTTGTTGTTGACTTGAATCGGGTTTTAAGACATACATAATTACATAACACTAGATCTAGTGATCTACCTAAGAAAAATCCGAATTATCGGAAAAGTAAGACATATTTTTTCGAGTTCTAGACCGGAAATGTTTTACCGGAAAGTCGGAACAAATAGACCCGAGTTTTCGTCCTCCAGCGACATCATTCTCCAGCAGCCGAGCAAAGTTTAAGATCTGAATTTATTGACATCATGTAAAACGAAAATTAATAATTCAAATCTAGATCTAGCTCTATTTATATTTATTTATTGCATAATAAAACTAAGTAATACACAATGTTGATCCGGATTTATATTATAAGCCCACTTTCAAGACTGTTCCTTTGCCTTTAAAATCAAGTTTAACTCCTCTGACCTGTATGTTTTATGGATGTTTTGTACAAATTGTATCTGTAGCTGAAGGTAAGCGTGTCGGGCCTGGAATTGTTCTGTACAAAACATATATTCTCCAATCTGTTAAAACTTGGGATAACAATTATATTCTATGTGGCTTTGATTGACAATGACAATTGATAATCATCGTGCCGGCCCGACAGTGGTCGTGGAATGGGCCTCCAATCAGTTAGGCCTATAGAATAGAAATTATACGGATTATGACATGAAAGTGTAGTTAGTCCAGCCTGTTCTCCCACCACTCCACCGGTGTCATGCCAGTCAAAAGTAGCACCGGTTGGTCTAGAAGCCTACTATGTCAATATTATTTATGAATAAATTCGGGAAACATTACACAGTCAGGCTGCTAACATATGCTAGCCTATAGTATAATATGGTCCAGTACATGGTAATATAACAGTTTCTTTAGTTTTCAAGTACAGTGTTCTAGTAAGATCTAAGTAATATTTTGTTAAAGGGTCAATTTCGATTATATTTTGAAGAATAAAACTACTTAATTTTGTGCTAAAAACCGTTAAAATCCTCTACCTTAGGACCGAGCAATTCACCCAATATTGGCAATATACGTGATACGTTTTCAAACAACTTAAACCCGCCAGTCTTCGTCTGAAAATGGAGACCTGTGTCCCAACCTTAACTATACGGTGTCTGGATAGAAGCAGACTTTTATTTTATAAAAATAACGTGTAGGTGAAATTTACCTTCGTTATCAAGTACAGCACGCGGGTTATGCACTGTATAGACCTCTAAAGGAACGACAATAGATTATCAGGTCGTCCAACGAAATCTTAAAAGGGTTATGTGTCCGGATAAGCAGTTTTGACGTTCACGCCCGAACGACTCTATATTTTGAGCTGATACCATTCCTCTATATTTTGGCGCTTAAATTTCATACGTACGATACACAGACTTTTATTGCTGAGACACTCTTGAAATCGGGTGGTGACTTTAAGTAGCTAGACCAGTAATTACAATTGTAATTAGGGTTTCACACTGCGTAGCTTGTGTGAAACACTATTGTTTTTGATAAAATTATTCTTATTATTATTCTTATTATTATTATTATTATTTTTTTCCAATTTGATTGTATCTCAGAAACTACTTGTCGGATTGATTCGATGTCTTCGGTTTCACTGGAAAAGTGGGTGTGACTTAGAGATTAAAGCTATTTCGAACGTTCTGCGACAATGCGAAATGTCCGAAATCGTCGAATTTGTCGATTTTTGAAATATTGCCGTAATATTAACAATAATCGTCCGATTTTAACATTGGATACATTTTGACATAGCCAGAGACAAGGCACATAGCCACGGTTCTTTAGATTTTTGATTTTCCACGAATCGTCGGAGGTATTAGGCGCCAAATTTTGAAAATTTAAATTTTTACAAAAAACTTTTTTATTCATGAATATTTTAATGTGGTATTTTACCCAGGGTTAAAGACTCATCGTAAATTTCCTTGACCCCCATTGGCTAATTCAGTTTTTCAGTCCTGGATTAATTATTTATTGCTCGATTTGTATAAAACAAAGTTCATATGCTCCGTAATCCAAAATGTCATTTTTTTTGTTACCGGTAAAGTTACCTTTCGGCAACGGAAGTGACGTAAATTTAGCAAAAACTACAATTTTGACAGTTCGGTACCACTTTTTGAAAGCAAATATTATTTTTTTCAAATCTGGTATGATTTCGTTTTCGGGTCATTTTGATTTAATGGTGAAAAAAGGTGAAAAAATGAGCTATTTACAACCCATTCAGGCTTTTCATATTTTAAAATATTTCTTCGCAACTTTCATAAACTTGTAGCATTAATCCATACGAAGAGAATCTATCTCAAAATTAGTTTGTAATATGAGCAGTTGCCGAGAAATGGTCAATTTTGCATGAGTCACTCTTTACGCTATTGTGTCTGTAAAAGAGTCAATTATTATTGGATTTTCATAAAAGTGACACCATTTGATGCATAATGTCAATTGTGACTAGTTCAACTCAATTTAACATTTTCCATGTCACCGGAAATGACGAAATTTGGGTAAAAACTGTATTTATAGCCTTAGAAACAAATAATTTATTGAAATGAGTCGTATTTGTTGTTTGTTTAATATTTTGATATTTGATTCTAATCAACTAATAGAATGAACCCATACGATCATATAGGTATCACAAAATGGTTTCTAACTTGTTTAGTTGTAGAGAAATAGGTAATTTTCAAAAGGTCACTTTTCAAGGTTTTTTGTCCATAAAAGTGTCAATTATTATTCGATTTTCATGAAATTTTCACTATGTGATACCTAATGCCATTTACGATTTCATACAAGTAATTTAAGATTTTCATTATCACCGGAAGTAACGTCATTTTGGCAAAAACTGTATTTTTAGCTTTCAAAACAGATATTTTATTCAAATGAGTCTGAGTTGTTATGTTTTTAAAATTATGATATTTGATTCCAATCAACAAATAGAATAAACCCATACGATCATACAGATTCCAGAAAATGGTTTCTAACTTGTATGGTTGCAGAGGAATTGACGGTTTTCTACAAGTCACTTTTTAAGGTTTTTGGTCTATAAAAGTGGCAATTATTATTCGATTTACATAAAATTTTCACCATGTGATGCCTTATGCCATTTCTGATTTCATAAAACTAATTGAATATTTTCATTATCACCGGAAGTACTGTACACTTACATGTAACAAATATATAAAATGAATTGATATTGCTGGATTTGGTTGATTCGGCGTCCATTTTATTTGATGTGTGCAATGATGAGGTGGAAACCTGTTTAATGGTTTCATTGGTACCGGAAGTGACATATGTTTAGGGTAACGTGGCACCGGTGAAACCCGTCATTACTGCATCGCAGTTTTAGTTTTAACTTTGTATTTATGTTTTGGAGGTTTATTTTCAGCAAAAGTTAGTGATGTGATAAAGAAAGAAGGTGGAACATTAGAAGAATGTGCTAAATCTTGTATAGATGAAACAACTATAAAATGTCGATATTTTAAATTTATTAACAGTACTAAAATCTGTTTAATGTCAGCTATAGATCACCCTAACCTTAAAGAATATTTTCAAGATGAAACAATTTCGGGAACTTCAGACCAAAACTATAACTCGAGAGGTAAGTTACAAAACGACCACAAAATATGGTCAATTATAAAAATGTAAATTTCAAATGAAGTTAAAGGCAAACATATTCATTCTTGTAAACCCAAAATGATCGCGAATAACCAGGTAAGCACACGGGAAACGCTTAACCACTGAAACCCTTTGTTTTGAAAAAAAATAAGAATGGATTAAGAATACCTCCTCCACAGAAAATCATTATAGGGCCGGTCATTGCATAAAAAAATATTGTGTATTAAAAAAAAAAAAAATAGGACCGCAAATATATGATTATGTAGCAAATATAGATATGTTGGCCGAAAAAGTTTCTCGCTACTTTGCAGTCTGGGTTTCCCTTCTCTTTTTCTTGAATTCTCTTTTTTTTTTATTCTTTGACTTGAAATTTGTTTTTGACTTGAAATTCTCGTTGTTTTTTGGGGTTTTTTTTTTAGATAAGGTTAACAGAGAAATGAGAAAGATTGTGACCGTTACGAAGGAAGCATATGAAAAACAAAAATTACGACTGGAGAAATTAGTGGAGAGTATATCAAAACTTGAAAAGGAATATAACAAGATAAAGGTTGGATTATTGCTTTTATATATTGTTGAGCCACAGTTACCGACATTGAGGTCTTCTCTTCCTTCATCTTTATTTTTACATTTAATAAAGCCAGACATTAATTCACTTGATTTCATAGTTATGTTATGGTTTGTAATGTCTGTACTTTTCGTCTCGTTCACGTTTCATAACTCATGACTGCCATATATTTCATGTATGAGTACATTATTATTTTTTATTTAATTAATTATTATACAGTTTGATGTTTTATAAAATGAATAAACTAATAAATAATACTCGTTTTCTATAGCGCTAAACATTCAGTAATAGAATGTATGACTGCAATGTGACGCTTTACAATGTAAATATGATTATAAAAAACATACATGTTTATACAAATAAACAAAAGAATACAAAGGAATAGTCAAGTTACAATACACAAATGGAAAGTGAAGCATTTAAATTATAGTTCAAAAAGTTTAAATATAGCCAAGTTTGGACTATTTTGGACTTCCAGAGGCAATCTGATCCATTCTTTTGGTGCTGCGTATATATATTAATATGATTTAATTGAACTATAATTCATGTGTAATTTGTATATAAATAAGCCTGGAAATAATGCACGGGACACGAATATCGTCAGACACAAATTAAAGCTTTGCCAGGCACAATTTCTCTGGTGTTTTCATTTTATTTGGCATAGTAATGTCTTTTATCAATGTGTTTATTGATAATTTTAATACATATCCGGCAAAATGTTCAAAATATCAGTTATTAGTTCAGTACTCTAAGCGTGTGACTGGGCTTGATTTCAAAAGCCTGTTACTTTGGTGTCATTATTAATTTCTTGGCCAGCATATTCAACTGTACACTTTATATATTATTTTTATTGAATATTTTATATATATATATATATATATACATTACATATACTACTTTATATTTTTTAGACTTTGAAAGCGAACCTGGGTGAAATAACACAACAACTAAAGTTTGAAGAGAAAGAAAAACAACACGAGATGAAAAGATTACATGATGACCGAACTAATAGTAACCGAGCACAAAAACTTCTGGCAACAAAACTACGTGAAGTCGCCTTACAGTCCAGTCGTGTTAAATCGGAGTTAAGGAACATAAAAGATACACAGAGAACGTTTAGTACAGAAATAGAAGCTTTAAGAAAAGCTGAAAATGATATGTATGGTAATGTTGTTCAAGTAAGTGTCATGTTGAGGAACAGTCAGAATAAGATTAGAGTTTAACATGTCATTGGTGACGTCCACAAATTATTTATATTGGCCAAACATAACGTAACGCGCTCATCTTTATTCCGCAGAATAGAAATGTATTTGATTTACATATCCGCTGATACATCGAGGTTCAGGGCTTATCTAGCGTTTGTGTTTTGTTTTATTAATCCTCGTATCTTCTACTTCTAGTACCAATTTCATGGCCTTTGGTTTTGATATGCCCACATTTCCACGTGGGCGTATTTTGTCGTCGCCCCTGTCCGTCCGATTTGGACGAAACTTGAAATATAGGTTTATATCCCAAAGATCTCCGTTTCTTTCGCTATTGGCATGTATCGGACCGTAACTTCATGGATTATGGCCCAAGATTCAATTGTAGGAAAAATCACGTTTTTAGCTTGTTAACACTCAAAGAGGTCACAATTTTTATCCGATATTGATGAAACTTAAAACGTATGTTTATAACTTAAAAGGTATTTTTATATTCGAAAGATCTCGGTTCCTTTCGATATTCGCGCATATTGGACCGTAACTTTCTGGATTATGGCCCCCGATTGTACGTAAAATTACGTTTTTAGCTTGTGTACCCTCTAGATCTCGCAATTTTTATCCGCTTTTTAAAACTGTTAAAATATATCACGGTTACACCATGATGACGAGAGAGTTTTAATTTCATGAAAATCGGACCGAAACTGCTCGATAAAATGGCTGCTCTCCGTACGCAAATAGTGTAAGTATGTACGTAATACCAAGGTTTTGTACCCACTACAGGTCACAATTTTTATCCGATTTTAATGGAACTTAAAATATATGTTTACATCCCAAAGATCTCGATTCCTTTTGATATTAGCCCATACCGGACCGTAACTTCTCTGTCCATCGCTTGTAAAATGTTCGCGTGTCTTGTCTGGCAACCGCTTGTTCATGTAAGTAGCGAAATATTTTATTGGACCTTTTTCCTGTTGCCCCTGCCTTATACCTATCCTAAATACTGAACTACAAACTAATTCGCCATGACCAGGCCTTCCCGTATTGGAGAACTCTCTTTTAAACGTTTTATATGGAATGGCATATTGATTTTAACAGTCGATGTGATCAAGTTTTCATAAATTCCTTCTTGACGAGTAATATTTTGTTTCTTACAGATTAACCGTAAGACAACGAATCTTGGCAGTGAGTTGGGAAATATCAAAAATATGGATAGCGATATAAAGAATGAACTACTAGAAATGGGTAGAAATAGTCATAAAACAGACATGCAGATAGAGAAACTACGTAAAGATATTATTACTCGTAAAGAAGAAGAACTTTCGGTAAGCCAACTATATTTTAGAATACCACATGTGTCTTATAGTACTGAGGTACTACTACTACTACTACTACGACTACGATGACTACTTCTCACTACCTGTTACTACTTCCCTCGCAATAGAGTAATTTGAATGAAATTTTCAAATTATTCATTTTACATGGTCTATTTTCGAACTATTATAGCAAGAATGGCTAGCCCTTTATCCAAATCTTACATAATGTATCTTAAGCATTCTTTGGCACATGGTACCATGCTGATATATGCTGAAATATGCTAATAAGGTGAGAATACTGAAAGTCATAGATGCATGCAGTTTGATTTGACCATTGCCACATTGTACATATTGTCCATTATTAATTGGCCACGTACTATTGCAGTTGAAACCGGAAGTTGCTGGTGTTGAGAAGAACCAGAAGACCCTGGCTAAAGCTTTACAAGCGATCGCTCATAAAGTAGAGAAACTGGGAGAATATTTATCAGGGTTTGAGAAGACTGTGGACACCTTCTCACAGAAGATGACCACAAAGATAGAAGATGAGAAGGAACTAGCGGAAGCTGTTAAAAGTATCACGACGGCAATGAAAGAAATGAGAATTGATGTTAATAAACTTCTTAATCCACAGGTAGGCTAGGAATGTAGTTATTGAGTGAAAGACCCTTTCGTGGTACCAGTTTACACAAACTAACACATCAGTACAAACGACCGTTATGTTTACTAAAGTAGCGCCTTGACCCCGCTCTCAGCCTTTAGCTAACACGTTACAGAAAGCATTTATTGTGACCGTCTACTAGTATCTTGATATCACCTAGCTTGATAGTACCAAAGGTATCTTGGGTGGAAGTATGCCACAAGTTCTAGAATGTATAAAATATCCGGTTTTAATACCCACATTTTAGTTCATTACAATCAATGACATGGACGATGCTAATCAGTCTGGGGTCATTCCAAACATTTTGGGGTCTGTTCAAGAGTCTATTCCATTCTCGTTTTAAATTATTTCACTGCTAAGATAACGTTTTTAAGTTTATAAATGTGATACAGGACAGGGTTCTAAAACTTGCTCAGCTGGATTTGTTGATCCTGATTTTAGAGCGAAAACTAACAGTGTCGACTTTGATGGGTACACCACGAGTTCTATGTTTGTTTTTCAGTCGTCGTTAAATATGGAGAGATCTCAAGGTTTATTGAAGATGAAGAGTGATGTTAGTCTATTATCTAGTGCTCTACATCAACTACAACAGGATAATAAAGGAGAGAAGATGGATATGACTAATCTAGTTAGAGATCTAGCTAATGTACAACTCTCTAGTCAAGATATGAAGAATCAACTTGGTATTGTAGCTAGAGCCAGTAAACAACTACAAGCAATGACAAATTCTATACAAGAAGCAGAGGTAATACCATGTTTTTACTGCAAACCTCGAAATAAGTCGTGTGTCACAGGTGTTTTGTCAGGCACAACAATTCTCGGCACTGATTTATCTTCTTTTTTTTTTTGGTACTTTATTTTTCTTTTATTTTATACTTATTTATATGTTTTTGTACTTTATCTTTTTTTAGTACTTAATCTTTCTTTGGTACTTTTTTTTTCTTCTGTACTTTATGACCATGTATACACTGGCGTGCACGTAAAGGACCTCTTGACACCTTGATATCTGGAATTCGAAGAAGAGTAGGCAGAAAAGCCGGTGCCCGGTCAAAATTCCACCCTCTTAAAATGATCGATCGTGGTGACAAGACGTTAAAGTCTATTCCAATCCATTCAAGTACTATTAGTATTATAGTCAAAATTGTTTTTTGAAATACTGAAAACCCTTTTCAGAGGCAGAAACCAAGCGTTGTTGAAGTGGCTCAGATGCACAAAAGAGTTTTAGTAGCATTGAAAGCTATGGAGAATAAAGAAGCACATCTTTTAGATAAAGTGGAGCAATATCAACAAGCAGTGAATCAGATAGCAACCAGAGTTAGAGACGCACAGGAAGGAAACTCGAAAATACAGAGAGCCCAGTTTCGATATGACGAGTCTATTAAACAAATGGCAAATAAACTTATTGCCTTAAATTCCAAAGTTGTAAGTATGATTAAGTTGTTTTCTCTTGTAAGCTCATCTTATAAAGATGCATTATGTTAGATTTCGATACAGAGCTGACCGTTCTTGCTATAATAGTTCAAAAATAGATCCAATTTATCGTAAATATTTTAAATCTCACGGGCGTTCTAATCCATTTAAATCTCTGCCATCCGATGATCCAGGGAGTTGATTATGGGCTTGTCATGTTAATAAATGTTTAAATAATAATGTATATAACAGGGTCTAATCTAGTTTCAGCTGTAACTTAAATATAAAAATCAAGGCAATCAGGGATCTCATTCAAGGAAAATTAACCTAAATTAAATTTAAATACAGCCTTTAAATTAGCCAAAAGAGTTAACGTTTGTGCTATAGGGTCATTGGACTGTTAATAAGTTGCATTGATTTGAAAAAAATGTTAGTTATGGCGGACAAAGTCCCTGGGGTTTCTAATACCCCTTCTTTTTTACCTAACATAATAACATAAGTTACATAACATTTGTGAAAAACATTTGTGAAAAATGACACCCCCCCCCCCCAAAAAAAAAAAACCACCTGATACCACTTCTCATTATTTGTTGTATATTTATTACAATTCTCACCTATAATCCACTATATCAGTTTCTAATTTCTTAAATACGTCACCCATATTTACAGAGGCATTAGTCCTGTTATGTATGCAGGTTATGGATTCGATTGGGATGAGGGATGGAGTCGCTTGCCTAACCCCGTTGGTTTCCCCATACTTCTAAAGATATCTGCCGGCAAGCGAATTATGAATTGAAATACTGTACATGAACTCGTAAATGGGATTTGACCCCTCCACTCCATAATAAGCGGGTAATTTATTTCAATTAATAATTCGCTATCTGATTCTGTTAATACTAAAGGGATCTCGGTCCTCTGTGAGGAAATAGCGACACAAAGTTACATTTCCTCGCGTCTCGAACATAAATATCAGATTATGGATGAGCATGCATTCGTTCTCATTCTATTTGTTTATATTTTTCAGGAGGGTCTAAAACTGCCATTGAAGTTCAATGAAGGTAAAGGTGGTTTAAAATCCAAAGTATTAATAGACAAATTGGTAGATTTCAAGGACGAATTACATCAGTTAGAGGGAGCAGTTGCTAAATTGAAACATGTTTCCCCTGTGCTGAAACCCATTATAGTGCCAGAGACAGAGAGCAAGCCCTTGGAAATATCCCCTGTGCCGAAACCCATTATAGTGCCAGAGACAGAGAGCAAGCCCACACTAATATCCCCTGTGTCGAAACCCATTATAGTGCCAGAGACAGAGAGCAAGCCCACAGAAATATCCCCTGCGTTGAAACACATTATAGTGCCAGAGACAGAGATCAAGTCCCCAGAAATACCCCCTGTGCTGAAACCCATTATAGTGCCAGAGACAGATAGCAAGTCCCCAGAATTATCTACAATTGTTAAAGAAACTTATAAAAGGAAAGAACAGGAGCTTCCTACACCAAAAAAAGTAAAACGTCCGCTCGATTTGTCAAAACCTCAGAAACCACAAGGAATACCACAATCTAGCTTAGAAACAATTCCCCAAATTAACACCGAACCTTTGTCTAAAACCGTTTCAAACCTATTGAAGAAGCAGAACGTATCTCTGACGACGGAAGCCAACGAGTTGAAACAGATGAAACGACTAAAGAAGGGGCGGCGGAGGGGAAGGCGACGAAAGGGAAGGCGTCGGAAGGGAAATCGGCCGAGAAAAGGGAAACGTAGAAGGAGGCGTAAATTAACACCCGAACAGAAATTAAAAAGAGCAGCACTTAAATTAACAAGAAAAGGAAAACGTAAATTTGGAAGAAAAGGTAAATTAGGAAAACGGCGTCGACGAAGAGGTAAATTAGGAAAACGAAGACAAAGACGTAAATTGCGTGATGTGGTGGAAGAACAATTGTCAAAAGAGGGTGTTAAACCATTAATAGCCAAAAAAATGAGTGACGTGGTGATATAAAAGATGCCAGATATGTTTTCAATGTATTACGTAATAACAGTAATTTTTGTTACAATTTGTAAAAATAATACTTTTTCGAGATTAGAAGTCTGGGAGTGAAGTAAAGCCATGTAAAATAACTCAAAAACTTGTTTTGAAACCTTTGATTAGGGTTTTATAACGTGGAAGTATCAGTGAATTTGTTGTGATCTTGAATATATGAAATAAAGGATTTTAATTCTTCGTTTTTATAATATGGTAACCTGCGTCCGTTGTCCGACCACAATGTAAGATTTTGGTTTTATAAATTACAGGGATTAATAATAATAATAATATTAAGGGTTCTTATAAAGCGCTAAACTCCAAACAATATTGTTTGCTCAAAGCGCTAACAAAGTTTACAGGAAACAGTTATAAATATGAACACTGAAACAAGTAAGTTTTGAGTTTTTGTTTGAAGATGCTTAAAGATGGAGCAGTCCGTAAATGTAGTGGCAGAGATTTCAATGTATGTGCTGCATTATAGGCAAATGATCTGCCGCCAAAAGTTTATTGGGTCATAGTGAAAAACTCATCCAGAAAAAAAACAAAAACACCACAAGGACATTGCACCAAGTTAGATTTCAACTGACAAGAAAAAAATTGTTTATGTCAGTTTAACTAAGATGATATAGTATGTTATGAATATTAAATCTACAATAATTTAAATAATGGGATAATCCACTGAACAAATGGTGGCACAACATACATTTAGGGTCATTAACGGGATCATTCCAGACTCCACAGGAGCGCATTAGTATAAGTGGGTTTAAACAGCGGGCACGAACAGAAATCGAAAGACTATAACATCTTTTTGAGCATTACAAAGATAAATTACTAAAACTTGAATAAGGGATTGCGAAAACAAAGTATATTTAATTTTCTCCTTTCTTGGAGATTAAAATTGAACGAAACTAAATTAACCAGATGACCCCAATTCATTTCTACGAAATACGGCGCATAGAGATGGGATGCGGCGTTATAGCTGACAAAGAAATTGTATCTGTTCACATAATTTAAAAACGTGAGGTCCACTCGTGTATACATTTGACAGTTGAAATATATACATTAGCCTGAAAATGGCCTAAATAATATGTTAAACCCCTTCCTTTCCAATATCATGAATTTTAAAATGGGCTTACCAGGTACCCTATGAACAGGTAATATAGTACAGTGTACCATAAAGCTCTGCACACACAGCCAACAGTAAGCGCAACCTGCCTCATTTTGTGCCCAGGAAGGCAACATGTTATTACAACGCATCAATTGTTTTTATAGATATTATAAAAATTACTGGAATCCAAAACGATTACCACCACATGACGCTGAATTGACAAGCTATCCTGGATCGTCTTAGCCTTTACCTCCTTCCAGTGGCTGGCACCTTTTATATTTTGTATTAGAAGTAGTTTGTCAAAGACATCTCCGGCGTTATCCACCATATTCTCACTCCCAGTAACATCATACGTCATGTGCCAGCGCTCTCTTAGCTAGAAGTTTACTAGCTTCCTCACCTCCCTTCACGATTTGTCGGCAGAGCATCTATGGCAGTGGCGACGCCAGCCGCCGGTGGTTAGAGGGGCAAATCTGGGGCAAAGTCCAAGGTTAAGGGGGCATGAGCTTCAACTAGGGGTAGGGGGGGGGGCTCCCTCTGAAAATTTTGAAAAACAGCTGCATTTCCGGCACTGATCGTTGAGTTAAAGTGTCAAACGAAAGGATTGTCGAACCTCGACGAAGCCCACTCACGAGCGTCAAAGTAGGGAGTCCTTACGGCGGATATGGGGGACCTCCCCCGGAAATATTGAAAAATAGACTGCCGAAAATGCTGTCTGACAGTATTCAGTCAGGAACCGATTTTCGAGATAAATAGATCTGACCAGATACCGTCCGTCGCCTGATCACTAGTTTTACCAGCAGATGACGAAACTCCGCTTACTTTATAACAAATATTATATAGTGTTAATGAACTCGAAATGAAATGAAATGAAATGAAATGGAGTTTAACGTCCTACTGTTCTGCTCCTAACCTGGGCTAATGAAGACGGGCATACGCCATACAGTGTGCAATGAGGGAAATTTTGCCCGGACAGCGGCACTACGGCCTACTCTTATATCGAATTCCAACTGCCAAGGGATCTTTTACGTGCACGCCAATGTAATGAACTCGAAGCAGCAGTTCTAATAATACATGTCTCTCTCTGGCTCCTACGTTTTTCCAGATTTTCGTTGGGTTGAACGCTCACCACCACAGACGGCGTAAAATCTGGTCATGTCTTGGGCCAAAGCGTGTGTGAAGTTAAAAATGTTGAGATACACAAATCTGAAGTATCATATACCAGTAGCAATGAAATGAAAATGAAATGGGGTTTCATGTCCTACTGTTCTGCTCCGAACTGGGCTAATGAAGACGGACATACGCCATACAGTGTGCTATGAGGGAAATTTTGCACGGACAGCGGCACTACGGCCAACTCTTATATCGAATTCCAACTGTTAAGGGATCTTTTACGTGCATTTCAATGTATACACGGGACCTCGGTTTTTCATCCCATCCGAACGACTAGACAGCTGTCCTTGTCAGGCCCTCCGCCCTACATCACTGACTAGGGGGAACCACGCCCGAAAATCTGGATGAATTTTCTCGGCCAATGCAGGGATCGAACACCCGACCTCCAGGCTAGCGAGCCAGCGTCTTACCCACTTAACCACCGTGATCCCCCCATACCAGTAGAATTCATGTAACTACATATAGATCACCGTATCAACCTGGGGGTTGGGTGGCCGAATAGTTAACGCGTGCGTGCTGCATCATGAGGTCTGTCATCGGGTCAAGTGGCGTGGTTCCGATACCCCGCTTGTACGTGACAAGGAGTAGGGTCGACTGTCTACCCTCGTGGGTTTTCTCAGGGCTCCCGGTTTCCTCCCACTCCTAAAGACCCCTACGCGCAAGCGAATTATTGAAATAAAATTGAACCCTATGTTAGTCCCGAATTATCAAATAAAATGAAAAAGCTTACACATCTTTTCATAGAAGTTCACGAATTTATAAATGTTTCTGGAAGGTTTAAATGAAAATTGAACAAAACAACACTTTTCCAATTTATTTAATATTCATATAGTACAATTCTAATATGCATACATCTGACCTATAAAAACGGGTAAATACAATTGACATATGGATTATATTAACAAATATAATAGCAACGGCTGGATGATAAAACGCAGGCATTTTAAGGTATAACGCCATGTATTTTATTTTGTAATGGAATGGAATAACGTTACGTCACGAAGAGTTGACGCCGCTGATTGGATAGTGAATAAAATAACAGAGAAATGTTGTCTGATTTGGTCCCATCTTGCATTAGGGTCGGTTGCTTTATCGATTTCGAACAGCAAATCAACTAGTCCAGGAAAACTACTTCCGGAATAGGAATCAGTACTACTTTGCGCCATTATCATATGCCTGTAAACCAGAAGATAAATACAATAAATACATAACTCTGGACTATAATTATATGCTTGTCGTTTATTCCCTTATATAAACCATCATCCGTAAATATTACCAATTTTACTATTTACGTTTTCTTATAAAACAATTCTTAATCTAGGTCAGTTACGAAAAACTTATGCTCACGTAAATGTATCAAGCTCTCGGCCCACCATAAACTTTAAAAATGTCATCCCGCGTGCAGACTAACTAATTTACTAAGCAAAAAGTTTGCTTCAAATCCTCTAAAACATTTTAATTGCAAGAAAACTACGCCATGCCACTAAAATCTTATTTTATCATCCTTGTTTGTTAAGTGAGTTGATTGAGGGGGGATCCATTTTCACCTTGTATTTGTCGTTAGTCGCTGTCCATTTACCATAGATATCGACGCCTAAGTAAATTCTTAGGTTATCCCCTGTCAACTTCTTTTTCCTCCGTTTAATCACAGATACTTCTGGACGTTTACGTCTCTCGATGCTCTCACAACCGTTAGGGGTTAGAATAACATATAAGGGGCGGCCTTATACATCACTCGGGCAGACACGCTGCCAGTTAGTGATACCCTTATATTTTGTCTTGTGTGCGCCCTATGGGTGTTTTTCACGGAATCCAGGGACACATATCGCTCGCTCAGCGCATCGACTTCCCAGAAGTAGTAATGACCCGGGAACGAGGTTGAGTGCCATATTTGACAATACGTATTGTTTAATGGTCGAGAGCGAGACATTAAGTAATATATTGTAACAACATGAGGGCCGTGAGGCCCGGATGTTTTTACAATATATTACGCAATGTCTTAAGCTCGAGATCATTAAACAACTTAAAACACAGACACTTGCACGTGCTTTGCAATGAAATACGTCACTCGAGTTCAATATTTTACGAAGTTACGCTTGGCACATTGCCCGTACGATTATTTGAAATAATGGTACTCCAACATCAAAGGATGACGTCACATCTGTATTTTAAATATAGATAATGGCCGCTTATTGTAATATAAAGGGATGGTTAAACAAACAATCCACATACTAACAATCCGGTTAGCGATAGAAATTTGCTATTAACGGGACCACTTAGTTTGCCTTTCACGTCCATATTGTAAACCATTGGCCAGTTTACACTTTGTATCTAAGTAATGTCCACAGTTCAGCGTTTGTGTTATGCATCTGCAAGAAATATCAGAAAAGTTAATTCGGCTTACTTTGTCAGATGCCTCCCAGGTAATCCAGCTGGATCTAAGAAAGTTCTCTCAAATAACATTAGCTGATCATTCACCATTCTGGTTAATAATGGACTGTATTGAAGTAAATAAAACAGACAATGAATACAGAAATTAAAGGATATGTGTATCGGCCTTGGATATTAATAAAGAAATTAAAGGGCAGTAGTGGATATAAATAAAAGGAATTATAGGACATTAGTGGATATAAATAAAAAAAATTATGGGTCATTAGTGGATATAAATAAACGAAATTATACGACATTAATGTATATAAATAAAAGGAATTATATATATACTATTCAAAAAAAGTAGGGGATATTTGATTTTGGGGGCATAATACTAAAATATGCAAATGACTACGAAAAAAGTCACTATAGAACCTAACAGAAGAAACATTTCCAGTTACATGTGACGCCCAAACGCACCAATAGCTACCGCATGGAATGCAGGTGATGCTTGGGATCATCATGGGGGTCCAACCCAAGATTTGCACGACTCTGACTTTGAATGTTACAGTCATTGTGGCATTGAATTCCAGGGTGGAAACATCAGTTTAATTGTTTTAGTGACCAGAAAACAAATTTTGATATGCGTCGGCTTACCCAAAATGAAAGGTTACGTGCCCTTGGCATGCTACAGATCGGCACAACACAGGCGGTTGTGGCGCGGACGATGAATGTTTCTCAGTCTGTCATAAGCAGGCTATGGTCCAGATACCGTGATACACAATCTGTACAGGACAGACCACGCTCAGGTCGACCAAGGGCGACAACTCAAGCCCAGGATCGATTTATCCGTACCTTGGCCTTGAGAAATCGTGTCATCACAGCAAATCAGATCAGCGCTCGTCTTCAAACAGACACTGGTGTGAGAGTGAGTGGCCAGACGATTCGGAATCGACTGCATAGGGGTCACCTTCGCGCCCGACGTCCTCGCGTGATCCCTTGTTTGAGAGATGATCACATTCAGGCAAGACGTCGTTGGTGTAGGGATCGTCAACACTGGGATAATCGACGCTGGAGCAATGTGATGTTTTCAGATGAGTCAAGGTTCACTGTTGATTTTTTTGACAGACGTAGGAGGGTGTGGCGTCGTCGAAACGAGCGCTTCCAAGACGTTAACGTCATCAGACATGATCGATTTGGGGGTGGTTCTGTTATGGTGTGGGGAGGCATCACTGTTGCTGGAAGAACAGCTTTACATGTTGTTGCAGGGCGTGTTACAGGCCAGTACTACCGGGACAACATCTTGGCAGTCCATGTTGTGCCGTTCGCACGACGTCATGGCCGCCGTTTCATCTTCCAGGATGACAACGCAAGATGTCACAGGGCCAGGATCGTTACAGGTTACCTCCAACAACATAACATCACCACATTACCTTGGCCAGCACTGAGTCCCGACCTCTCCCTCATCGAGCATGTCTGGGACATGCTTGGACAGAGGTTACGTCAACGTCAACAACGTCCTGCCAATGTCCAAGAACTTGCTGCTGCGTTGCAACAGGAATGGGACAATCTGGACCAAAATGACCTTAGACGTCTCATTAGGAGTATGCCACGTCGGATCAATGCTTGTTTGGCAAACAGAGGAGGATTTACCCGTTACTGACTTGGTTGTGATGCTGTGGTAACTTTGCTGTTTGACCCCGGGTATCATTTTACCCTTATAATGGTCAGTCTGTGCCTTACTTCGTCTAACGATCATTTGGAATAAATCGATGAATGTGAACTTCATTTCATTTTGTCATTTGTTTCTTCGTCAGTTTCATTAGGTGACTTTAATAACACTTAAAAATCAAATATCCCCTACTTTTTTTGAATAGTATAGGACAGAAATAGAAAAAAATAAAAGGAATTATACGACGGAAGTAGAGATAAACAAACTAATTCAAAGGATAAGCGCACAGACAAATACAATAATTATAAAAAGACAGATAAAAGCGGGGATCGTAAACATATTACCGAACGACTGTGCGACCTCGTGGGTTTTCTCCGGGTCCTCCAGTTTCCTCCCAGTGCTAAAGACCCCTACGCGCAAGCAAATTATTGAAATAAAATTAATACCATATGTTTGTCCCGAAATGACCTAGTTTGTGTCGAGTGGACAATAAACTCCATTTCTCTCTCTCTATTATTTTCTACATATTTAATTAGTTTGTGTCGAGTGGACGTTAAACCTCATTTCTCTCTCTCTATTACCGAACGAAGAATAATTTACAGTGTTAAAAAGCGCTGAAACTTACTCATTTTTGTTGATTGTTTTCACTCTTTCTTGAAATTTGGACGCCTCTGCACCCAATTCCTTAATGACCATCTGTAAATCATCTTTAAATAAATCACAAAATTATTATCAAAATGATGAAATAGCCAATGCTATCGTCTGTTTTGTCTCTTTGTAATGTGCTAGAATGGGGGCTAGGGAATGTAATAAAGTGGTGGTTTGCACCTAAGCTATAATTAATTAGTAGTCGAGCGTTCAGGTCTTCGTTTGTCAGGGGCTACAACTGCAGGGATGACAAGGAACCCATAACTGTTGGAAATTGAGGAATAGTAGGCGAAATACTGCTGCCCGAGCAGAATTTTCTCACCTTGATTTGTACGCGTAACCATAGAAATAATTTCTATCAAATGCTAGTCTGAAAACGGCTGAAATATTGTGAAGTATAAACTCAATTCCATTCCATTAATTATACTCACCATAATTACTGATGTTCCCCTTTAAATAAGCCCCATATTCTGAATCTAGAGATACTCTGAGGTTTTCCATATTCCAGGCATAATCTGACACGTTTAGTGGAAGTATTAATGAGTCGGCTAAATTTCTTGCCATTTCAGCACTAACCCGAGAAACTGCTTGATGATACTAAAATAAAAGATGGATATATCCAAATGAACCGCTCCAGATATGGTTGATTCTGTGTGAAAGGCAATTATCTTATAGTCTTGTCTTTATTAAATCGGTTTCCAAGTGGGGTTGGCCATAGGTTCACGTTATCTACTTAGATAACTGATAGCCATATTGTTATACGTCACTCATTCAATCCAACATTGAGATTTCTTTAATGGATTATATGACCCAATAATCAAATCTAGCGGGCATTTTCAACAGGCCAAAGATTTTGATTTGATATTTTTACATAAGATAATTGGACAATTTCTTCACATTCTTGGCTCTGGCATTTAAGTTGCATACTTAATCCCACTTTTCTCATTGGATATCCTGTAGAGTCTGTGACAGCTCCTTTAAGGTGTATTTGACAAATGAAGCGGCTAATTTCGTTCCTGACAGGGGAAGACTAAATTTAAGATCAGGCAGTGGTATTTCTCTGTTAATCATCGGATATTAGCAAGCTCGTGTACTCTTCTGGATAAAACAAACCTTCTTTAGAGTAAATAGTTGAAAATAAACAGCCTACCTTAAAGTCTGGATCAACCAGGTTCTTAACCGCATAAAATGTCTCATATTGAGAATGGTAGAGTGGGTAGCCAGACACATTATATCCATGCTAGAACAACAACCACAAAAAACTATGGAACTAGGCATTTTGTCTCATTACATTAAATTACTGTTGATTTTATTACAATGCCGATCCCATCTAGTTATCTTGTAGACTAAACATTAGTGTTGATCCCATGACTATTTGATGACAAGTTTGTATTTTAACTTCCGGTCATTGCTGATCCCATAAGGCTTGTATCACGACTACGTCTTAGGACTGATCTGTTTGTATTTGGACTATATGTTAGTGCTGATCTGTTTGTATTTTGGACTATATGTTAGTGTTGATCTGTTTGTATTTTGGACTATGTGTTAGAGCTGATATGTTTGTATTTGGACTATGTCTTAGTTTCTCATCTGTTTGTATTTGGACTATGTGTCTATATTGACGACTCATTAGTGCTGATCCTTTGGTACTTGACCAGTTGTTAATATATGGATCGTGAAATATCACGTGGTCTAGAAAGAGTAAGGATATCACGTGTCATTACTAAATGTGGTAATTATCGGCTTTAAGGTAATATCGGGACCAATAACCATAAACAGAGTTACCTAAAGTCCCTAACGAGAAGATGTAACCTATGTTCCAGGCAATTAAGCATACTCGTACACCCGTTGTACGAGCATCACTAGATAAAAAATAAACTTGAGCTTGTACTATGTAGAACATTTAATACCTGCAACTTACTTCATTATAAGTATACGTGAAATCTACAGTTGATATCCCAGCTCTCTGTATCATTGGTGCATAATCACTACCAGAACCCATTGCCTTCAGCCTTAAAAGGTAACAAAATTGTATTTATCAGTTCTTGCAACTTATTAATAATGATGCTGTGAGTGGCTTTGGGTGTTCCTTAAAACAATGTTCTTATTTATCGTAAAAACATCAGGATAAATTTAACTTTGTCAGGAGCCACGATTATGTTTAACGAATCTATATTATACCGGAATAACCGCGGGGGCTAAAATTATGACATTGAATGCTTAGAAACAAACCCTAAAGACTAAATGTAAGTTATTACAGGGGTTAGTGTGGAATTTGTACTCTTTGTGTCGACATTGTGGCAAGGGTCGTACTGTTTGTACACATAAATCAGTGACTCGTGTGTTGATGGATTGACAAGGGTCGAGTTGTCTGTACACATATATCAGTAACTCATGTATCGAAAGATTGGCAAGGGTCGAACTGTCTGTACGCATAAATTAGTAACTCGTGTGTCGGGAGAGTGACAAGGGTCGAGCTGTCTGCACACATACTTCAGTAACTCATGTCTCGAGAGACTGACCATGACCGATCTGTCTGTACGCATAAATAAAAAAACTAGTAGGGTCGAGTTATCTTGTACATATAAATCAGTAAATAAGTTTGGCCTTACTCGGGTGATCCATACATTTCACCATTTATTTTCCAGGGTCTGTTTAATAACCATGTGTCGTAAACTGTTTTTCTTCCTGCGGCTATCTCTGTAGCATTAGGGTTCTCAACCTGGAAGATAAATTCTGCGTTTTATTTATCGTTTTGTTTTAGTATTTTCTCTTCAGTTTATATTTAATATAATACTAATTATAATTTCCATTTCTTGTGCGTCATATTCACATATACGTATGCTAAAAGCGCTTTTAAAAGTAATAATAAATTTTTGTTTGAATAATTGTGAATTTTTATTTGGGATTTTAAGTTTCGCTGTCGCTAATTCAGTTTTTACACGACGGCTGCGATAAGCCAAGAATGATTTTTCTCTCGTCTTCATTAGCCCAGTCGGTGTAGAACAGCAAGTGGATATTGTATTCTTACCAGTTTAGCGGCGTCATAGACAGCTCTGTATAATAAAGGAACAGATCGTGTCCGAAGAGAATGTGTTCCTGAAATGTAAAGTTTATTTCATAGAAATTCTGATTTCCAATTCTCTATTTAACGCCTTATTTAATGAAATTTTATCAATTGAATCTAGTCACTTTATCTATTCAAATGATTAAAATCGGTACAGATCAAGAATCTTCTTTTAACAGTAGTGATTCAAGGGCCGATTCAAGAGCTGAATAAAACAAATAAAACATTCAAAATAGTAGATTTCTTACCTTCAACTGATATATCTACATTTATATAAGCTATTGTCCTTTCTTTTAAATTCTTGATATATTCCTGAAGAAAAAAATCGATATAAATGAAGAAATTGAATTGCGCAAACAAGTTACAGGGGCGGATCCAGGATTTTCAGAAAGGGGGGGGGGGCGTGCTGCCCCCACTTGGGAGTGCGAAGCCCGGCCCTCGTTGGACGGACTGACGGGCAATCAACCAAGTCACCCACCGGCTCGTTTCGGAGTAAATTACGACGGGGATCACTACCATTTTTAGGTATTTTTGTTCTCCTTTCCCGCAAATTGTTCGCCACCGCAAAAAATAGGGGGTTCGTGCGCCGGGTGCGCGCCCCCTTGGATCCGCGCCTGCATTATCTGAAAAATGGCAAAGTAGAAACAGTAAAAAAAACTAATACATGTATTGGATTCTTCTTTTTATCTGTCAATATATTTTAATGGTTTACCTCAACCCATTCAGTGGATCCTATAAGTCCATATTCTTCCGCACCCCAACTACAGAATAAAATAGTTCGACGTGGTCGCCATTTACCTAGAGAACATTAGACATAGTTCTGGTTGATAAAAGGTTAGTGTTACGCAAAATAATTATTTAAAACCTAAGACTTAAAGTTTGACGTACATATGCACTGAAGATTTCGTGTAGTAAGAACATTTAGCGCCAAAGGAAATCTTGCCAACATACAATATTGTGAAGACAAATTTTCAATTATAGTCACAAGGTTAAAATTTATGTAAGAAATTTAAGCTGGAAATGTAGGAGGTACGGTCTATTAATTTGTTGTACCTGATTTAACCAAAGCAGCCATTGCTCTGGCAGTTTCCATCATAACAGCTGTACCACTGGAAGGGTCTATAGCCCCATACACCCAGGCATCACGATGATTACCAAATATGACATATCTATCTATAATAACAAACACCAGATATAACATATCTATCTGTAATAACAAATACCAAATATAACATGTCTATATATGATAAAAAATGGTCAAATATAACATATCTATCTGTAATAACAAACACCAGACATAACATATCTATAATAACAAAGACGCATTTGAATTTTATAAACGTTCCGAGCTGTAGCTTTAAATAATATTTATGTCTACTTAGTAGACAGGTTAATCAAGGTACATGTAGATTGCTGGTCGAGCAGCAAGATTCCTGACAACCGGATGCTTAAGATAGTCTTTTGGGACTAGAGCCTTTAAAGGAACTAAACTTCTTACTCAATATTATCCATAATATTCGAAGTAAAACAAAACGAATTAGAATTCACTATTGGTCCATATCAATAAATATTGATGTTGTTATATCGTGAAAAATATGGGATCCTAATATCTAATATTCAAAACACAAGGAATATTTTAAAATCAGTACACGACGTCGTGTATTCTATAGTTTCGAGCGTCATTTGTAATAAGCAAAGAAAACATATTCCACGAGTAATTAATTATTGCTGATTCACAATTCACCATTCGGATTCTTCAAGTACTAACTGATTAGAACTGATTAGAAATTAGAAGACACATTTTAAAAATTGAATGCTAAATCACTTTTGAAAAACCTCATATTATGTGAGTTTAGTGAGAGAGAGAGAGTGTGTAATGGGGTTTAACATCAACTCGACACAAACTAGGTCATTTTGGGACTAACATATGGTTTTTAATTTTATTTCAATAATTCGTTTGCGCGTAGGAGTTTTTAGCAGTGGGAGGAAACCGGAGGACCTAGAGAAAACCCACGAGGTTGGACAGGCGACCCTACTCCTTGTCACGTACAACCGATGTGAGTTTAGACTTTTTTCGTATAATTTAAGGTGTCAAAGAATAGAGCTATGCATCCTTTAACTTACTGTTCATTTCTAAAGCTGTACATTTATGTATACATATTTACCTGGTTCGACAGCGCCTTTTATAATACCAATTACATTAGAAGAATTACGACGGGCACGTTGCGTGGATATATTCATTCTTACTTTCCTATGAAATAAACAAATACTATATTAAGATAAGCAATACATGATTATATGGTTATTCAAGAGAACAAACCAAATATTGCACAGTGTGATGTTAATAGTCTTACTAGATTGAGAACTGGTATATAAATATAAACAAAATACATACTGTTGATCGATGCCGTACGCTTATTTGCGAAAACTTAAAAACAATATTGGTGTCAGTCATTATCACATATTAATTATGTGGTAGAACTCGTTAAACACGTTCCAAATAAAATTTTAACACAGAGATCATTGCTACGATAAATGTGTAATGAAGGTTTCAACAAAAGGGAGTGGCGAACGCAAAAGGAAAACATGAGTTATCCTTCTATATAACTGACTGGCTAATAATTCCGTCGAAGACCAAAAGTTGTTATGTGAGACTGTGAGAGGATATCTGGCAATTCAAAAAAGTAATCGAATGTCAATAGAAATTGAAAATTGCATTCAAATTACTTCATTCTCAGTCAACTTATCATTGCTTGTAGTTTTGACAAGATGTATGCACAGTGGTAACCAAGGCACTGGTATAATCGGGAATAGCCTCGCTTTCCCATTTTTAAATTAAATTTTTAAATGGCGAACCGTTTTAATCTAGTTAAAATCTCGACTATCATGCCATCGAGAGTCGATTATGGTCTTGTTTTGTTAATAAATGTCTAATAAATAGTTTATATAACATTTCAGGCCTAAATAAAGACCTGCAATAGGCAGATTTAGCTCTTGCATAATAAATGTTTAATATATACATGGTAATGCACGGACTTTTTCTGTATTTTTTCGTTTTCTCCTTTCTAGTGACAGTCAATTTCTGTTTTGAATTTAAGATATCCTCTCACAGTCTCATATATTGTCCTTTAAAATATATATCTAATTACACTGTCCCTTTATTATCAGAAATCTTGTGTGTGACCGTAACTCAGAAATAGAGTATCCCTGAAATAGATTAGAATACGTCTGTACAAATATAGCTCTTTAGCTTAATTCAGTGGTTAATATTATCTACTAACCAATTGTCATTGAGAAATCCTGGCCCATATCTATAAGTAATATTTATGTCCCCTTTCCATTTATCTGTCACAGCAGCCCCACCTAAATTCCTGAAAATAGTGACATCAGAAGTACAATGAAGTTTGGGTATCCCTGAAGAGATAAGCATAATTGATTGGAACAATACTTTGGACTTTAAAAAGCGGGACAAATCTGTAGAGGATAACCCAAGAGCAATGGCGACCAGGGGAGATAACTGTTACGTTGTTTGAGTACAAAATCTACCCAGCTGATGTTTCTCTTGGTGATGCTGATGATTCTGTCGGTGATGCTGATGATTCTGTCGATGTTGCTACAGATACTTCTATAATTTCAAATGTCCATATTTCATCGCTCGTGACTTTGAGACTGTCATTGAGTAAAGTGTTGTGGCTTCCATCCGAGTCTTAGTCTTGTAAGTGACGGGGCGAAGGGTCTCATGAATTTTCAACTGGTCTCACAATTTCCCCCCACTGCTAAGGGCTCTCCAATCCTCCAGTTTCCTCTCACTGCTAAAGATCCTAAGCTAATTATTGAAATGGATCTTTACTTTATGTCAATGGCATCACTGATGCTAGTCATATTGTGTCAATATGATTATACTTGTTACCTGTCTGGTAATTGAGGTGGAGGTTGGTGTTAGGAAGGGTGTCTATGACCAATCTGAAGGTTGCGGATATAAGAGTAAATAAAACTTACACGAGTAATTGTTCAGCCACTGTATAACCAATAGGATGTGCTGGTATTTTAGGAAGTGGTGGTTCAACTTTGTCTTCTTCATATCGGTATGCTGTACCTATAATAATTCAAACAAAAAAATTATAAATTATAGCAAGAAAAAAATTTAATCATATGCGGTGCAACTTTATCTGCTTCATCTCAGGATCCAATGTATGCACCAAAGATAAACATTCAGGGTAGCAGTCTATCACTATAGATCTGTTAAACCCAGTGATTACGTTTCTAGTGTAAGGAAAGATTTGTAATATAAGAATCTTCAATGAAAAAAATGGAATTAAACAGTTAGAAGGTTTAATGGATCCATGTGATTTAAAGCGTCGACACATGGATCCAAAATTTTCACAGTCTACAACAGAATACAATAATAATAAATAATAATAATAATAGCTTTATTTCCAATCAAAGGTCCACAGGGGACATTGGAAGAGAGCAAACAAAGAGAGAAAACCCAAATGACAGTCAAGTAAGAAAATATAATAGTATCCATAGCTCCCAACAGGGGAGATACACATATAAGTACCTTATGCACTAAGGCTTCATGCCGAAAAAAAAACGGCTCATGAGAACATTATTATTAATCATGAAAGGGAGATAAATCCACTTAACTCTTAATGTTACAGATCAATATTAAGCATTACAGAACAGCTGTATTCATCCGCAAAAAAAATAGTACCTAAAATTCATGTACATTATATAGGTTTAAACGTCAAATGAGGTCAAATGAATAGAGACGTCTTTAATATATACTAAATATTCGTATCATCCCAAATCGACAATAAAACAGTGAGAAAAAGGAAAATCTAAGTAATGGCAATCTAATTAACATAAAATTTACGACATAATGGATTCTTCAATGTTTTGATGGTGATCATGAAGAAAATAGGCCTACATCTGTTCTCAGGAATCCGATAAGATTTTCAAAAAAAAGATCAGTAGAATTATAGATTGTTATTCCGTCCACAAAGTCGAAAGGTATGTTAGATTTTTCATTCAGTCAAGTTAGAGCGAGTTTATTGCCGTACTTTGAGCTCCAAACCCGATAGAAATGAAGGCGGAAGTGGCCCTAATAGTTTTAGAGATCACTACGTGATGGCGCAGTAGAATTAGATAAAGTGTGCGGCACGTGAATAAAACAATTATATAAAGTAATAATATTGACTGAAATGGATTATTTACAACTTCGAAATAAAAAATATCCGTCGGAAATAAAATGAAATGAAATGAAATGGAGTTTAACGTCCTACTGTTTTGCTCCGAGCTGGCCTAATGAAGACGGGCATACGTCATACAGTGTGCCATGAGGGAAATTTTGCCCAGACAGTTGCACTACGGCTTACTTTTTACGTGCACACCAATGTGTACACGTGACCTCGGGTTTGCGTCCCATCCGTCGGACTGAACTCTGACAAATAATTTGTGTCCAATCGAGAACAAAAGCGGATATGCAGCTTTTCCAGCGATATTGATAGATGTTACGCCATCTATATATAAATTATTTGATCTCATGTCTTGAAAAACTTTTTTCATAAGAATCCTTTTGAAAATGCGTTTGTCTGAAATAGTTATTTCTACAAAGTTCTGTATATGCGCATACTTACTTATAGCTGGATATCCTGGTGTCAATGGGTCACCATCACCAGTAAAAATGGTTCCTCTCTGGGCACCTGAACCAGGTAACCACCATGCATCAGGATAAACTCCTTCACCTGGTACAGCATAATCTGCCGGGTCAGAATATAGGATTAATCCTATAACACCATGCTTCTGGGCTATGTCGACCTAGAAAGTTAGAAGATGGTAAGACTTGTCAATACCATACTTCGGACATGTGTTTATTTTCTTCTATGGTCAATGATAGGTTATGGAATTTTGTTCTCTTCCGTGCACTCAATGTGCTCACGGGTTTACCATTTGAACGACTAGAAAAACTAGACTACCCCTGATTAAATTGAAATATATCTATGATCTAGAGAGTGATAGTTGGACAGAATCAAATAAATGAAATGAAATGGGGTTTAACGTCCTACTGTTCTACTCCTATACTGGGCTAATGAAGATGGGCATACGCCATACAGTGTGCTATGAGGGAAATTTTGCCCGGGCAGCGGCACTATCGCCTATTCTTATATCGAATTCCAACTGCCTGGGGATCTTTTACGTGCATTCCAATATATACACGGGACCTCGGTTTTTCGTCTCATCTGAAGAACTAGACAGCTGACCTTGTTCTGTACCACTGACAAGGGGAAACCACGTCGGATAATCCCGATGAACTTTCTCGGCCAATGCAAGTATCGAACACCCGACCTCCAGGCTAGTGAGCCAGCGCCTTAACCACCTAGCCATCGTGGCTCCAGAATCAAATAAGTGCTTTATTAAACGAAAGGGTCTGTGATTTGATCACACAAACTATTGCAATTTTTAATGCAAAAAAAAGGTACCTTGCTTCCTCTAAAGATTTTACCGTATCTTGCTATGGCTACACAGCCTGATACATTAACACCAACAGAATCTAGATGTATATAATCTTCTACTCTACCATAATTAACATAAACTAACTGACCCTGTAAATATACATATAATTAACATAAACTAACTGACCCTGTAAATATACATATAATTAACATACACCAACAATATAATTCTATACACAAACACCACGACCTCGCTACCACCAATAGATGAGAGCGGCATGTACGTGGCAAGATCTTTGTCAGCGTATTAAGAGCCTGGTGGGGTCATGGTAGGAATGTCGAGAGCCTGATAGCGAAGTCGTTGTGAAAAAGAAAGAAAGCGGGAACTGCGTAGTGGCAGCGTAAAGAGAGCTGAGTGACCGCCCAGGGTCACTCTCTCGCTATGCGTACCGCGTCCCTACGACCAGTGAGACTGTTTCACGCTCTCACATGTTTTGTAAAGCACCCTTCAAAAAGCGCGTGATGAGGACGTGACAAGAGAGTGATGGACGCGTGGTCGATTTTTGACGATCGAGTCGCGAGATCTTCGTTATGTGTGAAGGTTGCTTAATTGACATAATCTGAACTGAGAGAGAGAGAGAGAGAGAGAGAGAGAGAGAGAGAGAGAGAGAGAGAGAGAGATGGGGTTTAACGTCAACTCGACACAAACTAGGTCATTTCGGGACCAACATATGGTTTAATTTTTTTTTATTTCAATAATTCGCTTGCGCGTTGGGGTCTTTAGCAGTGGGAGGAAACCGGAGGACACGGAGAAAACCCACGAAATTGGACAGGCGACCCTACTCCTTGTCACGTACAAACGGGGAATCGAAACCCCGCCAGTTGACTCAATGAAATCTGAACTGAACCTATAAGTAAACCTAAATGATTCTATAAATATACATAAAGCATATCGTTTTATCCCTGTAGTTATACATAGCTGACATAAATAATTGTAAATGGCATGTTTGCTTTCAAACTAGAGTAGGCGTTAAAGTGGGAATGCGACCTCTGAAATAAAAATATTATTTACACAAAAATAAAATAAATAACCGGAGAGTGGGCGTTAAAAGGAAGACTCACTGTAACAATTCCTTTAGGAGAGTAGGCGTTAAAAGGGGGAATACCCTCTGTATTATTTTTGCCTGGAGTAAGAATATCTTCTTCTATAGGTGTTTGATAAACAATTTCATTATTTTCATTAAGTAATTCTATCATGTTAGGATTGTTTTTATCTGGATAAGATAACAATATATCGTAAGTTGCTGTCTGTACATCATCAAAACCAACATTCTCCCAGAACTTTTTTATATAATTAACTGTGTCTTCATCTTCTGGTGAACCAGCTATATGAGGTTTCTCTGTTAGAGTCCTGCAATTAAAGATATAGAAATAGTATATTGGATATCCGCGAGGATACTTTGCCAATTTGTATTTTTGGACTTTTAATATAAAAGCCCTTTAAGAGGGTTGGTGGTAGGCCTACTTTACATTATTAACACATCAACTTTTTATTTCAATACATAATGTCCAAGCAACAAGCCATCGATCAAACAAACATGAATTGGCGGAACCTTGTGTTTTATTTCGAAGGGCTTCGCCCCCAAGAACACCAACAAAAACAACATGAGTAGAAATGAAATGAAATGGGGTTTAACGTCCTACTGTTCTGCTCCGAACTGGGCTAATGAAGACGGACATACGCCATACAGTGTGCTATGAGGGAGATTCGAATTCCAAGTGACAAGGGATCTCACGTGCACGCCAACGTGTACACGGGACCTCGTTTTTTCGTCCCATCCGAACGACTAGACAGCTGGGGAAGCACGCCGGAAAATATGGATGAACTTTCTCGGCCAATGTAGGGATCGAACACCCGACCTCCAGGCTAGTGAGCCAGCGTCTTACCCACTTAACCACCGTGATCCCCAACATGAGTAGGCCTTGGGGCCCAGTTTCTGGTCCAAATTATGTATTTGTTGACAATGGTCTTGCTTTCTCCAGAGAATCGGTGCACTTTATTTCTGTTGCCATTTCCCCACTCAGTCTGTGTATTATCGTTAGTTTATAGCCCAATACACATATTCTGATATCAATTTATGTTGTAAACTTTACATACAGCGCGTTTTTATAACAGATTTTTCATTTCTCATAAAGTTATAAGAGTTAAAACCATAAGGCCGTAAATGTACTTGATGGCGACGGTGCAGATCTTTTATTTCAAACTCGACCTTTTATGCTTATATACTAGAAAAGTATGTAGGCTGTCGTTGGGTCATGGACAGGTGACAAGGTCGTATAATCTATAGGATTACATAGCTAACAGATTTTGTTGTATTATATAGGCAGTATGTATCAGAATGTTGTAATAGTGGATTCAATCCCCATTGGATGCCAGGGTCTGCTATGGCATGGTTTCAAAGTCGGCATCAAAACACTTTCTGTTAATTAATATTTTAGTCTTCAACCGAAAACATCTGTACCAGTCATCCGAATGACAAACTACATTTAAACAAACTAAAATAAGTATTATTCGCACATCATTCGTATAACCGTTTTAATGTCAATACCCTTTTAATTTGAAAAGTAACATTCATCGCTGTCATGGTAACTGTCTACTAGATAACTATGAATTGTGTATGGATGTCTATCAACCAAGGACATCTTATAGCTCAACACAAAAAAACGCATCGAATAACAAATTACTTATTCACGGGTACATGTTGACGGGATGATTGAGGTTTAAAATGAAAATGAAATGAAATGAAATGGGGTTCAACCGTTTAACGTCCTACTGTTCTGCCCCGACTGGGATAATGAAGACGGGCATACGCCACACACCATGCTATGACGGATATTTTGCCCGGGCAGCGGAACTACGACACACTCTTCTATCAAATTCCAACTGCCAAGTGATCTTTTACGTGCACGCCAATGTACACACAAGCCCTCGGTTTTTGATCCCATCCGAACGACTAGACAGCTGTCCTTGCCAGGCCCTCCGTCCTGCACTACTGACAAGGGGAAACCACGTCGGAAAATCCACATGGACTTTCTTGGCCAATGGAGAGAGAGAGAAATGGGGTTTAACGTCCACTCGACACAAACTAGGTCATTTCGGGACTAACAATAATTCGCTTGCGCGTAGGGGTCTTTAGCAGTGGGAGGAAACCGGAGGACCCGGAGAAAACACACGAGATTGGACAGGCGACCCTACTCCTTGTCACGTACAACCGGGGATTTGAAACCACGCCAGTTGACTCAATGACAGGCCGTATGATACGACACGCACGTGGTAAATATTCGGCCATCCAACCCCCCATGAGGTTAAGGAAAGAGTAAAATATAGACTGACCTTAGATATGTTTCGATGTTCTTACTATCGATACTGGTTAATAACAAATCTCTGAATGACAGATCAGCTTCTTTGATGATAGCATCCGGAACTCCGGGAAGAAATACACCATCTTTCTCTGGAATGACCGCATCAGACGACGTATCACAAGCCGCGTATTTACCTATTAATATTCCTATTATAAAAGCTAACACACCAATTATTATAGCTATAATCCAGTATTTCCTTGATGCGGTCTTAGATGATCCATCTTGCATTAAATCAAACGTCGATGTCATTTTATAGCTCGTTTCCAAAAATAATAATCTAACCAACAATAAGCATATAAAACAGATTTAACGAATGTTTACGTATTTCGTTCTCCTCTTCCACCTCTGTTTAGAATACTTTATTTTTATCCAACGAGATGATTAATGTCCCCCAACTATGAGTTGTCCTCGACATCGAGTGCGCAGACGTGTGACGATGGCGACGCTCAGTTGTATAGAGAGGGATAAAACTAGCGTTAAACCTTGCAATCTTTCAAATGCAAATATTTGTGAAAGAAATCTTAATCAGATACATTATGTAAATTACAATGATAATGTGTATTAGAGTGTCTCTTTTCTCACACTACAGCTGCAGAATGAATATTGACAAATTTATGTACAATATAGCATGTACAGAAGGACGACTCGATATACATATACACAATGATTAGACGAAACACGTACTTGTATGTATGAATTAACTCCCAAAAAGAAGAACACTGTTTGTGCAAAGTCTTAGTTTTAGATTTATCAAATAAGCCGCTTTATAAATCCTTAACAGGAGTTTTGTGTCATTGGCTTTGAGATTAACACATGACACAATTATATGGAATACAAGTTACTTGAAGGATTTCTTTGGCTTAGAGATTGTATGCCCTTTCTCGGATGGAAAAACATTCAATATGATGTTCTATACTGTTAGCACGTATTTGCCATATTTTTTGTCGTAATGTTTTAGCTAATCCTAATAATGAATAAATGAATGAATAAAATGGAGTTCCATAGTCCGTCAGCAGCAACACTGTTACATAATGCCAAACATATGGTGACGTTTAATAAACGAGTGTCTAAAACTGACCAACGGTCAAAATAACGATCGGAAGCCTATCATTAGGCAGAGTCGGTCACTAGACTAAAGTAACAACAAATATAGATATACAAGTTAAGGATTAAATAATTATATAATATTATTTGAGAAATGATGTTAAATTGTTTAAATACAGAAGATAATATGAACATACCAAGAACGCGTGTTAACTATAATTATGTATTATATATCGTTACATTAAAGTTGCATTATGTAAGAGTTAGATAAAGAGCTGGTCGTTCTCGCTATTATAGTTCTAAAGTAGATAAAAAAAATGAATACATTATGTCATGTATATTGAAAACGTCATTCATTGATTTTTATGAACAACCTTATCACGGTTTGAAATTTTGACTTAGATTGCTTATTATGGCAGCAACGTTACTCGTTAATTGAGATTCGGCATCGCTTTACCATTTTGTTTTTTTGGGAATATGGCGTCCTTTCGTCAAGTAAGATTTTGTGCAAGTAGGCGAACCAATATACTATAAATGTCGAGTTGTCCTACTTCGTGCATTATACAATTAAACTTCAAGATAAATACACACCCATATAATAAACATCCGTATCGTACGAATACAGCAACAGACGAAAAATAGAGTACTCAAAGCACAGCACAATTTATCGTATTTTTTTTTTTTTGGGTCGATTGTGAAATACTAGAAAAAAACATGTCGTACACAGCAAAGTTTTAAATTATATTCTTCATCAAATTCGTTAAATGTGTATGCGGATGGACCTATGATTTTCTATAGTACTATGCAGTGATATGCGTCGCCTTTAGATGCAGAAAATACACGGGAAAACTCCCCACAGCCGACGTGTGACGCATACTCCCTCTGCTACATATTTCTATAGACTTGTGATCGTCTAGTATTGTCTCTGGTTATATTTGTAATTCTCTTCTTAGGATTCATTTTCACGTTGTGTATTTTCTTCTTAATCTCCGCCGCTAAAACATTTGTCTATCGGATACAACAATGCTACACTCCGTTTCTACATCTTATATCAAGCACTGGATACATAGATTACAAGCATGGCATATGGCATATCTACATGGCATATGCTCTCTAAGAATCTACATGGTGTCCATGCTCTAAAAATCTACATGGTGTCTATGCTCTTATAGTAAGTGCAGGGGGACTGCGCCACAAATAATCACACAATACGCAGAAATCACTAACAAACATACATATCAGATTAAGAAGAATCTTCATGTTGTCTTTTATAATGGCGGGGAGGAACGCGTACATTATACACAGCACAGAACCCGAAATATGGCAAGGCCGGTACTACGCAGGCCATATCCTGGTATGGTGAAATCCAAATTACAACAATCACAACACATTAATCGATAAAAAAAAAGACATAAACAAACAACGGAGAACATTATTTAGTACACATGGTAAAGGTCTGATACAAACACAGCTAGAACCGTATTCAATCAGCTGTATATTTGATTAAAAAGATCGGTTTTGAGATACTTTTTAAATCCTTTAATAGAATTTGCGCTTTTGGTTTCGTTTGGTATTGAATTCCATAACTTCGAAGGACCGACGGCGAAACATCTATCACCGGATTTGGTTTTTAAAAAAGGCTTAAATTAAGAGGTTGTCTGACTGTGATCGAAGGGTTCTGCAAGGTTTATTGGTGTCGAGGATGTCTCTAAGGTATTGAGGTGAAGAATCGTCTTTTAGAGCAGAATACGTAATTAAATAGACAGTATTTTAAAATTGATACGTTGACAGACTGGAAGCCAATGGAGATCTTTCATTTGGTTTCATCTTGGTTATGATCCGGGCTGTTTTATTTTGAAGTTTCTGAAGTCAGTCGTTTGATTTTATTTTCAGGTAGATTGTACAAACGTGAATTACAGTAGTCCAGTCTTGATGTAACCATAGTGTTTATCAGCATTTTAGTCGTGTCACTATCAATGAAAGATCTAATATTTCCAATATTATAAATCTGAAAATTAATACTTTTAGACATGGCCGAAATTTGTCTATTCATGTCCAGATGAGAGTCAAAATTAACACCAAGATTTTTTACAGAATTTGTTGGTGTAAAAGAGATTTTGCCAATTTGATAGTAGTTGCTGCCTGCTGCCGACTTTCATTATTTCTGTTCTGTCATCGTTGAGTTCTAATAAATTTGAGCCCATCCATTTACGAATATCTGATAAACAGGCCTCAAGTTTACATATCTCAGATGGTTCAGAAGAAGGCTCAAAAGCTATATAAATTTGAGTGTCGTCGGCGTACAGTTGATAATTAAGACCGTGTTTACGAATGACATTTCCTAAAGATGTTGTGTATGTGGTAAATAATAAAGGACCGAGAACGGAACCCTGGGGCACACCATACTTTAAAACCGTTGAGTTGGATGGGGAACCTTTGATAACAACTGTCTGTGTACTCTTTTCAGGGTATGACTGGAACCATGTAAGGGCTAGGCTAGTTCACTAACACCAAAGTGGTTCAGCAATCTTTTAAAAAGAATTTGGTGGTATGTCGTGTCAGACGCAGCGCTTAGATCAAGCAGGACTAGTACCGATGTTTGTTTCTTATCCATTTCGTTTAGTAAGTCATTTTGAACACGCAATAAGGAGGTTTCAGTGCTGTGTTGTTTTCTATAAACTGATTGTAATATTTCGTTGAGGTTATCAAATTCGGATGCAACAGCTTTCTCGATAATTTTTGAAAGAAATGAAAGATTAGAAACCGGTCTGTAATTCTTTAGTAATTCTTTATCAAGGTTGGGCTTTTTTAGTAGCGGAAACCCAAACGCTTCTTTCAGAACCTACCGCGTACAGCCAGAAGCCAAAGAGAAACTTACAATATATACGTGCCATGACGTGATAGCTTGGACCATCACGTCAAGACACTGTTTTAGTAGCCAAGTAGGAATGGGATTTAGAGTACACGATGCTGAAGATGATGCTGAAGATGATCTTATCTATATCCAGATTAGATACGGATCTAAATGTTGAGAGTTGCATGCCAGAGTAAGTATTAATATCCTGAGAGTCATCTAGTAGAATTGTTCCAAGACCTGATCGTTTAGTATTAACAAAATCATTTGCCAAAACTTCAGAGTCCCGATTTACTGGGAGAGCATGTTCTGGCCCGTCTTTATTTAGAATTCTATTGATAATCTTGTGAATTTCACGAGTATTACCACGATTCTCAAAAATACTGTTCATAACATGGCGACGTTTTGCATTTCTTATTGTAGTGTTTGTCTCATTTTTACATTTTATATATATTTGCTTGTGTATTTCTAGATTTGCTTTTCGCCACTGTTTTTCCGCTTTCCCTTTCTTCTGTTTACATTTCTGAATTTCATCATTAAACCAATTATACTTTTAGTTTGAACCGGTGCATGTTTATCTAATAATTTAATAAGAATTTTATTATATTGTTCAATCTTGTGATGAATTGTTTATTGGATAAAACGGAAACATTTATTTTTTCTGTTTTGTACCTGTAAAATAATATACGATTTATCATTTTATATAACGTATATCTAACGGAAGTAAGGCCTAGTCGTCATTTTCTTTCCTATTGAATATGTGATTTACAGGGTTTTTGGTGTCGCTGGGTTCAATTCTGATCTCAAAAAAAGAATTCAAGAATCCATGATGGCAGAAATGCAAAATGGCCACCATAATGAAATCCCAAACGTCGGTATTTTAAATAATCGTCATTAATTTTTTTACTTCCGTTAGATATGACTTGTAATATGTCTCATAGCCTATATAGGCTAAGGGGTTTGGGGTTCTATCCCAAAAAATATATTTATGAATAGCCCAGATGGGGTAAATTTAAAATGATAATGAAAATAGAATCCAATATGGCGATTTTTGTTCTTTTGGATATTCCTTAAAAAATAAATTTTTCAGGGTTACGGAATTCAATATGGGGTTCAAAAATTAATTTCTGATAAGATTGTCTGTTATTCATTTCACAAGTTCTTGTGATTGCCACAAAACTGTTTTTCATCAGCAATAGACACTAGACAAACAATTAAGCAGAAATGAACCTGTGGTTATTGTCGGTCCTAATGATACCCCAGGGGTCCGGTGGCGTTCTCTCCGAACAGGCGCAAAATTTCTTTAGAAAACTAACTGTAAATTTTGCTTTATAGAGTATATCTTGGTGTTTCTAGCTTCTGCACATATTGAACTTGCGGCAACCTTAACAATTCTTGAAAAGCGACGTAAAAGAACATTAACTAGTTTCGGGACCCCCGAAATCACCATATTCCTGTTCAGTCCATACAAAATAGGGAGGGGAAAGATAGGATGTTAAAACGTGTTGCAAATTTTTGCATTACTTAATCAATCATCAGTAGAAATACGTTATATAAAATGATAAATCGTATATTATTTTACAGGTACAAAACAGAAAAAATAAATGTTTCCGTTTTATCCAATAAACAATTTATTGTCGTTTCATGCAGAAAGATATGGCGTTAAAACGTATTGCAAATTTTTGTATTACATGGTTGGCCTGAAATTATCATATAAATATTAACACATGGTATTTTGATTGAGTATTTTACAGCAACAAGGACGTTTCTGTTTAATCGAAAATTCCAATAACCAATTTATTTTTAGTTCATGTGGAAAGTGCTACAGGTGGTAGATAATATTTAAATGTTGTTTAAATGCGTATTTTCATAAACTTATGCAGATAGATGTTTATATGGAAGGTCCATTTGGACATAAAATACGATTTTTGTGAAATAGGCGTCCTGAATACAAAGCAACACAGGAGGCTTATGAAATTTTACAGTCTAGTAGTTTATTCATCCCTTGATTCTGTGAAGTAAAGAACATTTTGCCTCCAAAGCTGGTTTGAATACTGTTTAATGCAAAGTGAACATACCCTTTTCTGCGTGCCCAGTTTGCGATATTTTAGTATGTTTACTCTAATAACATGTCTTAAAATGTTTCTATTATAAAGGTAACAATTATTATCCTTTTAGCCTCTTAAGCGTCCACAAGCAAGGGCCATCACTCCGGAAGTAATTATAGGAAATTGTTCCAAATCAATAGACTTCAATTGTTTGCATCATTTTGGGATAATCAACACGTGGTGTGGGGTATGTGTCACTCATTTTTATATTTTATTTTGTTCGAAGAACAAACTATAGCCTCTCACACTTTGGTTTTCATTAAATTCAATTTGTCAGAGCGAGTTGAGTATCTGGCCAGTACCAAGATATCATTGGCAGTAGAAACTTAAAACTCTGGGTGGTCCTACTAATGTCCAAAATTTCGTCTGTCCAAATCATTTATTGTCCGAATAACAGATCATACAAATTTAGTTCCAAATTAGTCCATTTTTTTGAGTATTTTTCTATTAAATAAATATTTTTCCATTTTGCCAGGTTGGTATCAACGGAGCATGGTTAATCCGTATGGTATAAACAGCATAAACCAAGCGGATTTATTGATTCTAAGCTTAATATAGCTTAATTGCTGGTGTATCTTAAATTTAAACATATACACCTTTGTGGCTATATTACTGAGTATACCAATCAACATGGAATTCACATTTATAATTTGATGCCAGTGGAACTTGTAGACGGGGGGGGGGGCAGTCTTTCCGTATGGACCCCTGTACTAGAATACACCATCAAATACCGAATACTGGTAATGCAAAGCACACAGACAACTATACAACCGAGTGATATACAAAGTGTTTTTGTAGTTTTTCTGAAATATATGAGGTTAGCAAATTTTCAAAATAAGATATCATTACGTTTTGTCAAAAGCTGATAATGACGATGGCGAGATATTCGATAAATGGGAGTCTGTTTTCTATTAATTTTTGCTTTGAGTGTTTTAACAATAAGTAATAAATACAGAGCTATATACTATAATAAACTGTTGGGTTTGTTGAAAAGCATTCTTACAAAGACTAACAAAAAGACATTGAAAAATGATGAAACAACACGACAAATCAATTTCTCTGATGTTGGAAATAGGCAACATATGAAGATGGTGAACCAAAAGGATTCGTAAACAAGGAACCGAACCAAATCGGGCACCGAGTTAAATCAATCCTGGTCTTGGTGAAAAAGAATTCCCGGCATGCAAAGGAATTTTGAACAGATTGAGATCGGGCAATGTTCCTCTACTAAACCATAACCATTGTGTTAACGAGAATTGAAACCGTGCTCTATTTCATTTAAAGGAGCTAAATCGCTAACATTTGGGACCTAGAAATCCACAAAAGTGGGTCGCAACGCATATAATACTGTAATATGAATGTATATAAACTGATTTACATTTAATGTTTTCCGTTTTTACTCCAATTTCAAATCATCTATGTTCGGCGAAATAAGTCAGCAATCTCAATCGAGTGCAAATTTCTAGCGTCTAGTTATTCTAGTCTACATAACTCCATTTGATTTGGTGCAATGTGTCTAGCCTCGTCCCTCGAGTCTCTCAATACAACTGGGGCTGAAGCGCATTATGGTACACGATTCGTGTACCAATGTTAAAAAAAATATTTTATCTTATATATCGGATATCAGAAGCTCATCTTTTCCCGGTAAGTTTACATCATCAATGTTGATTTAAATTGACCAATAATTCGTGTTTTCGATGTCGAAGATTTTGGAGGATTTTGAGTTACGGACTTAGGTCCTTTAATTCCGTTCAGATACAAATAAAACTGAACCATATGGATATCATTTACTGCTGTCCGGTTGTCGAAATTCTGGCTGTACATGTAACGAGTTGTCACTGTTAAATGTTTCATAGATCACGATATGTATTTACAATTTGCCGGGCTTGTTCGGGTGTGCATTGAAACAGTATAAAAGACTCTACAGGTAACAGCTTTTGAGATTCATTTTAGCCATAGTTATTAGTGCCGCTGTCACCATAACATGGGTTATACCGCGAGATACCATAAGTTGCTTAAATGTTGTATGTTGTTAAATAGAGACATCTAACTGGTTTTGAAAATAATACAAGTTTGGGATGTTTTAACACAAGTTTTAAGTTTGTGTTTGTTTTAACATAAGAGCTTTTAGAGTGTAGTTCTTAATCGGCACCTGTAAGATTGTCTTCATTACCGCATCTATATTGTCTTCATAACCCTCTCAAGCAATATGATTACTTCGGAACAGCTCAATGTTTTGAACTGAAAAATCATTGCCTACCACATGTGTATCCTATTTACACTTTTGACGACTGGAATTACAGACTTTTATATTTAAAACCACTAATCCGTCTTACATTTTGCGTACAATCTATTTGAACATGCATGTTGTATCAACGGGCCAACTCGCCAACACAATGTTAAACACGTTGAATTTGCCAACCAAATGGATGTATCAGATGGGCCGTAATGAGGGAGTGTACATTGTGTAATTCCACAGCAATTGTTTAATGTGTATGGATATGTCATTGATTGGACCCAGCGTTAAAGATGCATTGTGTAAGATTTGGTTAAAGAGCTGGTCGTTCTTGCTATACTAGTTCAAAGATAGATAATGTAAAATGGATATACATTTATTGAAAAATTCAGTCTAATTACTTTATTATGTAAGAAGTTATGAGTGTGGTGTTGATTGATTTTATCGTTGCAACGGTACTTGACAATCGAGACTGTCTCGATTATCCATTTTATCGTTTAACTCTTAAAGACCGCGATGTTTAATCTACTTAAGATCGGAGTCATCCGATTGTCATGGTAATAAATGCTTAAATAATAATGTATATAACATTTGAAGCCAGAAAAATAACCTGCAATAGGCAGATTTAGCTCCTAAATGCATCTTTAACAGTATTTGTGTAATATTGAACGTTATGCACCCTTAGATCAAGAATAGTGTATGACATCATTTGTAACATCGAGTGCATTCATAGGGAGTGTGTTATATATCATCCGTCAAAAGTAATAAAAATGAATGCATGATGACTCCTATTATTCTAAAGAAAGTTTGGTTATTTAGGATAATATCTACGTAGAGTGTTACGTGAAGGCCTTGATAAAATGTACAGAGTTAAAGCGAGATCAAGCCTGTATAGATAGATTACATGAAAAGATAACATTTTTTTAAAAGTTCTCAGACAAGTCCGCGACGCCAAGAAAAGTGCTCGCGACCCAAGTGACCCAGAGGTTGGGAAACGCCGATCTACATCTTACTTCATGCGTAACAATATCGGTTTTACTAATCTCCGACAAGGGCGTTTCTTTTCTCAATGGCGCCCAAAATATTGCAAACCGTAAACGATACTTTGAACGATACTGACAAAAAGTACGCTATTGTCGATCTTTGTCGGTGTGTAATAGGACACAAAAATGTAAATGGCAGAGGGAATGGACATTTATACAAAAGCTAATACGTCGTGCATGTTATAATGCACAAACTTAAATCCTTAGCCAGGTTGTATCTTTAGGTTGTGCATTTTGATATGTGTATGTAGATAAGGTAGATAAATTTATTACATAAAATACCCTTTACGGACAGTTGTAAATCATCAACTATGACATCAGATTACAATGTCACAAAAAATACAGAAATGGTGGATATATAAGAAAGAGAGAGAGAAATGGGGTTTAACGCCCACTCGACAAAAACTAGGTCATTTCGGGACTAACACATGGTTCAATTTTATTTCAATCATTCGCTTGCGTGTAGGGGTCTTTAGCAGTGGGAGGAAACCGGAGAACCCGGCGAAAACCCACGAGGTTGGACAGGCGACCCTACTCCTTGTCACGTACAACCGGGAAATCGAAACTCCGTCAGTTGACTCAATGACAGGCCGTATGATACAGCGCGCGCGTGCTAACCATTCGGCCATCCAACCCTACTCCTTGTCACGTACAACCGGGGAATCGAAACCCCGCCAGTTGACTCAATGACAGGCCGTATGATACAGCGCGCGCGTGCTAACCATTCGGCCATCCAACCCCCTCGCCCCCCGACTCAATGACAGACTTTATGATACAGCACGCACGTGCTAACCATCCAGCCATCCAACCCCCTTATATAAGTAAGAAGATGACAATAAATATATAAGAAATTTATTGTATGTAAGTTCGAGTTTATTGAAATAGAAATAATATAGCACTTTATGGTTATTTATGTCGCTGACTGTTTAATATTTTATCTATATCCATCTATTAGTCACTATTTTTTTTGTATTAGTCACTAATAAACAATCTTTTTATCTAGCAAACTGGGACATTTCATTTGCGAAGTTCAGATCAAGAACATCCACAATATTTTAAAATGCTAAAGTTTGATTCAACGCAAGAAGGCATAGAAGAAAAAAGCACCAAGTCATCGTCAAGGAAATTCTGGATTATAGCTATAATAATTGGAACAGCAGCTTTTATAATAGGAATATTAATAGGTAAATACGCCGCTTGTGATACGTCATCTCCACCAGCAGAAGTTCCTGTCACACCAGAAAATGATGGCGTCTTCCTTCCCGGAGTTTCAGACGCCATCATTAAGGAAGCTGATTTGTCTGTCAGAGATTTATTATTAAAAAGCATCGACAACAGAAATATAGAACAGTATCTTGAGTAAGTTAGTTCCTTTATTCCTAAACATTGTTCATACCATTACAATTTTCAGAAAATAATATCTTAAGCGAGTTACTTTATTCTTAAACAATGATGGTTTCATGAATTGTTGTTACAGTTTTCTGTATATATTGATCTCATTATTCTTGTATTACTGTATTAGCTTGATAACGTTGAGAGAATACTCTTCGAAACGTCGCCCAAATAAATAAGTACCTGTTTTTCCATAAGTATGTGTTTTTTGTGTATTGAATTTACACAACATTACTCGTGTGTTCTTTTATTCTTTAACACTTTACGTAGCAATACAACTTTAATTAACATTTCATAAAGCAGAGGGGAATCAGGCTGGGTAAGACGCTGGAACGCTAGTCTGGAGGGCGTGGGTTCGCTCCAGGTGTTGGCCGAGAAAGTTCATCGAGATTGTCCTGCGTGGTTTCCCCTTGTCAGTCGTGCAGGACGGAGGCCCTAACAGTGACAGCTGTCTAGTCGTTCAGATGGGACGAAAACCCGATGTACTGTGTACACATCGCGGTGCACGTAAAAGACCCCCTGGCAGTTGGAATTTGACAGACTGTGGCACACTGGGAATCCCCTCATAGCACACTGTATGAAGTATGCCCGTCTTCATTAGCCCAGTCGGGGCAGAACAGTTGGATATTAAACCCCATTTCATTTCATTTTTATAAAGTAGAAACCTTTTAAAGGCTATTATCAGACTTGCTATTAATATGCATTTGTAACGTTCTTAGTTTTGATCTAACGAACCAACGGGTCCTTGCAGACTATAAAATAGATTCGAATAAACGATACAGAAAGAACAATCCACCTTACTTTTAGATGAAAATTCATATTAACGTTTCGTATTCTCCCGTGGTTTTACGGGGTTTTTTTTATTGTATGCCCTTTCGTATAGGGCAATAACCCAGGCGTCTCTTTCTTTCAGGACTCTGACAGAGAAACCACATATAGCTGGTTCACCAGAAGATGAAGATACATTAGTTAATTATATAAAAGATTTCTGGGAAAATGTTGGTTTTGATGATGTACAGACAGCAACTTACGATGTATTGTTATCTTATCCAGACAACGAAAACCCTAACATGATAGAATTACTTAATGAAAATAATGAAGTTGTTTATCAAACACCTATAGAAGAAGATATTCTTACTCCAGGCAAAAATAACACAGAGGGTATTCCCCCTTTTAACGCCTACTCTCCTAAAGGAATTGTTACAGTAAGTCCCCCTTTTAACGCCTACTCTCTTGGTTAACATGTTAATTATATGTATATTCACAGGGTCAGGTTAAGTTAATTATATGTATATTTACAGGGTCAGGTTAGGTTAATTATATGTATATTCACAGGTCAGTTATGTTTATTGTATGTATATTGACAGTGAAATGAAATGAAATGGGGTTTAACGTCCTACTGTTTTGCTCCGAACTGGGCTAAGGTTAATTATATGTATATTCATAGGGTCAGGTTAACTTAATTTTGAGAGAGAGAGAAATGAGGTTTAACGTCCACTCGACACAGACTAGGTCATTTCGGGACTAACATATGGTTTAATTTTATTTCAATAATTCAATAGGGGTCTTTAGCAATTGGAGGAAACCGGACGACCCGGAGAAAACCCACGAGGTTGGACAGGCGACCCTACTTCTTGTCACGTCAACCACGCCAGTTGACTCAATGACAGGCCTTATGATGCAGCGCGCGTGCTAACAATTCGGTCATTCCCCCCCCCACCCTAGGTTAATTATATGTAGAATGTATATTTACAGGGTCAGTTAGTTTATGTTAATTATATGTATATTTACAGGGTCAGTTAGTTTATGTTGATTACATGTATATTTACAGGGTCAGTTAGTTTATGTTAATTATGGTAGAGTAGAAGATTATATACATCTAGAATCTGTTGGTGTTGATGTATCGGGCTGTGTGGCTATATCAAGATATGGTAAAATCTACAGAGGAAGTAAGGTACGTTCATCTTGTAATATAGGTTCATTTTGTTTTCGATATAACCCTCAGTGGACATTACGCCCCCGACACCTCCCATTATGTGTACTATATACATACTTATAGCAAAAATTAGCCAATCACGTGAACTCCCCAAACAAGCAATACCATCAGTGGTTCTAGAAGAATATGCACACCCTTTCTCGGACTCGGAGTGATAGTTTGGAAAATGACTTCAGCAGCAGATAAGCTCGGGTGCAAGGGTGAGTTGGTGTGTTGAATCCGTTTTCCTATAAAAAATTGTCTAGCTAAATATTTATTCTAGGTTGATATAGCCCAGAGGTATGGTGTTATAGGATTAATTCTATACTCCGATCCTAAAGACTATACTATACCAGGTGAAGGAGTTTATCCCGACACATGGTGGTTACCTGGGTCTGGTGCCCAAAAAAATTTGTCTAGCTAAATATTTATTCTAGGTTGATATAGCCCAAAGGTATGGTGTTATAGGATTAATTCTATATTCTGATCCTAAAGACTATACTATACCAGGTGAAGGTGTTTATCCGGACACATGGTGGTTACCTGGGTCTGGTGCCCAAAGAGGTGGCCTGTTTACTGGTCAAGGTGATCCATTAACCCCAGGATATCCAGCTATAGGTAAGATTAAATGAATTTTACCGTTTTCTAGTAATACAATGTTGTCGTTAACCAGTTTAAGCAGTTTAGGGCACACAAGGGTTACCTCATTAATTTTTACCTTTAACCCTTTTGTAATATAATTTTTGATTTAATGTCCCATTCAGTCTCTGACATAAACTTTTTAACCTTCCGTACCGACACGTGAACAATGTTTTGATCTAAGTATGTCAGTGAATGAATAGTTATTTTGAATACGATATAATATAAGAATAATTAAATTTAATTTTTTGTTAAAAGTTCAATAGCCTCTTTAAATTACTATAGATTCAGCATATCGATATGAAGAAGATAAAGTGGAACCACCTCTTCCTAAAATACCAGCACATCCTATTGGTTATACTGTGGCTGAACAGTTACTCGTGTAAGTGTTTTTTTCATCATCAGTCGCAAAACATCAACAGCAGTATCACCAGCATCAGAAACATCAACAGCAGTATCACCAGCAGCAGCTGCAATTTCATTTAATATTAAAGTTTCTTTTCCCTGGTCTATCTTAAAGATGCATTACGTAAGCGCCAAAATCTGCATATTGTAGGTCGATCTTTTGGCTTCAAATGTTATATAATTTATTATATAGACATTTATTAACATGATAAGCCTTTAATCTACCCTGTAGACCATCGAATGACCGAGATTTAAAAGGATTTAAGCATCCGCGAGATTGAAAAATTTAACGATAAATTGGACAATCGAGGCTAAGTCTTTGTTGTCAAGTATCGTTGCTACAATACTGAACGCCGCCGTAGGGTTTGCAAAGATTTGTAAGAAGATGCTAAAATTAATTACTAGATATGCACATATATATTTTGTCTTTTATTGTGGGGCCCATTTATAGGCTCTGGTTCAGCTGGACCATTACCTCCATTTTCAATTTCTCATGGGGAAAAAAACTCTGTAAGCCCCCCTTCTCTTGGTGCATCACTTACTTATTTCATTTAATGGTTAACACTGAGTAGGACATAGCGTCAAGACACATTCGATATCGAAATATAATACTTGCGAGACCAATTTCAAAATTGTTGTTGCAATTGTCCATTGGTACATGTATGTCATTTTTAAAAATCTTAGTTTACAATCATACTCTAGACGCCCTTTCTCAATATTTATGTCTGTCGTTGACAGAGAAATATTTACAAAAATGTTTTAAAAAGTCAAAACATAATGATCGATTTGTTTTATTTCAGTAATTTAACAGGGGCTACTGTGATAGATGAATGGAAAGGTGGAATAAATATAACTTACACATATGGTCCAGGGTTTGTTAATGATAACTGGTTAGTATAAATATTTATTACAGAACTTCTAAAGAACTATCATGATGTTATTGTTATGATGTTGTTATATCACTTTCATTTATAGTATATATCATGTCGATTGTGTAAAACAAATTTTATAGATGTAATCCCTGTTTTGTATTGTGCTTCAGGAAAGTAAGAATGAACATTTCTACACAAAATGCACGACGTAACACAACAAATGTTATTGGATTTATAAAAGGGGCAGTAGAACCAGGTAAATGGATAGATTATTAAAGATAAATATGTTATGTTTGTTATTACAAATAAGGAGATATGTTATACAATATTTGGTTATTGTTATTGTAGAAAGATATTTATAGTTGGTGTTTGTTATTATAGATATATTATGTCTGGTGTTACAGATAGATATGTTATATTTGATTTATTGTGTTATTACAGATAGATATGTTATGTCTGGTGTTTGTTAATAAATATAGTTATGTTATGTCTGACTTTTGTTATTACAGATAGATATGTTATATCTGGGTTGTGTTATTACAGATAGATATGTTATAGTTGGTGTGTGTTATTATTATAGATAGATATGTTATATTTGGTAATCATCGTGATGCCTGGGTGTATGGGGCTATAGACCCTTCTAGTGGTACAGCTGTTATGATGGAAACTGCCAGAGCAATGGCTGCTCTGGTTAAATCTGGTAGGGCACCCTTTACTTGATTTTTAGTAAATGAATTATTGAGAGAAAGTTATACATGAGCACAGCGGTAATCCCAAAAGACCCATAGTTTTTGTTTCACCATTGGCATATTTCTGATGAGCTGTAATAACATCTGATTGTCTGAAAGAAAACAACAATAGATTCTTCAGTGTGCCACTTCTAAAGGCCATTTTAATAGCTTGGATGGTACAGATATGTGCTTTATGGAAATTAGATAGACTATTAAAAATGTTTATTTCGTAATGTTTAGTTTATGCATCAATTTAGCAGGTTTTACAAATTTTAATAGGTGACTGGCGACCACGTCGAACTATTTTATTCTGTAGTTGGGGTGCGGAAGAATATGGCTTGATAGGATCTACTGAATGGGTTGAGGTATTGTTATGCTTTTTGATGCTACAGTACTATGTCATTTAAAATGGAATAAGGGATCATTCATTCTAAGACGGGGTTGAATTTTTTTTCAGTATGTCATATTCTTAAATATTAATTTATCGAATGGGATGTATTTCCCCATGTGAACGCTTATTATTACTACTTTATAATTTCTAAAACACAATTTAATGCCTTAGTACTATTTCATTTAAAATGCAATACGTGATCATTCTGATTTGGGATTTGGGTTATGCAGTATATATACATCTAATTTGCTCACCTTTACACGCTTTAATCCACATGATGCCGTTACTTTTCTTGGTAATAAAAAAAGCATTAAAGGCATTATGTTTATCTTAATATATAATTATTTTACAGGAATATATAAAGAATATAAAAGAAAGGACTTTGGCTTATATCAATATAGATATATCAGTGGAAGGTAGTCTAATATATGTTTATTATTTGTGTATCAGTGACTGCTGTCTGTCACATAATGAAGCCGTACACACTGCCAACTGTGAAAACTACAATGATGTCTTTTCGTTTGGCATTATAAATTTTGTATAGAAAGAAAACAGCGATACTTTGGATTTGTTGGGCCAAGCGGTGATTGGGTAATGGTAGAAGTGAGAATCGTGGGTAATAACTAAAGACTAGAATTACCCTTGAAACTATATTCTTAAAATGGTATATTGTTACTAATAACAATTAAAGAGGAAATATTAAAATACAAAAGTCGTAAATGTGTCAACTGTCAATGGTCTGTAATTAGATTAGTAGCTTAATAATGACGGATTAACAGAAACATAGTAATAATAGATATGTTTAATTGAATGAATGAATAATGAACGAATGAATTATCGAAAGAATGAAATACAAACAATTCACAAATTTATCACCATTATAGTATTTTCATGTAATTTTGGAGAGAGCTATTATTATCCCACTTATTAGTGTCTAACGAATTTGGCTTGACTTTGATTTCTTCACTTCACATTGCGTATTCGCATTAGCCTCATATCGTTTCACGTTTGTTTGAAAATGGATAATTAAACATCATGGAAATGGATTATTAAACATCTTGAAAATGGATTATAAAACATCTTGAAAATGGATTATTAAATATCTTGAAAATGGATTTTTAAACATCTTGAAAATGGATTTTTAAACATCTTGAAAATGGATTTTTAAACATCTTGAAAATGGATTTTTAAACATCTTGAAAATCGATAATTAAACATCATGAAAATGGATTATTAAACATCTTGAAAATGGATTATTAAATATCTTGAAAATGGATTTTTAAACATCTTGAAAATGGATTTGTAAACATCTTGAAAATGGATTATTAAACATCCTGACTGAAAATCTATTAAACATGCATCATGCAAGGGCTAAATGTGCCTATTGCTGGTCTTTCTTTATAGGCCTGAAATATTAAACATCTTGAAAATCTGTTAAACAGGCATTATCTAAGAGATAAATCTGCTTATTGCAGGTCTTTCTTTACGCCTGTAATGTTATATCAATTATTAATTAGACATTAATTAACTTACCAAGACCAGAATCAATCCTCGATGCTATCGGATGCCTGTGATATTTAGTAGATTTAAATACGTTTTGTGGTGGATGTGGTTACCGTAAAATTGGACAATTGAGACTTTGTTTATTACCAAAACAACGACAGCAATGACAGTTGAGGCTAGCCTATAATTGTATCGCTTATATCTAGGCTCTGAGTGAAGGAATGTGACTGAAATTTTCAACATATCCTCTTTTCATTATCTATTTAACTATTATAGCGAGAATTGTCAGCTCTTTATCTAATCTTACTTAACGCCACTTTAATAAACATTTTCAAAATCTATTATTAAACATCTTGAACATCTTATTATTAAATTTAAATGCTTTATATTTCAGGAACAAACACACTCCGCTCTAAAACTACGCCATTGTTATACAACTTGATGTACGAAACTGCAAAGCTGGTATGATTGAAATTTTTTTTTATTAAAATCATTAATTGACGTAAACATTTCTAGTAGAGTGGGGAGATGGGATGGTAAACATGTTCTTGTCATATTGGATTGAAATATTTATTAACCAGCAAGACTTGTGTGGTCAAAACATCATGGCAGTAACTCTCTGTGAGAAGAGCGGGGCGCGCTCTCTATAAAATCCGGTTTCAATTATGAGACACGGGTTTTCTTCCGCTTGATTGTGCAAATGTAAATAAGTAAGGATATAAAACCTTTAGGGTTATGTGAACACTTCCAATGATATGTTTATCATACAGGTTGAGAACCCTAACGATACAGAAATAGCAGCAGGAAGAAAAACAGTTTACGACACGTGGTTATTAAACAGACCCTGGAACATTAATGGTGAAATTTACGGAAAACCAGAGTAAGATTTCAAACATAATCTACCAACATTTAAAGCCATCTTTCAGTTTGTTGACCCTTCTAAATTAGACGAAAAACGCATACAACACTACAAAACGCAGAGAGCACAGAGTACCAACACTAAAGCAAAACAATAACGCAAATTATAACATGTTTTGGACGAGAAAGTTCCGGCGTGGTTCCCCCTTGTCAGTGATGCAGGACGGAGGGCCTGACAAGGACAGCTGTCTAGTCCTTCGGATGAAACGAAAAACCGAGGTCCCGTGTATATATTGGAATGCACGTAAAAGATCCCCTGGCAGTTGGAATTTGATATAAGAGTAGGCGATAGTGCCGCTGCCCGGGCAAAATTTCCCTCATAGCACACTGTATGGGGTATGCCCGTCTTCATTAGCCCAGTATAGGAAGAGAACAGTAGGACGTTAAAACCCCATTTCATTTTCTAAACATGTTAACTACGTGAAGATATTGCAAGTCATCACCTGGCTTACCCAGATGTCTCATCAAAATCAGATGACAATTACGTTTTGTTATTTAATGTTGTACCACGCTGACATTTCACATACTTTCCGTTGTTCAGAACACGCAAACTCATTCTCCAATCAAATTGCTTATACTGGTAAACAGAGCTGTGTTTTTTAGGGAATTTGGGGAAATTTTAATCCCAAGGGTATATGCGAGTTATTCTGTGCGTACGATTATATTATGATTGGCTGTTACAGAAAGAGCAGATCTGTGGTGGAATGTTGCTTAGACTTGTAACGTACAAATCAAATAAAAGTAAATGAAATTGTAATACAATTCTGTTTAGATTTCCCACAGCCATTCCTCTAAAGTTATTGTCTAAAAAAAGGATTAGTTAAGAATTTAGATATTTTTTAAGTCTTTTTAAATTAGGATATCCATTTGGTAAATCGGAAACAATCGGCAGTGTTTTACAGAAGGTAAATTTCTCTGGTGCAGTGCAGATATACGCATCTTGTAAAATCACTTGTCATTGATTAATTGATTAACCCACACCCATGTATTTGTTTCTAGAATGCAATCGATGGGTTCCGCAAGCGACTTTGCACCAATCTTACAAAAAGCTGGAGTGACATCTGTAGATTTTAGATATACTTATGATACGGTAAGCTACTGAGTTTTAGGTTTATTAAATTTATAAATTAATTCATATACACGAATATTTCCAGTTCTGGTCATATGGAATTTGGGGTTATCAAAATATATATATATGATTAGTGAGAATTCGAATATTCTTAAATACTTTAACATTAAAAGCATAATTTTATAATTTGCTTGTTTTTTTGTTTTGTTTGTCATAGAACTTGCCTGTTGTTGGATATCCACTTTACCATTCACAGTATGAAACATTTTATGCTATGAAGAATCTCATTGATGTTGACTTTAAGGTATGCTCTGTATGATTAATTTGTATTTGAAAAAATATTTTGTTATCAAGGCAATTTGCAGTAAATCCAATATTTAGTATAAATGAAGTACCGCGATAATATCAAATTCAATAATACTTGTATGATATTCATTTAAATATTTAGTATCATCAAGCTGTTGCTCGTATTGGTGCTGAATTAGCCAGAAATTTAGCTGACTCCCTTATCATTCCACTAAGTGCATCAGATTATGCCTGGGATCTAGAAAACCTCAGAGTCTCACTAGATGCAGAATACGGTTCTTATTTAAGGGGTAACATCAGTAATTATGGTAAGTAGATATACATTATGTTATGTTCAATCCGATGGAATGAACACATTAACGTCAGAATATTTTATGACCTCAGAAATAAATCACATTGTATTTAAAACAAGAAAACTCAGTTATACATACCACCCCCAACTAAGTCGAACAACAAAAATACTAAATTAGATCTTTACTTAGAGTCTGTCATCAAGTCAAGTGGCGTGGTCCCCATCCCACATTTGACGTGGGAAGGAGTAGGGTCGCCTGTCCAACAACATGGGGTTTCTCCCGGTTCCCCGATTTCTGGGATGTGTATCACATGTTTGTATGAATTAAATCAGATGGTAGACTACCGAATTAATTCAGTGAATCCACCAAACTGTTTGTTTTTAAAGCTTTTAAATAGGCAAAGTTAGAAATAATGTGTTACATTCTCATTTTTTTAAATTTTAATTCCTAAAGACGACTTAGAAATGGTTGTTAAAAAGTTTGGTGAAGAGGCGGCCGACTTTGATGTAAGATTAAACAATGTCAATAAAAATGAGTAAGTTTTATTTTTGTATGTTTAATCTTTTGCGCTATATATGCGGTTTCAGTGGGCTTTAATTTTAGCGAATTATGAGGACTTTTGGAACTTAGCTGGGATAAATGCTGTGGTTAATTCCACAATAGACAAAACGTGATGTGACAAAAGTCTGTACACAAAATAATTATTCACTACAAACCAATGACCTTTCTGCACTTTAATAATACAAATCCCATTGCATTAAAGATACATTATGGGAGATTAGATAAAGAGCTGGCAGTTCTCACTATAATAGTTAATAACTAGATAATGTAAAGGGAATTTGCTGAAAATTTCAGTCTAATTGATCCACTCAGAACCGAGGTTTTAGCGATTGAATTTTGCGTCTAGCCTTGATCATCAATAAAAGTCTGTACGATAAAAAAACATATAGTCTCGATTATCCATTTTTTGATTTAATTATCAATGGACATTAAGCAGCAGATAGGATTCTAATCCAGAAAATATCACAGCCTAGCGATGCCATCGAGAGTTGATTATGGTCTGCATAAATTAATTAATGTCTAATTAATAATTTAGATAACATCTCAGGCCTAAAGAAAGACCTGCAATAGACATATTTAGCTCTTGCTTAATGTATGTTTAATGATTACACGGGTTCAAGCTTTATGGTATTATTTTTCTCATGATTCTGCTCTAACTTCTATAACGTTTGTTTATTTTCAACAGTCCATTATTAACAAGAGTAGTGAATGATCAGTTAATGTTGTTAGAGAAAGCGTTCTTAGATCCAGCTGGTTTACCATCAAGACCTCAAGCAAAGTAAGTTGTCTGTAACGTCCTACTGTTTTGTTCCGGCTGAGCTAATGTGCTATGAGCTAATGAGCATACGCGAGTGTACTATGAGGGAAATTATTGTGCCTGGAATGCGACGCTACGGCGTACTCTTATATCGAATTCCAACTGCCAAGGGATATTTTACGTGCACGCCAACGTATACACCGTTCGTCCTATCCGAACGACTATACTGACAAGGAGGAACTACGCAGGATAATCCTGATGAACTTTCTCGCCCAACTCAGGGATCGATCACGAAACGGTGTTTAAAATACTGCATGTAACGATATCACCGTCGTATTTATCAGTGTTTTCAATTGGCCATCTGCTGCAAGAAGGTCGTAGTTCCTTCATTATGCTATCCTTATTTTTGCTGGTCGGCTGTCTCTAATTTCGCGTGACGCCATGTATTGATTTGTTCAGAGAGTTGTTGACGTCCACTCAGAAGGAAATAGGCTATTGCATGGTTAAAATATTTTATTCCACTTATTCATTTCAGTGCAGGGATCTTTAGAAGGGGGTGCGGGGAATAGGTACCTTATCAATCAATGAGAATAACCTACCTTGTGGTCATAGTATAATGAGAGAGAGAGAAAGAAATGGAGTTTAACGTCCACTCGACACAGACTGGGTCATTTCGGGACTAATATATGGTTTAATTTTATTTCAATAATTCGCTTGCGCGTAGGGGTCTTTAGAAGTGGGAGGAAACCGGAGGACCCGGAGAAAACCCACGAAGTTGGACAGGCGACCCTACTCCTTGTCACGTACAACCGTGGAATCGAAACCCCGCCAGGCCGTATGATACAGCGCGCGCATGTTAACCATTCGGCCATCCACCCCCCCCCCCCCCCATAGTATTACGAGGAACACTTGACAAACCCACATTTATTATCAATTATTTTTCCTTTTAGACACGTAATAATGGCAGAAAGTAGTACTGATTCATATGCTGGGGATAGTTTTCCTGGACTTGTAGACTTACTGTTTGAGATTGATAAAGCAACCGACCCTAATGCACGATGGGAGGAAGTTAAGCAACACTTCTCTGTTATTCTATTTACTATCCAATCAGCTGCTTCAACTCTTCGTGACGTCACTCTCTTCCATTAATGATTAAATTGGATGAGGATGAGGAGAAACGCTCATTTTATAAATTGTATATAATTTTGTTTAAAATATATCAATAATGTAAATAATATATCAATATCGCTGATGTCAATGGTTGTGTATAAGTAAGGGCTGCCTAAACGTCAAATAAAGATGAAAGTTTGGAATAAGGGTTTAAACTTTCACCAATAATAGTAATAATAATAAAAGCACTTATATATGATGTTGGTTTGTTTGATAATATAGTATTTATATACGACATGTATATAAACTATTGAGGCACCATTACATACGTATTGAATCTCTGGCGATCTGTTATTATCTGATCAAAACATTTCATGTTACTATAGCAACTACTGAAATCTTGGTAATATGCCTGGTGGGGGAGGGGGCGGGGTGCATGGTCTATGGTCTAATGCAGGACTTTTTAGATTTTTTTATTCCTAGGGAGTTTTTTAAAATTTATTGGAAAGAGATTTTTTTTGTCTATTTCATGTAATATAATTATTATATATTTATGTTGTTGATTATGATTAGATAAAATATAAATAAATTTATGGTGATGTAAACATTGTATTTTAAATCATTGGTAATAAATAATATATTTTTATAGATAATGCATTCTGATTTGAAATGTATCTTGCTATAGAGTTGACAATACATACTTTAGGTATCAAATTATTTTGTTGTCAGCCCCAGATATTTAAAGAATTGTGTATTCAAAGAAAAAAAGAAAAAAAAATTTCTTAATCTCAATTTAAAAAATCTAAGATGGCGTCCCTTCCGGTAGTCATGAAATCTCTTCAGTACCTGCTGAGAAAACGTTAGCAAATAAACATAGTAAACTTCTCAAACAAATGGCCACATATCATTAAATTAAACATGCAATTTTCGGCCCTACATTTCAACCTAACCAACCTATAAACTCTTGTATCCTTCCGCCTCAAAATCATGAATATTCATCAAAACCTGGCAGAAAATGTATTTTCAAACCCTTTTCTTCCATTCTACACCAAAAAGTCAACAAACATCGCCATGCAAAAGGGGAAAAAGGGAGAGGGAGAGAAAGACTAAAAATGACTTGTTGGTAATTCTCTCCCCTATAACTTAATATTAAACCAATGACATTTCTTAGCCTAAAACATTTTTTTAACATTCCGAGCATCTTAATCTTTATAACCACAAACAGCCCAACATGTCACAATCATCAGATAACAATAATGAAGGGGGCTGATCGTTTCGATTTTTTATAGGCCTGGTCTAAGGAATCTATTTCCTGCAAATTCAAACACCCTTCTTCGATTATAGACCACGCAAATGGTCAGTGCCGGACTGGGCTCACCTGCCCACTGTCGTGACAGGTGGGCCTAAGCTCATTAAAAAAAAGTGGGCCTAAGCCCATAAAGAAAAAAGAAAAAAGAAAAGAGAAGAAAGGAGAGGGTGAGGACAAAAAAGAAAGGAGAGGACAGGATACTTGTGTTGGCTTTGGTCAATGACCACTCGGCAAACCTCAACAGATTCCAGTACCCTACATCTAATCTCGGCTGTATGACAAAGTCCGCCATTAGAACTACTTTCAAGTTCCCGAATTACAATGGCGTTGTCCATGACGACCAATGACGTCATTGATGACGACGTATTTGAAGAATGTTTTATCTCACAAAATTTTCAAAGTTTGAAGCTGTTTTTCTTTCAAGTTTATCCGATTTTCTTAAGACAAGGACACATTTGCACTGAAAATTCTACACACTCTTCGAACGACGCAATTTTGAGAACTTCTTTCTAAACCGGTGCCGCATCGCAAATGTATAGGCGTAGGTACATATCACTTACTGTCATACAGCCGAGGCTCGATGTAGGGTACCGGAATCTGCCGAGGTTTGCCGAGTGAGTCAATGACCTGACAGGTGGGCCTTCGACACACCAGTCCGGCACTGCAAATGGTAGAACGAGGGAATTTAAATAAATCCGTGTATTATATAATCAGGAGAAGCAATTATTATAGTTTTAGTCGATATGATCAAGTTGGATGTTTAAAAACGAAAAGAACAAAACGCCGATTTTTAACCCCTTGTTAAACCCATTTGTGATTTCGCCAAGTGTCACATTTTAAGGGCTATGAAGCCTATGATATGATCTAAGATAATTTTGTTTTACTTCACCATTAATAGATTCAATGGACCACCAATACCTTGAATTCAGACCCTATTTAAAAAAAACCCAGACATTTTGATTCGCTGTTAAATACACCAAAATTCATGTAATCTTAGTCACGCTGTTGGGACGTAACAGATATAGAGAATCTCCTACAAGTCTTTTTTGATATAAAAAAAATCGACACAAGTTGATAAAGTAATAAAAAACGAGGCTTTATCGACCAGTGTTGATATTTTTTGATATCAGAAAAGACGAGTAGGAGATTTTATTTATCACCCAATCCTTTCTTACGTGCACAAATAAATACATATAATTTTTTGCTATAGACTTCACTTGTACTGAACCTGATTACATTACGGCGTAGTGATACATCATTTTTTGACAGCAATTCAACCATTGCAAAGTCCTTTATATTGACCCAGTGTTTCCATCAAAGTCAATTAAATAAAAATATGTCATTTTCAATAAAAAAAAAAGGAGTTACTTTTAATAAAAAATGAACTGTTTTTTGAAAATACAAAAAAGTAGTTCCTTTTTAACTGACCAATCAAATTCATGTAAAGCGATATCTCCCAAGGATATATCGCAGTAGATTATGAAATTTATCACACAAGCGATATCTACTGTAGAATGTATTATTGGGTGATAAATAATATAGTCGAAACTACCCACAGCAATACAATAAAACAGTCTGAGAAAACATCGAGGACATTTTGCCGACAGCCATAGCACGGCTGGTAAAGTGAGACTCATTGTTGATGTTTCTTAAAGTCACAAAGGCTGGAGATGTGATGAAAGTTGTAGGAGGTAAGACTGATATTAAGGTTTAGGTCCGAATTCCTTAAATCTATTCACCATGTGAGTACCAAGGTTAAGCCTGAACTACAAAGAATACAATCTCATGATAGATGAACCGTGTTGTAGAAATTGTTCCCTAAAACCTGTTTCTGGTCTGGGTATCTCGCCAGAAGATTTTTTGTTTAGTTCATGATGGGATTTATATCACCAAGGGGAAGAGGGGGGGGGGGCAGAACGTGTGCACCCAAGAACGTGGGCATAGATTCAACTAGTGCATCCTGGAACAATTTTGATGAATCTCGTTTTTTAAAACCCACTAGATCCAACTCTTAAACGGTTAGGTTTTAACATTTTAGTAATGCACCACAAACGAAACCTTGTATATCAAACAATTTTATTATCAAATAAATAAATAATTATAATTCATTATCTGGTCGATGATATAGTTAGTACAACATAAACTGTTTTCATCAGATGTGTTCGGGTTTATTTTCAGATAATCTTTAGTGAAATAATGCATTAATAAGACAGGAGATAGTGACGCCTCTATATTTTATAATATACAGATATTATTATTATTATTTTAAACCCTCATTTCGGGAAAATGGGCCGGTTTGCCATATATAGTCTCTTACATATTCAATCAACCCAAGGAAATTACTCCGTTCTCACGAGGAAACTCTTGCGCTCCGTAGCCACATTGACAAGTACATATAAGTAAAAAGTGAACATCTTACATTACATGTAAATGATGATGATCACTGTCTGTCGTTTTGTACTTTATTTTAGAAATACGAAATTAGAAAATTATGCGGGCGAATTTTCCTTTGTTGTTGTGTTGAATTTGGCTTCAAGACGGTGCGGCGCATTATTGATATGGTGGGTGGATTTTTTGATGGCCGTCCCCCCCCCCCCCCCAACCCCATGGGGAAAATATGTTTGTGCGCCCCTGTAGACATACCTAACCTATTAAGTTTTATTATGTAGATACAAGAATAGACATGGGCATTATTGATTACAATATTTACTTTGTTATTGAGATTTTAAATCAAATAATATACAATTTATAAAATGGTCTTATCTCTTCATCATGAATGAAAAAGAGTGACGTCACGAAGAGTTGAAGCAGCTGATTGGATAGTAAATAAAATAACAGAAAAATGTTGTTTAACTTCCTCCCATCGTGCATTAGGGTCGGCTGCTTTATCAATCTCAAACAGTAAATCTATAAGTCCTGGAAAACTACTTCCGGCATATACATCATTACTACTATCCGCCATTATTATGTGTCTAGAAAAAAAAATAATTCATGTTATTTCTCAACATTAAAAATTGTAAATAGTTAGAATTTTATTTTTCGATCAGCCAAGGTATGCTCGTTGGTTGATATAAAAAAAAACTTATTTACGGCCATTTCCTTCCCCACCCTCTGGTCTAAGGATACCCTCACTCGAGCGAATTATTGAAATAAAAGTTATTCTTGAGTTGATCTCAACTACGACCTTCTTACAACCGAGAGCTAATTTCCTGATAAATACAAATGAAATGAAATGGGGTTTAACGTCCTACTGTTCTGCCCCTAACTGGGCTAATGAAGACGGGCTTACGCCATACAGTGTGCTATGAGGGAAATTTTGCCCAGACAGCGGCACTACGGCCTACTCTTATATCGAATTCCAACTGTCATGGGATCTTTTACGTGCACAACAATGTTTACACGGGACCTCGTTTTTTCGTCCCATCCGAACGACTAGACAGCTGTCCTTGTCCGGCGCTCCATCCTGCATCACTGACAAGGGGGAACCACGCCGGAAAATCTGGATGAACTTTCTCGGCCAATGCAGGGATCGAACACCCGACCTCCAGGCTAGCGAGCCAGCGTCTTACCCACTTAGCCACCGTGACCCCCCCCCCACCGATAAATACGATGGTGATATTGTCACACCGTTTATAAAGAGAAACTTACTTTTTCAAAGGTCTTGATGGTAAACCGGCTGGATCTAAGAACGCTTTCTCTAACAACATTAACTGATCATTCACCACTCTTGTTAATAATGGACTGTTGAAAATAAGCAAACATTATAGAAGTTATAGCAGAATCATGAGAGAAAATCTATAATCTACATTGGAATATGAAGTACAATGGGTAACTTTAAAGATGGTTGCCTAGTCAAGTATTTTTAATATTTGTTAAATAACTTTTTGGGCAGGTTAATCTAATTATGACTACCGTGTATTCATAAGTTTGTGCATATCAGTGGTCCCATTTCTTAATTAGATGCGTTAGGTTTATTATGTACATTACAGTAGGCGCAATCACGAGATTCGCAGGTTGGAAAATTAAACCCACCGATAAGCTATGAGTGGGTCGTCAATGCCACCAAAGGGAGTTTACTCGAATTTACCTGAAATTTAGCATACTGTGCCCCCGAAACTACATAAGTAAAAGATCCAATTTACAAAGTCCATATTGAAAAAATCCTCTACAAAAACAAAACGTACTCATTTTTATTTACATTGGCCAATCTTATCTCAAAGTCGGCCGCCTCTTCACCAAATTTTTTAATAACCATTTCTAAGTCGTCTTTTATGTAAAAAAGAAAAACACACACACATATAGTACATTATTTCTTACTTTATGGAAACATCTCCTATTTAAAAACTGATGGCTTAGTGGATTAACACAATTAAATCGGAAGTCTGTCGATGTAAATCATAAAAGAAAATCATGAAAACGTTCACACTGCTAGATTTAACTCATAAAAACACGTGATATAGCAGATTAATGCGTGTACACTGCTAGATCTAAATCATATAAACATGTGATTCAGCACATTAATACGTTTACACTGCTAGACCTAAATCATATAAACATGTGATACAGTGCGTGAAGACATTCACATTGCAAAAGTTATGTATCTAAGCATTTTCGTGGCTGATGTTAGTGGCTATACTAAGGATATCCGTGTTTGTAACCTAACGTCGAAGATGTCAATTCAAATAACTATAAGAAACGACAAGTGGCATTGGGGCGGGGCTAAATTTTATAATTATTTCTGAGGTCATAAGAACTTATGATGTTAAACTGCCCATTTCATCGGATGAAACATAACAATATCTGCTTACCATAATTACTGATGTTACCCCTTAAATAAGAACCGTATTCTGCATCTAGTGAGACTCTGAGGTTTTCTAGATCCCAGGCATAATCTGAGGCACTTAGTGGAATGATAAGGGAGTCAGCTAAATTTCTGGCTAATTCAGCACCAATACGAGCAACAGCTTGGTGATACTAAATTATTAAATAAGAAACATAGGAAATAAGTTAAATACGTAAAACGCCTCCTATATGAGAAATATCACGATACTTCATTAAAGATACATTATGAGAGATTAGATAAAGAGCTGGTAGTTCTCACTATAATAGTTAAAAACTAGATATTGTAAAAGAAATTTACTGAAAAATTCAGGCAAACAGATCCACTCTGAACCGAGATTTTAGCGATTGAATTTTCGGCCTAGCCTCGATCATCACTACTAAAGTCTGTACGATAAAAAAACATAGTCTGGATTATCCAGTTCCTGATTAAATCACGAATGAAAGTTAAGCAGCAAATGGGACCCTTATCCAGTAAATATCGCAGGCTAGCTTTAACACCGAGAGTTTATTATGGTCTAGATAAGTTAATTAATGTCTAATTAATAATTTAGATAACATTTAATGCCTAAAGAAAGACCTGCAATAGACAGATTTAGCTCTTGCATAATGTATGTTTAATACTAGTAGTTCACTTATACTGTCGTCTAACAAATAGTAAAAAAAAAATACTTTCAGATACCACATTAATCATACAGAGCATACCTTAAAGTCAACGTCAATGAGATTCTTCATAGCATAAAATGTTTCATACTGTGAATGGTAAAGTGGATATCCAACAACAGGCAAGTTCTATGGCAAACAAAACAAAAAATAAACAAATTCTAAAATTATGCTTTCGTTAAAGTATTCAGGACAATTCGTATTCTCACCAATCTTATAAATATATAGGCTAATCATTTTGATATTTGTCAATAAAATAAACCAATCTATGCTGATTGAATTTCCTGGCCATTTAATCATGGGGTAACCCGAATTACATATAACCAGAACTGGAAATGTTCGTGTATAGGAACTGATTTACAAATTTAATAAACCTAAAATCCATGATCTTACCTTATCATAGGTTAATCATGGGATAACTAAAATTTCATATAAACAGAACTGGCAATATTATGTATAAGGAGCTGAAGTATCAATTTAATGAAATAAAATAAATCTACTTTATAAAAACCGCCTTCAAAACGTTGACTAATAGCTTACCTTATCATAGGTATACCTAAAATCGACAGATGTCACTCCAGCTTTTTGTAAAATTGGTGCAAAGTCGCTTGCGGATCCCATAGATTGCATTCTAGAAATAAGAACCAATTTAGCAATGATAAGTTAATGTACAGCATGCGAATGCCTCTCGTGTTAGAGAGTTGCACATACCAGCTATCCAAACAAATGGGAAATATGCCCTACCTGTCCCGTTTACCGTCTCTAAAACACTGTCGATTTTATTTCGTTTTACAAAATTGATATCCTAATCTTGAAAAGGATAAGCTTCTCATCGAGCACACTCATGTAAAGCTCCGAAATATCTAGATCTTTAAATAAACTTGTTTTTTTTTTTTTTAAGAATTTTTAAATTTAGACGAATGGGCAATCAAATTAAAATTAGATTGAAATTTCGTTTATTTAACTTTTATCAGATTTTCACAGTACAGTGTGATCTATTATTTACGCCCTCTACTATAATCCTAAACACATCAGAATAACTCGTATATTCGCATGGATTTTAAAATTACCACAATTCATCACAGAACGTATCTCCTTATACCAATACAAGCAATTGGATTAGCGAATGAGTTCGCGTTTTCCGAAAATGTGTTACAGCCAACGCCATAAATTAAAAGTGATAGCTGGGTTAATCGGGGGCTAGAAAGGTTGCTGGCCTGTAATAACGTTTCAAAGCTAAAATGTTTGGGTTTACCGTGCTTGCCTTTTCCTAAAAGAATTGTGAGGTGTGAAGGGTGTCGTATAATGTTGGTAGATTAACTTTAAAATCTTACTCTGGTTTTCCGTAAATTTTGCCATTAATGTTCCAGGGTCTGTTTAATAACCACGTGTCGTAAACTGTTTTTCTTCCTGCTGCTATCTCTGTAGCATTAGGATTCTCAACCTGGAGGATAAACATGTCATTGGTTTGGTTTACAGATCGATCTTCGACCTCTTTGTTTATATTTTCTTTACATTATTTCACCACTTACGTATGTGATATCCAACAGAAATAAATACACTACTTTTTCTAGACAACGCGCCACGCTCTTCTCTCAATTACTACTAAGATCAGTGTCAATTTCAGCTTTCCAATGTATTTACGTCTCTCAAAATACATCTTAAACTCGTTTCAAGACCTCTGACTGTCGACAGGTCGTCTTAAATGACAGTTGCCATCACGTGTTCATTTACGTGAGTAGGGCGTTGGCTCGGTAACATGGAGGTCCCGTGTTTGATCCCGGGATTTTCCGGCATGGTTCCCCATTGTCAGTGGTGTAGGACGGAGGGGGGGGGGGCTGGCAAGGGACAACGTATAGTCGTTCGGATGGGACGAAAAAACGAGGTCCCGTGTACACATTGGCGTGCACGTAAAAGAACCCTTGGGAGTTGGAATTCGAAATAAGAGTAGGTCACAGCTACACCTCAATGTGACGCCACGAGCATGGAGCATAGCAAATCAGAATTGAAATATATTAATAATAACTGAGGTTAACTAGTGTCTTGTTGGTTTGTACGTCACAATAACCATTTCTTTTCGGATATTTATTTTTTCATATTCCGTACATCACAATAAACACCTCAATTCCAAAACATGTAAAACATTTTACCACCCACACTCCCAAGCAGCGCATCGACGAAATACAGTTATGTCAATTAATGATGTTAAAAATGTTTTCAATCATACCAGCTTTGCAGTTTCGTACATCAAGTTGTATAACAATGGCGTAGTTTTAGAACGAAATGTGTTTGTTCCTGAAATATAAAACACATAATTGTTATATCTTATTTGATAATAGATTTTCAATAAAGCATTTAAATAACTGGCGTATCGTTTGTTATTTCTTGTTAAAGATACATTATGTGAGATAAGATAAAGAGATGGCAGTTCTCGCTATAATAGTTAAAAACTAGATAGTGTAAAGGTAATTTGCTGAAAATTTCAGTCAAATTGGTACACTATGAGCCGAGAAAGAAGCGGGTGAAATTTTTGCATAGTCTCGGGCATCATTACTAAAAGCATTAATATAAACAGCATAGTCTCGACTATCCACTTTTTTTATTTATTTATCAGTGGCCGTTAGCGGCATATAGAAATCTAATCCAGCCAACATCGAAGGCTAGCCTTGACATCGAGAGTTTATTATGGTCTGGATAAGTTAATTAATGTCTAATTGATAATTTAGATAACATTTCAGGCCTACAGAAAGACTTGTAATAAGCAGATTTTGCTCTTGCATAATGCATGTTTAAAAAAGCAGACATGAAAATCAGATTAATTAGAATAGCCGTCTTCAGGATTATATGTATGGGCATCCAATCAAAGGTATAATGCAATATTGCAAAAAGTATTTTTCATATTTGAATCTAAACATAATTTTACCTTCTACTGATATATCTATATTGATATAAGCCAAGGTTCTTTCTTTTATATTCTTTATATATTCCTGTAAAATAATTTTAAAATTTAATGTTCTGTATATTCTTGTATAACAACATTAATCACTAGTCTAAAACAAAATCTTATGGACAATTGGGACAAAATTTAAAAACAGCAAATGGAGTCAAATGCGGAAAACTAAATCCTATTTGATAAATGATATTATGGGAACTGAAATAGGTAGGCATATTACATACAAGAAAAAACACGGGACTTATTGGTGAATGATACAATAAGTAATAATAATAATCTTACTTCAACCCATTCAGTAGATCCTACCAGGCCATATTCTTCCGCACCCCAACTACAGAACAAAATAGTTCGACGTGGTCGCCATTTACCTATAACATATTTTGAAACATGTTAAATGGATATAATCCGTTAAATTAGCGTATGATGTGACTGTATCTTTTAAATTGGTGTATAATCTATCTGTTAAATTAGTGTATAATCTAACTGTATCTGTTAAATTGGTGTAAAGTCTAACTGTATCTGTTAAATTGGTGTATAACCGGACTGTATCTGTAACACTGATGTATAAGCTAACTGTGTCTGTTAAATTGGAGTATAATCTAAGTGTATCTGTTAAATTGGTGTATAATCTAATTTTATCTGTTAAATTGGTGTATAATCTAACTGTATCGGTTAAATTGGTGTATAATCGGACTGTATCTGTTAAATTGGTGTATAAGCTAACTGTATCTGTTAAATTAGTGTATAATGTAACTGTATCGGTTAAATTGGTGTATAATCGGACAGTATCTGTGAAATTGGTGTATAATCTAACTGTATCTGTTAAATTGGTGTATAATCTGAGCATTACGACTTATCGGTAAAACATTACTAATGTGCTTATCCAGCTCATACGATGTCCATTATACAACTAGTTGAAATGACCTTTCAAATTAGTATAAATTATTGCAGCTCATCAGAAATATATCACTAATACTATAGCAAGTTTTTTAGCTTTTTTTTCATAATTAGTTTAAGGTTCACAACTAGGGACTAATGATTGCCTTTTGTGTATCTTTATTTCAATAATTCGGTACTAAAGAAATCAATTAAAAGATGTCCTACCAGATTTAACCAATGCAGCCATTACTCGTGCAGTTTCCATCATAACAGCTGTAGCACTGGACGGATCTATAGCTCCATACACCCAGGCATCACGATGATTACCAAATATGACATATCTATCTATAATAACAAACACCAGACATAACATATCTATCTATAATAACAAACACCAGACATAACATATATATCTATAATAACACACACCAGACATAACATATATATCTAAACTAACAAACACCAGACATAACATATCTATCTATAATAACACACACCAGACATAACATATCTATCTTTAATAACACCTGACATAACATATCTATCTATAATAACAAACGCCTGACATGACATATCTATTTGTAATAACACCTGACATAACATATCTATCAATAATAACACAAACCAAATATAAATATCTATAATAATAATACACGCCAAACATATCCATCTGTAACGACACATCAAAAATAACATATCTATCAATAATAACAAACATACATTATGCAAGAGCTAAATCTGCTTATTGCAGGTCTTTCTTTAGGCCTGGAATGTTATCTAAATTATTAATTGGACATTAATTAACTTTTCCAGACCATAATCAACTCTCGGTGTCATCGCTAGCCTGCGATATTTACTGGATTAGGATCCGATCTGCTGCTCTACGCCCATTCATTATTAGATCAAGAAATGGATAATCGAGACTGCATATTTGATCTTACTGTCTTTAGTAATGATGATCGAGTTTAGGCCCAAAATTCAATCGCTAAAATCTCGGTTCAGAGTTAATCAATTTGACTGAAATTTTCAGCAAATTCCCTTTACATTATCTATACTTTTTAACTATTATAGTGAAAACTGTCAGCTCTTTATCTAATCTCCCATAATATATCTTTAATATAACATAATGATACCTGGTTCTACTGCCCCTTTTATAAATCCAATAACATTTGTTGTGTTACGTCGTGCATTTTGTGTAGAAATATTCATTCTTACTTTCCTGAAACACAATACAAAACAGGGATTTTATTTATACAATTTGTTTTACATCATCAACACGATACTATAAATGAAAGTGAAACATCATAACAACACCATAGTTCTTCAGAAGTTCTGTAATAAATATATACTAACCAGTTATCATTAATAAACCCTGGTCCATATTTGTAAGTTATATTTATCCCACCTTTCCATTCATCTATGACAGTAGCTCCGGTTAAATTTCTGCAAAATAAAACAAAAGATTTTACAGTCATAAATTTCATTGTATACCAAGCTTTAACAATAAATAAAATACTAACAAACAGCTTCAGAAGAGATTGTGAAATCAGGCAAATTAAAATTTTGCCCTCACTAAGAAATGTTATAGTATTATATTTTGAAATAGAGTCTGTTGTGAGGCTGTGTCCTATCCTATATAACCTATAACTCGTTGATTAAAATAAGCACGTGCTGTGTCAGGGGAATTGGAAACCGCACAGTTTCTTCTAGTTTCACATTTAACAAGGTGGAAATGATGTAGTTTCAGGAGGAACCACAAAAAGTGCCTATACCATGTTCATTTCCGAGCTCACCGCCCCCTCCCCCACTCTTTCCAAACAAGACAAGAAAACGAATGAAAAATTAAATACTCCCTTACATACAATACAAGTAATTAGTGACACCTTTAACGGCCTATCCGTGTATATGTGGATGGACTGACCCATAGGCCACCATAGTCGTGACCTCCGCCCCAACCCACCTATAATAATAAAAAATTCATCGCTACTTCTCGGTGACACCTTTAACGGCCTATCCCTGTATATTTGGATGGATTTACCCGTAGGCCACCATAGTCGTGACCTCCGACCTTGCGTTTTTGTGCAGACACTGCTGCTGCTGTTTGATCAACTACTGCTGATGCTACTGCTGTTGGTGTTACTGCCGTTGATGGTACTGCTGATGATGATACTGATGCGGGTATTGCTGTTGTGATAACTAGTGATAAAATTAACTTACACGAGTAACTGTTCAGCTACAGTATAACCAATAGGATGTGCTGGTATTTTAGGAAGAGGTGGTACAACTTTATCTTCTTCATATCGATATGTTGTATCTATAGTAGTTAATTTAAACAGGAATTAGGCAGTTTAACAAGAAACTAAATATAATTAATTTTATATAACATCATATTTAAAAAATAACCATAGATCTATCTCATTATGGAATAATTGAGACGTGGCACATTTAAATCAAAGCATGCGCCTTCGCTGAACATCTGAACACCAGTTTAAGCTAAAAATGTTCATATATCTATGCGATGAATTGGCACGTCAAATTATTTTTTTTATTTTATTCTAAAGCATCTTTAAAATCGAAATAACAAGAGGGTTAAAAGTTCAAAAGAATCTTAGTGTGAGATTAATCTGGTTAAAGCCAACGTTGTGTAAACGAAAATGAATAATTCATTTAATCTTACCTATAGCTGGATATCCTGGGGTTAATGGGTCACCTATACCAGTAAAAATAGTTCCTCTTTGGGCACCTGAGCCAGGTAACCACCATGTGTCGGGATAAACTCCTTCACCTGGTATAGTATAGTCTTTAGGATCAGAATATAGAATTAATCCTATAACACCATACCTTTGGGCTATATCAACCTAGAATATACTTATTTCACATACAAAAGCATTCCAAACCACAATGCCCCCTTTCCGGGCACTAGAGCGCTGTTACCCCCCATCCCCCTCCACCGCCCCTCCTTTCACGCCTCTGATACAGAGCACCTGATTTCCACTCCGAGTATTAACTCCTCAATATTCCCAGTAACCCCAGCTGCTGAAGCCTCGGTCCAAATCATGACGTCTCTTAGCTATAAGCTAGCTATAAGCTGTAGCATGTATCATGCGAGAGGAAGAGTGTGTCTACTCCTAGAACATCGTGTGATATTTTGATATTTTTACTTTGAGGTTTTCAAGTGTTATAATTATGTATTATATTAATGAGTAATTGCCATTCTGAAAACAGCCTATATAAGAACATGGCGTACCTTACTTCCTCTGAAGATTTTACCATATCTTGATATAGCCACACAGCCTGATACATTAACACCAACAGATTCTAGATGAATATAATCGTCTACTCTACCATAATTAACATAAACTAACTGACCCTGTAAATATACATATAATTAACATAAACTAACTGACCCTGTAAATATACATATAATTAACCTAACCTGGCCATGTAAATATACATATAATTAACCTAACTTGACCCTTTAAATATACATATGATTAACATAAACTAACTGACCCTATAAATATACATATAATTGACCTACCCTAACTAACCCTGTAAATTTATATACATGTACATATACATGTAGAAAGTTTGAACTCCAAAGTCCAAACTCAACGATTCCTAAGTGTGGGCGTTAACCAATTTGACCCGAACTCAGAGATTAGGCATAAAATGTGAGACTTACTGTAACAATTCCTTTAGGGGAGTAGGCGTTAAAAGGGGGAATACCCTCTGTATTATTTTTGCCTGGAGTTAGAATATCTTCTTCTATAGGTGTTTGATAAACAATTTCATTATTTTCATTAAGTAATTCTATCATGTTAGGGTTATCTTTATCTGGGTAAGATAACAATACATCGTAAGTTGCTGTCTGTACATCATCAAAACCAACGTTTTCCCAGAAATCTTTTATATAATTAACTAATGTATCTTCATCTTCTGGTGAACCAGCTATATGTGGTTTCTCTGTCAGAGTCCTGAAAGAAAGAGAAGAAAAGCCCGCTTCTTTTTTAAAATTTCACTGGACATGTCTAAAAGTAAAATATGCTGTTTTCTTTCTTTACCCCATTTCGTATCATATATTCGATTTGATAGTTCGCAGGGAACCGTTGGTTTATTACAGTATGATTGTAGGAACCAGGGCCCTGTTTCTCGAAATCTTAACTAAAGATAAAATCCAAATTTTAGTAGATACTTCACTTTTGATTGGCTAAGCACTAAAATCAATCTAACATTATCCAATCAAATTGCTAAAATTTGGATTTTATCTTAGTTAAAATTTCGTGAAACAGCCCCCAGGAAGGTTAAATATACATACCAATCGTCTTATAGCAAAAGAATTATTTTTATTGCGTAATGTTGCGTAAAGTGTTAAAGAATAAAGAAACTCACAAAAGATACAATTCTGAAAATTGTAATGTTGCGTAAAAGGTTTGAAAATAAAAAAACTCACTTTAGATATTGTTCTATATTTTTGTTGTCGATGTTTTTTAATAACAAATCTCTGACAGACAGATCGGCTTCCTTTATGATGGCGTCTGAAACTCCGGGAAGGAAGACGCCATCTTTTTCTGGTGTGACAGGAACTTCCGCTGGTGGAGATGACGTATCACAAGCGGCGTATTTACCTATTAATATTCCTATTATAAAAGCTGCTATTCCTATTATTATTGCTATAATCCAGAATTTCCTTGTTGGTGACTTGGTCCTATATACTCCTATGTCATCTTGGATTAAATCAAACTCCGGCATCTTTAATTATTCTAGATGTTCTCTATCTTATTTTAGCGAATGAAACGTCTCAGTTTGCTTAATATTGAAGATTGTCTATATTAATATTTACTAGTTGGTGTATACTGAAGAGAAAAACATAGAAATATTGAACAGTCAGCAATAATGCTATACAAAATATATAAATAATTGTAAATGGTTAATTAGGTCCCATGGGTGTTTGATGTCAAAATGTCCGGTAATTCATATGACTGTGGTCATAGTTTTTGACATCCAACATTAGTCAAAGCAAATTCGTAGAAAAATGGACAAATGGTCCCCAATAAGCACACTAGTGACCAATCATGGAAAAACATACATCGCAGATCTCGAGGGTCGGTCTTTAAGAGAGTTCTTAGAGCTATTTTAAGATTACTGTTGTTTTAAAACCATGTATGTAGCTTCTGGTATATAAATCCATATTTAGAATAACATTCCCGAATGGGATTATTAAAATTACTCAACGTGAAGTCAAGTGAAGTCCAGATTACAGGTCATGAACGCAGAAAACGGGATCACAAGATCTAGTTGAAGACAATGTCACACAGGATCGTGTCACATACACCATAGTGGTAAACTATTTTGTACATTCACCATAGTAATTACTGTTCCTCGTTTCTTTCTTCTTTACCAATGTATATGTTATCAATATTTATTATGTCATTGTTATCTTGTGTCATAATTATGTTTGGTATAATAACTATCTAATCTATCTTATCTTATCTAGAATCACAAAACATCTGAAAGGTACAATTTGTTTAAGTGTTCAAATGAATCTTTTAGTTTGTATATAATAACATCTAAAATGCGCGTCTTTGATCAAAATCAAAAGTTTTTGATTTCAAACTGCACGAAGTATTTTAAAACTTTCGTACTAATGGCCCATTTCACAGTAGCTCTCAATTTAGGTGGTTTTCAAGAAGTTTAAGTAGTTCAGCATAGTAAGTTGTGTTTATGAGTAAAATACATGAACAATCCCAAAGATAAAATCCTTTAAATTGAATACCGATTAACTTAAAATTAAGCAAACACATTAGATTTAAGGTGGTTACTTAAATTTAAGGTAGTTAACTTTAATAGGCAATTCTAACAAAGTGCTTGCTCGCATTGTATATTATACTTACAACCTCGACAACAATCATGTGCCCTAACCTTATTTACATCTCAGTGACCTAGATGAAAATTGGGTTGGCTTTAACAAATAGATCTATCCGGTATTACATGCATTCAAGGGGAGCGGCCATTTTTTCGCGCAGTTTCGGTCCAATTTTCACGAAATTTGAACTCAACCGTAATTCTGGTGTAACTTTGATATAATCATACGGATTTTACAATCAAATAAAAACGGTGACTTTTACAGGGTTCGCAAGCTAAAACCTGGTTGTTCGTACAATTATGGGTCATGATCTAGGAAGTGACGGTCCTATATGCGCCAACCTTGGCATTTTTATGCATATATTTGTCAAGTTCAGTATCACGGGATTAAACCACCATAGATTGTGTTTTTATGGTAAGGGAATTAGAAAAGAAATAACATTTCACTTCATTGATGAGTAATTTTAGTGGCCAGAAATCGCTCAGAAAGCTTCTCCGGCGATCTAGAACCCCAAGAGCTTCCGGGCCTAGGTAGCACCTGGACCCTCGCCTAAAGTCCCAAGATGGTAGCCCCCACCACCACCAAATCAAGAATGCTTCAACCGGCCCTGTTGTAGTTTACTTGACTTCTTTTATACATTTTCAAAAATTGTATCATTGTTTAAAAATATCAATTATAAGTTGCCTTACCATGTTCTGGTATGTACATAATATATCCTAGTCTGTACTAAAACATCCGAGAGTTCCTCTTTCACACCTAACCATGTATGTAACTTTATCTAATTACATGTATGTAGGTCGTCAGACTCATGCGATCTGTGTGTGCAAGTATGTCTATCTTTTTCAAGGTGTATATGTGCTACGGTCAAAAGTGCAAAAGGTCAGTTATTGTACACCTGCCGTCGGAAGATATAGATGGATGGATAGATGAAACATCGAGGGAGGACAGCATACAACATAATAAACATATACTGTTGTTCAGTTATATACCTCGCTACGAGGAGTTTTTGCGCCTCCCTTGAGTTTTTGCGCCGCCTTGAATTGTTATGCCCCATCGCAAATGGCAAAAAATCACGGAGTTTCAATGCGATTTTCAACATTATAATCATAATCATAATGGATAACCAGTGCCAAACATATACCGTGGGTCAGATATGCTACGAATCGACTCTAACATGTTCCACACAGCGGCACTGGGACCCCCACCCCACCGCCCGCACAAGCATTTAATATTGGTTTTGAGGGGGGGGGGCGGACGCAGGGGCGGATCCAGGAACTTGTGCAGCGACTCCTTCAAATTATAGAGAGAAATCCAACACCCCGTTTGGCGTCAATTTATGAATTAATAGGGTCTCATTGTGATTCAATTTCATTGCTGCAAAGCAGTAATTGTGTTATCACATACGTCTCTATCATTATTTCACGCTTTGAATGCCCCGTCCCACCGTCTGCTAGTGAAGGATATAGCATCTTTTTAAATGTAGCTGAGCAGGGTGGGGTTTGCCTCCCCCACCCCGGGATCCGCCCCTGGGCCGGGATCTTGTTACTCATGCAGAATCATGGGTCACCACGCCCCTAGCTACCATTGAAATTTAAAATTTTCAAACTGCAATCGCCATGCTGTCTTCTTTATCAGACATGGGCAGTCCTGTATTAACCATTAAGCTTAGAGCACCAAGGGATGGGGGAACCAGTGTCGAGGGGTTTGGTGGTCTAGTGGTTGAACGCGCGTGTGTTAAATCATAAGGTCTGTCACTGAGTCAAATGACGTGGTTTCGATTCCCCGCTTGTACGTGATAAGGAGTAGGCTTTCTCCGGGCCCTTCAGTTTCCTCCCACTTCTAAAGACCGATACGCGCAAGCGAATTAGTGACATAAAGTTGAACCATCTCTCTCCCTCTCTTCTCTCTCTCTCTCTCTCTCTCTTGTGTTTATAGTTTGTCTTACCTCATTTACTCAAAAGCAACAGCAAATTTTCTCAGCAACACAATATTCTCTCGGTTAAAAAGATTAAATATATCCCCCTCTTTTATTATGAATCCGGTAACAATATTTAGATTTGCATGCACAGAAGCAAGCAAGATATGCTGTATTTTGAATCAGGTAACAATATTTAGATTTGTATGCACAGAGGCAAGCAAGATATGCAGTAATCTTTCACTAGCTATAAAAGGTTATCAAAACACATGCGACAATGTACAACCTACGTGATGAATCTTTCAAGTTGCTTGCAGGCTTTAAACTGTAATAGATTGTGTGTCTTCATTTCGGACGAGGTGGATAAAATCCATAAAATAATGGACTGGGCTAAGCCTAATTTTCTAAGATTGTATTAATTCCAATTGGCTCTAAAACTCAGCTTAATCCACTAAAAACAGAGACGCTATCTATTAGCGACAGCGAAATACTCTTTTCCTAAAACGGCACAAAAACCTTGCTAGTAGTAGGAAATAAATGAAAACGCTCATAACTAAACCTTGCCGTCCAATTAGTTTTCCCCTATCATATTGGAGAACCAAGATCGTTTTGTGAAAACTAGATTCTTGCAATTTTACTCCTATGCCAACCCCATGCATCGTTTCATTATCTATGATTTAACTATATATTATAGCCAGAACTGTCAGTTCCTTTAATATAGATAATTTTAAAAAAAAATATAACTATTCTTTGGTTAAACAGAAGCCAGTAACTGAAGTTTTGTGATCCGTTGATTTGTTACAACTATAATTCTTGACGCCTTTTTCTAGATCAGTTGGGGTTAATAGAAAACACAATATGCTGAAAATTTAAGTCAAATTGCTTAACTCGGAACCAAGATATTAGAAGTTCAATTTTAGGCTAGCGTCGATCATCATTACTGTTAAAGTTGGTATCATAGTTAGCCTCGATCATCATTACTGTTAAAGTTGGTATCATAGTTAGCCTCGATCATCATTACTGTTGAAGTTGGTATCATAATAAACAAAGTCACCATTTTGAATTTTAACGTTAAATTATCCTTCACAAAATGTATTCAAATATACTAAATATCTCTGGTTAACGATGGCATTGAGAGTTGTTTATGGTCTGGATAAGTTAATTAAAGTCGAATTAATAATTTAGCTAACATTTCAGACCTAAAAACATTTGGTGCCCAAGACATCAGTGCTATAACAACATAGTTTGAAAAGCAAAATGGATTATCTACAAAAATACATAATTTATTATCAGATTTAAAATACAAGTTTTACATCACCATACATTTATTTATAGTTCATCTATATATAATCAAAAACATAATCATAATCATCAACATTAATATATAATAATTATACTACATGAACTAAACAAAAAAAAAACCTTTATAATAAATTTCAAAACTCTCTAGGAATAAAAAAATCTAAAAACCTTGATTTTTACACTACATTTTAATCTAAAGTTTCCATCTCAACTGAGTTCTCACAGTGACAGTTCTATGTATGCCAACGAGTCATAATTTTAGCAATTCAATTTAAACTAAAAATCGCGTAGCAATACAAACTATTTGATTGGCAGGTAATAAAACTTAATTAATAACAATAATAAACTTAATATTATGTTTTATTATTTATATACAGGCATAAAGCAATATCTATATTCTAATAAGTTTACATTATTATAGGGGAATTAAACTTCAGAAGATTCTAAAAAGCAGGTTTGCAACTGACCATGTCCATTACTCTGGCGTCATTAAGATTTTAATTAAAAGTATATTCAATTTATAAAATGGTATATTTTTTTTAATCTGAATCAGTGTTACTTTCCGCAATTATTGCTTGTCTAGAAAGAAACCCAATTCGTGTAATTTTCGTTTGACACTTTTCCATATTTGGAAGTTGGTGAAACAGACTCGTGGTTTAAAGATTCCAAGGCTAATTCTCAAACTTGTAGCGGATAAAACATTTTGTGTTATGAATGGAACATGGTGACGTCACGAAGAGTAGAAGCAGCTGATTGGATAGTAAATAAAATAACAGAGAAATGTTGTCTGATCTCGTCCCATCTTGCAGAAGGGTCAGCTAATTTATCAATCTCAAACAGTAAATCTACAAGCCCAGGAAAACTACTGGCAGCGTAATGATCATTCTTGTTTTCAGCCATAATCATATGTCTGAAAAAAAAAAGTATATTTTTCTTTTTAAAGTTACAATACCACTCTTGTTGCAACTGAATAATATGTCCCAATCTTTATTCTGGTCAACAAATTGTATTATTTTACAATATTCCAATTAATTGATGATACAAATTTCATCTTAAAACACCTAATTTAAAAAATTGGAAAAATTCAACTAAATGATTTGAAAAGCCTGACGTAAAGCTTTTCAAATGTGACTTGGATTTAAAAATATTTTTGAACCCTTTGAACAAGTAAAATAGGATTTAATGCATAATTTACACAACAGGTAGGACACTAACACATCTAGTACTTAGAATCAGGCTATTTTTTATTTTCTGGGGCTGTTATTGTCACTTTAACATTATACTTTTGCTCCCTATATTTAAGTCCCATCAGTATACGCTCCAGTATATATCAGTGATTTTTAACGGACCGATTTATTTGTAGGTGTGTCAGGCGATACGATGATCAGCCATATTATCCTCGTTGTTTGATAAAAAAAAAACACCTAATGACCCCTTTGTTCAAGAGAATTATTAGAATAAAATGTTAAGTGGACATAATCAATATTGAATTCTCGAGAAATTATAGACAACATAATGAAAGGATCTACGAACTTTATGCTACCTAATTCAATACCGTTTATACAGACAACTTACTTTTTCAAAGGTCTTGATGGTAAACCAGCTGGATCTAAGAACGATTTCTCTAACAACATTAACTGATCATTCACCACTCTTGTTAATAATGGACTGTTGATATAGAAAATAAACAAACGTTATAAAAACTAAAGCAGAATCATGAGAGAGAAAAATACTCATAAACTTGAATCCTTAAATTAACTTTCTGTTGCACTGTAATTAGTAATCTAAACTGTATGGTCTCATGCACCAATAGTGTTAAACAGACCATCGGGACATAGGACATGGTCTCATGCATTAAAAATGGTATAGAGACCATCAAGGCACGCATTTAAACTGTTAAAAATAATTGTGTAAAATCAAAAGTTATTAATCGATTCGTCTGAAATTTGATATGAGTTCATAATTAGTGACCCTGAACATCCTCAGCAAATTTCAAGTCTCTACGATCACGGGAAGTATTAGGTGTACGAAAGTGCATTAGCAATTAAATATATGGTCTCATATATTAAAACCGTTCAAGAGACCTATAGCACACATGGGCAATTTTCTGATACTAAGCGGCAATTTTCTCAAACAATTAGTAATCGATTTTTAATTGCTCCCATATAGCTAGAAGAAATCGCCCGTATGTCGTTTACCGCGACGACAGCGGATATGGATGCGTGTCGCCGGCGACAGCATGCATCGTTGGTTAAGTAACAATTACGGTCGTAGTAACGAAGGGAAAATTGACCATGACGTCAAAGACTAAGCATGCCAAGTTTCGTGTCGATCGTACTTGTATTCGTAGAGTCTTTTCTTGAAATAAAATGAAAGGGGGATTACTCATATTTCGTGTTGTGAAAGATCTGTTTTACAAAGAGCATATTCAAAAAATATATAAATACAAAATTTAAATGTTTTACAAAGTTCATATTCACAAAATCACCATATAAAGATACAATGCTTACTCATTTTTATTGACATTCTTTAATCTTTCTTCAAAATCGGCTGCCTCTTCACCAAATTTTTTAATAACCATTTTTAAATCGTCTTTTATGTAAAAAAATAATAATAAATGAATATTGTAAACAGCACAAGTGTATATTGAGACTGCTTTAAAAAGATATTTTTTTTTTTTTTATCTAAACTAATGACCAATTCTCCACTAAGCTCGTTGCTCCTAATAACAAACAATTGATAACTAACACTTACATGAAATGAAATGGATGTTTAACGTCCTACTGTTCTGCTCCGATTGTGCTAATGAAGACGGACATACGCCATACAGTGTGCTATGAGGGATATTTCTTCCTGACAGCAGCACTACGACCTACTCTGTCAATGGACCTTTTACGTATATGCCAATCTGTATATGGGGGGGGGGCGGTTTTTCGTTCCATCTGAACGACTATAGGTTGAGCATGTCCATGCCCTCCGCCCTGCACCTACACCGATGAACTTTCTCGGCCAACGCAGGGATCGAACAAGGGACATCATGGTTAGTGAGCTAACGTCCTACTCACTGGGCCACCGTGGCTCCCAAGTGAGATTTACAGGGCAAGGCTAAATTCAATGACCGCCTGCCTTTCACATTACATAAATATTAGTCTTAAACATGCATTATGCAAGAGCAAAATCTGCTTATTACAAGTCTTTCTTTAGGCCTGAAATGTTATCTAAATTATCAATTAGACATTAATTAACTTATCCAGACCATAATAAACTCTCGATGTCAAGGCTAGCCTTCGATGTTGGCTGGATTAGATTCCTATATGCCGCTAACGGCCGTTGATAATTAAATCAGAAAAAGTGGATAATCGAGACTATGCTGTTTATAAAATGATTTTAGTAATGATGACCGAGACTATGGAAAAATTTCACCCACTTATTTCTCGGCTCATAGTGGATCAATTTGACTGAAATTTTCAGCAAATTACCGTTACACTATCTAGTTTTTAACTATTATAGCGAGAACTGCCATCTCTTTATCTTATCTCCCATCATGTATCTTTAATAAGACTAAAGTAATCCACCTCAGTGTAATTAGTAACCCATAATTCTATTTACGCATTCCTTGGGACGGCCTTGAGAGGGCCCAGGTTTTAAGAGGATCTAGTTTTAAACTGCCCATTTCACCGGATACAATTATGTACTTGTTATCTACTTACCATAATTACTGATGTTACCCCTTAAATAAGAACCGTATTCTGCATCTAGTGAGACTCTGAGGTTTTCTAGATCCCAGGCATAATCTGAGGCACTTAGTGGAATGATAAGGGAGTCAGCTAAATTTCTGGCTAATTCAGCACCAATACGAGCAACAGCTTGATGATACTAAATTTTGTAATTAAAAACATAGGAATAAATCAGTTACGGTTTAAAACGCCTTGTATATGGAATATAACTGCATTTGATATTATCACGATACTTGCGAATTTTTGTACCAGCTAACAATTATAGTGAAACCTTTCTTGGACCAGGAACTTTTTGGGGTCAACTCATCTTCTTGTTTTAGTTATTCTGTATTATGAGGGAGAAAATCTTCGAAAAAAACCTAAGGCTCAGTCAATTCAAGAACGGTCGGCATGGAACTTGGCATGCCTGTTGCTTGGACAAATGCGCATCGATTTGCGGACTTCGATTTAGGTGATGTCATGATTCGTCCTTAGTCCATAGTACGCTCGTACTTGTCTTGGGTTTTTAATGGGTTTTTTTTTTCAAATACAAATTAATCATAAAGAGCATACCTTAAAGTCAACATCAATGAGATTCTTCATAGCATAAAATGTTTCATATTGTGAATGGTAAAGTGGATATCCCACAACAGGCAAGCTCTATGGCAAACAAAACAAAAACAAACGTTAAATATTTCAAAATTGGAAAAAGTTATTTTCAAAAACATTTACCAATAATCTATGCTAATTGATCCACTCTAAACATTCCTTCGTTCCGGGTATATGATGGACATGACATCAATAACATCTACTTTTTAAAATCCAGTATGTTGCGACATACCGTCTAAATAATGGAATCTACAGATGTCATCCTAGCCTTTTGTGTAAGATTGGTTAAAAAAAAAATCGCTTACACCGTTTCATAAATGGATCTAAAATATACAGGTGTCACCCAGCCTTTTGTGTAAGATTGGTATATCTAAAATCTATAGACTTCATCCCAGTTCTTTGCAAGATTGGTTAAAGTGTAGCTTACCTTATCGTAGGTATACCTAAAATCTACAGATGTCACTCCAGCTTTTTGTAAAATTGGTGCATAGTCACTTCCTGAACCCATAGATTGCATTCTAGAAATAAGAACCGTCGTATCAGTTAATCAATTTAGCAATGACAAGTGGTTTTACAAAATGCGTATATCTACCATTTAAGCATGTTCCTGAGGGAACGATGTTTTCAAAGTTTACGAGGTTATAAAACGAGATCAAGCCTTCGATTAAAGACGCCATTTAAGAGAGATGGATCTATCAGTTTTTAAAACAAACGGGGAAAGCATAGTTGTATTCTACATTCACTTAAACACGACCCACTGTTTCCGACTAACTTCTTACTTCGTATATAATATCATTAACTAATTGTATTTCAGATATTCTTAAGTTTAAACAATTAAATTAAAGATACATTAGTTAAGAGTTGCTATAACAATTCAAAAATAGAGGATAAAAAAGAGAAAATATTGAAAATTCCAGTCAAATTACTTTATTCTGAACGAAGTTATTACTGTTGGAAGTTTGGACTAGAAATAGGCATTAACTGTCTCCACATTGTCCCCGAGAACTCCCAATCGTTTGATTGACAGATGATAACTCCACCCACATATTCTCGATTATTTAGTAACATTCTCAATGTCTACGGTACCCTCGATTGCCAGTCCTTTCATCGGCAGTCTCCGGAATTGACGTCAGTGATTAACGGTAAATGTGAGCGTGGTCAGTTATTTATTGATTTAATTATTAAATGGAGGACAAGCCGTATCCAAGCCATGCGAGGGTTTACAGAGTTGATTCTGAGCCTGCCATGTAAATAAAGGTCTAATTAATAATTTAGGCAGATTTAGCTCTTAACTCATGTATCTTTAAGTATAAATTACTATTTCGTTTCGTTTACTTATATCTGTTTTTGACACTTTATTGTAAGTTTGGATATCTGCTGTGTTAATCTGATGTGTAATAACATGACGTAATAAACATTTCTGGGTTTACTACATCATTCATAACTAGTGTTTGAAATTTGTGCATTGTCTCTGCGTTTCCTAGTCCTGCGTGCTTGCATTTTCCAATATGTACAATTAATAAGGTGGGTCCAAAAACCGAAATTTTTATGTTTAAAATCTTACTCTGGTTTTCCGTAAATGTCACCATTTATGTTCCAGGGTCTGTTTAATAACCACGTGTCGTAAACTGTTTTTCTTCCTGCTGCTATCTCTGTAGCGTTAGGATTTTCAACCTGGAGGATAAATTACCATTTGGAGATGTTCGCATAACGATAGAACTTTTAAAAATTCGTACAATTTTTTTACATTGCTTTATCGTTTTACTTCAGTGACTTTGCAAAATCCCAGAAACCTAAATCCGAATTTTATAGACAACACGCCCTACCTATGATCATATCACAAACAAAAGATGGACTAAAGGATGACGCTGCAAGCTGGGCACCTAAAGTGACAGCAGCAATTACGTGCTATCAGTGTAATATCGCTTATGGTGAGAAGTCACACCTCCATACACCTACCACCCCCTCGACCCCGCCCCGACCCCCGACCCCCGACCCCCAAAACCTAAAATTTCGGAACATAACAAATCAGAAACGACTGGGAATAGATGACGTTTCGACCATGCATAGATATATACCATATATACCATATATACCATATGTACCACGCTACCCCCCATCCCCCCCGCCCCCACCACACACACACCTAATCTTGATTAAGGATTTTAAACAATTATCAATCATACCAGCTTTACAGTTTCGTACATCACGTTGTATAACAATGGCGTAGTTTTAGAACGAAGTGTGTTTGTTCCTGAAATATAAATCACATAATTCACCAACATATCATTTGTTATATCTTATTTAATAATTTCAAGAAATCATGAAAACAAACTGGGCATATTGAAGTGAAGAAGTACGAAACTTGGTAAAGACGGGAAGAAAAATATGCATGTACCATAATCATTGCTTGGAGCATCCAATCAAAAAAATCGGTGGGGTGGGGCTTTGTTCTAGTCAAAAAATTATAGTGCAATAAACAGAAAATACGGCACAGTACTTTGCACACTTGCCTGTTGTACAAATGAATGCGACCTGGTTTCATAGACTGTTTGCTGTTGTTTCACACCAGCCAATGACATAGAAATAATAAACATATATTATACTGAATAATTTTACCGTCCACTGATATATCTATATTTAGATAAGCCAAAGTCCTTTCTTTAATATTTTTCATATATTCCTGTAAAATAATTATATACATGTATTAGTCTAAACCTACTTTCTTTAAAGAACCATTATACAAGAACTAAATCTTCCTATTGCAAATCTTTGGTTTGGCCTCATATGTTATATAAATTATTAATTAGACATTAAAATATAAAGTAGCACTATTACACTAGGCACAGACTCCAAAAAGAACCGTGGTAATATCCTGTTCAGGAATTACAAAAAAGAACATGTAACACGGCTCTTAAAATCCTTGACTTCAATAAAGACCTTACTACGGACTGCAATATGGGCTTCATTAAGGACCTCAATATTACTATTATTACAGCGTTTTTATAGTGTGCCCTCAATATTATTATTATTACAGCGTATTTATAGTGTGCCCTTTCATATCACATGTTCACGGACACTTAACAATATGACATTGTAATCATAAAAACAACAAGATTGTGGACATGTTAAGTAACAGATGTATAATCTGACTTCACGTTGTGTTCTTTTAATACCAAAGTACATAACAAATAAACAAGTTATAACATCTATGATATTACATATATAATCACAAGTTACATGTAGAGTCTATAGAAACTCTAAATAATGCATCTCCCTCAACCCGCTCGAACGGCCGGTTGAAAAGCAAATCAAAGCCAAGATCTCACCATCCTGTCCTAATGATGTCTGGCTAAAATCACGCTCGCTTGCCATTTTAAACCCTCAAACGTGAATACATCAGACGTAATAATGACTTGATTTGTTACTAAGCAAGGAATTTCATCTGTATGTCCTAATATGGAAACTGTATAGTGTATAATAGAAACGCGGCCCCATGTCTACGTAATAGATCTTCAATACGCCAAATGACTGATGACGGTTACAAAGATCCCATTCGCTAACAGATAATCATACTACATAAATGGAAACACGGGTATTCATTCGTACATAAAACACACCCCCAATCCAACATTACAATGGTTATTATGCCACTTTATATGAAATAATATTGTAGCATTTAAACATTACCACATTTCTAAAAAAACAAAATCATAAGCTTACCTCTACCCATTCATTAGATCCTATCAAGCCATATTCTTCCGAGCCCCAGCTACAGAACAAAATAGTTCGACGTGGTCGCCATTTACCTATCAAAAATAATGAGTGTTCCCTTTATACCTTAATGCGTGAGACATCACTTCTATTTTATATAAATGACATAATGTCCATGTGTGTAAATGGCAAAGTCTTGAAATGGCCTTTCAAATGACACACAACTGTTACATAACTTTGAAAGAGACCAGCAAAGAAGGCCAGTTAAACGTTTACAATTCGGTCATTTTGGGACTACTGTTTCGCTCATGTTTATCTTTCTTTCAATAATTAATTTATTAAAAAAGGAATCAAAAAGTGTCGTACCTGATTTAACCAAAGAACCCATGACTCTAGCAGTTTCCATCAAAACAGCTGTACCACTGGATGGATCTATAGCCCCGTACACCCAGGCATCACGATGATTACCAAATATAACATATCTATCTATAATAATAACAAACACCAAACATAACATATCTATCTGTAATAACAAACACCAGACATAACATATTTAACTATAATAACAAACAAAGGAAATGGAATGAAATGGGGTTTAACGTGGTCTGTTCCGACTGGGCTAATGAAGAGGGAATATTAACAAACACCAGACTAAATATAACATATCTATACTAACACACACCAATAACATATCCATCTATAATAACACACACCAAATATAACATACATCTATAATAACAAATACTAAATATAACCTATATCTATAATAACAAATATAAATATAACATCTATATCGATAACATTTCCAAATATAACATATAAATCTATAATAACAAATACCAAATATAACATATATATCTATAATAACAAATACCAAATATTACATAATATATCTATAATAACAAAAAAACAAATATAATATATCTCTCTATAATAACACACACCAAATATAACATAAATTTATAATAACAAGTACTAAATATAAGATCTATCTATAATAACAAATATAAATATAACATTTATATCTCCCCCCCCCCCCTATAAATCTATAATAACAAATAACAAATATAACATATATATCTATAATAACAAAAAAAATAAAATAACAGATATATATCTATAATAACAAATACCAAATATAACATAATATATCTATAATAACAAACCAGCGGCTTCCAGGCAGGATACGCCCACATTTTACACGAGATCGATAGAGAACATGCTAAAAACAAACGAGAATTTTTGTACAATCAGGGGCAATAATCCAGAAAGTTATAGTCGGAAATGCGTAAATATCAAAAGGGGCTGAGGTCTTTGGGATATAAAGATATGTTTTAAGTTTCATCATGTCCGCATGAGGGTCCGCAACCTTCGTATTGCATACTTTTACACAATTTGCGTACAAAGAGCGGTCATTTTGTTGGGCATTTTGGTGAAATATTTAAAATTGTGACCTCTAGAGAATCCACAAGCTAAAAATTACATTTTTTGAACAATCAGGGGCCATAATCCAGGAAATTAAGTTCAGGTATCCGCGATTATCAAATGGATCCAAGATCTTAGTGTGTAATGGTGATATATTCACACATTTGTTTTAAATCAGATAAAAATTGTGACCTCTACAAGGACCACAAGCTAAAAACGTGATTTTTTGTTCAATCAGGGGCCATAATTCAGGAAGTTACGATCCGATTAAGTTTCATCAAAATCAGAAGAAAATTGTGACCTCTAGAGGTTCCAAAACATTGATATACCATATTTTTACGCGAATTGTGTTCGAGGGCGGCCATTTTGTCCGGCAGTTTTGGTCCGATTTTCACGAAATTCAAACTCAACCATCATTAGGGTGTAACGGTGATATACCAAAACTTTTTGTTTTAAATCGGATAAAAATTATTACCTCTATAGGGTCCACAAGCTAAAAACGCGATTTTTCGTACAATCAGGGGCCATAATATGCGCGAATATCGAAAGGAACCGAGATCCTGGGTTATAAACTTACATTTCAAGTTTCATCAAAATAGGGTTAAACTTGTGACCTCTATAGGGTCTATAAGCTAAAGACGTGATTTTTCGTGCAATCAGGGGCCATAATCCATGAAGTTTCGATCCGATACATGCCAATATCGAAAGCAGCCGAGATATTTTGGAGATAAAACTGTATTTCAAGTTTCGTCAAAATCGGATAAGAATTGTGACCTGTAGAGTGTCCACAAACAAATTGTGGACGTACAGACGGACGGACAGGGGCGACGACAATATACGTCCACATGAAAATGTGGGCGTATAAAAAAACAAATATAATATATCTATCTATAATAACAAATACCAAATATAACATAAAATAAAATATAATAACAAAAACCAAATATAATATAGTATATCTATCTATAATAACAAATACCAAGTTCAACATATCTATCTATATATAACAAATACAACATATAACATGTCTATATATGATAAATAATGTTCAAATATAACATTTACCTGGTTCAACCGCCCCTTTTATAAATCCAATAACATTTGTTGTGTTACGTCGTGCATTTTGAGTAGATATGTTCATTCTTACTTTCCTGAAACACAATAACAAATCGTGATTACATCTATACATTCATTGTCTTTACATGATCGACGTGATATTAGTAATTAAAGTTCTGTAATCAACATATACTAACCAGTTGTTGTTAATAAACCCTGGGCCGTATTTATAAGTAATATTTATTCCACCCTGCCATTCCTCTGTCACGTTAGTGCCAGTTAAATTACTGAAAATATAAGAAAAAAAATCATGTATCATGTTTTCAAACATAAACAATAAGAAAAGTCCTGTAAAGTAAGATTTAAAGAATAGAATATCAGCGAACAGTTTGTAAACTTAATGGTTTACCATTAATAAAAACAGGGTGAAAATGGGTCAGTTGCCTCACAATAAATGACAACGACATTTATTGTTTATTTTAAATTTCATAAACTGTAACACATACTTATGTAAGAACAATTACTGATTTATTTAGGCGACGTTTCGAAGAGTATTCTCTCAACGTTTTCATGCGATTTCATCTTGAATTACGTGGATACTGGCTACCATGATCTTTTCGGTGGTTAGAACCTTTAAAGGTTTTAATCCGGCAATGGATATGTCAAATATAGACACCGACTCATGATTGACCCATATAAAATCATTTAGATAAACCAGATAATAATGTAAATATTTGACGGTTATGTAGGTGATGGGATTGATAATGTAACGGTTGATGTGCATTAGGATCATGCTCTTTTGTGCAGCCACATATACTGCGGTTTGTACAGCTGCTTGTGATACTGCTGCAGATGTTACTTCGGCTGATGATGAACAAAACTTACACGAGTAACTGTTCAGCCTCAGTATAACCAATGGGATGTGCTGGTATTTTAGGAAGAGGTGGTTCAACTTTATCTTCTTCATATCGATATGCTGTACCTATAATAATTAATTTAAACAGGAATTAGAACATTTAACCAGAAACTAAATTTTATTAATATTATATAATATGCAACAGGACGGGGCGACCCACAGGTTAATATGGATATGATGATAGTAAGTCGTAATCAACCTGTTTGTCGGAGACCATATCAAAACACAACAGGCTCATTGGTCACCAGGTTATATTTTTAAACGTTGTGTCCACATTAGGACATTAAATGAAGTTCTTGCTTTTTTACCAATCAAGTATTTAATACCCCTGTCAGACATCATCCCTAGAAGGGGGGGGGGGGAGATCTTGAAGTTGGTTCCATATCAGCCGTCCGAGCGAGTTGTTGAGAGAAAACATCCCTTAGAGCCCCTACAAACTACAACTTATGCTTGCTTATGTAATATTATATCTGGAGTAAACATTTGAATTAGCAATGTATCACTTCTCTATAAACATATATTTAGAACAAAGCGGCTGTAGTATTAATAGAACACAGCTTGAAGTCATATTGGAGTCCACATTGAAGTCTATGTTGAAGTCCATAAGGAAGTTAAGGTTTTGGGGGTCGTGAAGCGGGATCAATAGTGTTACGTATTTGATTTGGTGCCGATTCATTGCAATGACAAAGAATATTTCTAGATATTCTGATTTGGTGCCGTGACCGGGATGTGAAGCCTATTGATAAACCCTTGGAAGTGTTGTTGGGTTAAGTGCATTTTCCCTATGAATTGTCTATGTAGTTAATAAAGAATACATTATTGTTAATTTAGAATAAAATTTAATAAGATAACATATGTTATACGCTTAGGTATAGGAAATATACTATATTCAGATTTACATCACATGTCTTGTATGATGGGAGGAGTGTAACAGAACAGGGGAGCTACACTGGCCAATATTTACATATGTGCTTTAAAGTATTACTGTTCCATAAACATGTATTTGAACGCGGGTTTTCTGCGTTTATTATTAATAGAACACAATGTGAAATCAACATTTCAATCCATAGTGGTTTCACGTTGACGTTCAACGTGAAGTCAATGATTTTTAGAACTGTGACACGGGATCGATAGTGTTACATATTTGTTTTGTGTCGTGTAGTAGGATAGTGCTAAAATTGCCGATTCACTGCCGTGAGATAACATATTGTTACAAATAGCAATAGAGAAGGTTCATAATTTCTATAAATTGTCCTAATCCCTTTAAAAATAGTTTTCAATAAAAATTTAAACCATATACAAAAAAAAACTCTAGACGCACGTTATTATTGAAATGCTAAGATCAACGAATTGTTCACGAGCCTTTCCTGATTTCGGAATACCACTAAAATGAGTAAAGAATCATAAAACGGATCACACGTCAAATAAAACAAAAACCCACTCTCGATTATCTCCAAAGTTATAATTTGTCTTTAACCCAGTAATAACAAATAAGTTTCCTAAGTAACCCCACGCCGACACTGAAATGCATGAGCTGGTAAAAAATGAAAAGGACAAAGACTTGTGTTACAAGAAAACGGTAAAATTCATTTAATCTTACCTATAGCTGGATATCCTGGGGTTAATGGATCACCTTGACCAGTAAAAATGGTTCCTCTTTGGGCACCAGAACCAGGTAACCACCATGTATCAGGATAAACTCCTTCACCTGGTATAGTGTAATCTTTAGGGTCCGAATATAGAATTAATCCTATAACACCATGCCTTTGGGCTATATCAACCTAGAAGAAATATTCAACTAAATATGCGCCATTGCTACAACTAGAAAGGGAAGCTCATCCCCATCCCAAACAGAATGTACCTGACGTACCCCGAACATGAATACACAAATAACCCTTGTCTTTACTACCAACTCCATATCGAGCATACAAACCAATAACAGACCAAGCTTCTTCTATACATATCCTTGACCGGGGACTTACTTCAATTATTTATATGTCCTGGTGCCTGGGTTTCTCTTTTACCTAGTACATTTAGCTACATAAGCTCCTGGCCAAAAAATGTCTACAGTCAGCTGTAAGTAGTAACGTATTGGGCGAAAGACGTGTTATGACCTCGCCTACTCTACCTAGTAGTACATCATTCTCCACACAAGTTTCGCTATCCAGAATTAGTGTGGCCTGCAATGACTCTGTTTGGGAGATCGGTAGAACACCTGGTGGCACTGTTACATAAATTAATATTTTTCATTCTGAAAAAACCTATATAACAAAGTAGGCATACCTTACTTCCTCTGAAGATTTTACCATATCTTGCTATAGCCACACAGCCGGATACATTAACACCAACAGATTCTAGATGTATATAATCTTCTACTCTTCCATAATTAACATAAACTAACTGACCCTGTAAATATACATATAATTAACATTACCTGACCCTGTAAATATACATATAATTAACCTAACATGACCGAGTGAATATTAACATGGACAACTGGCCCTCTAATATACAAATAATTAACATAAACTATCTGACGCTATGAATATATACATATGATTAACATAAATTAACTGACACTGTAAATATACAAATAATTCACATGAACTAACTGACCCTGTGAATATACATATAATTAACATGTTAACTCAGAGAGTAAGTGTTAAAAGAAGCCTTACTGTAACAATGCCTTTAGGGGAGTAGGCGTTAAAAGGGGGAATACCCTCTGTATTATTTTTGCCTGGAGTTAGAACATCTTCTTCTATAGGTGTTTGATAAACAATTTCATTATTTTCATTAAGTAATTCTATCATGTTAGGGTTGTCTTTATCTGGATAAGATAACAATATATCGTAAGTTGCTGTCTGTACATCATCAAAACCAGCATTCTCCCAGAAACCTTTTATATAATTAACTAATGTATCTTCATCTTCTGGTGAACCAGCTATATGAGGTTTCTCTGTCAGAGCCCTGCAAGAACGATAAACATGGGGTGTTTTGATTTCAGGTTGGAAACTAAAATGAAATAAAACAAAATGCAATACCACTGAATACTAGGAAACGAAGTATTACACGACTAAACAAAACGAAATACGAAGATATGATATGAAATAGGAAAAGGCCATTTAATCTAAATTTACATGGGATACAACTGAACGTATTGTTTTTTGTTTCTTTTATTTTGTTACCCTATTTAGTACCTTGTATTGGTATATTGCTTCGATTTCATAGTCCGAAAGGGCCACCCGATTCCCTAAATCGAATGTGTATTTTAGTCGTCAAAACCTAGAATGTTAACAAAATAGTAATCCTCTGATATCAAAAGAGTAATATGCATTGTCTTGAAAACGTTTCTAGATATAAAAATGTAAAAAAATTTCAATGTTACGAAAATGAACTCAAATATAATAGTTTTCTGAAACATGTAATCTTGCATAAAATATTTAAGAATAAAAGAAACTCACTTTAGATGTTTTTCTATGTTTTTGTTGTCGATGTTTTTTAATAACAAATCTCTGACAGACAGATCAGCTTCCTTAATGATGGCGTCTGAAACTCCGGGGAGGAAGACGCCATCTTTTTCTGGTGTGGCAGGAACTTCAGCTGGTGGAGATGACGTATCACAAGCGGCGTATTTACCTATTAATATTCCTATTATAAAAGCTGCTATTCCTATTATTATAGCTATAATCCAGAATTTCCTTGTTGGTGACCTGGTTGTATATTCTCTTATCTCACCCGGCATCATATCAAACTTCGGCATTTTAAATTATAATGCGTATTCTGTATCTGCGCTTCACATATAAACTGTTCCTGCTTACTTGATATTGAAGATTGTCTACCAGTTAATAATAAATTGATCCTGAAAAGAAAATAACAGAACTATTAAACTGTCAGCAAACATAAATAACTACAAAAAAATAACTAGGCAGATTACTATGGGTTTTCTCAATTTGAGTCTAACATATAAACTGCCCCTGTTTACTTGATATTCAAGATTGTCTACCAGTTAATAATATATGGATCCTGAAGAGAAAATAACAGAACTATTAACCTGTCAGCAAACATAAATAACTACAAAAAAAATAACTACTCAGATTAATATGGGTATTCTCGATACGAGCTTAGAGGAGCTAAATCGCTAATATTTGGGACCTATAAATTTCCGTTTTTACTCTAATTTCAAATCAGAAGTCTCAATCGAATGACAACCTCTAGCGTCTGGTTATTCTAGTCTACATAGTATTTATTACGCATACTCCCCAGATATGAATATGCCGTCACCGTTTGACATGGCTTGTTGAATATGTCTAGCCTCGTTCTTCGAGTCCCTTGTCAAGGATGAGCCTGAAACGCATTATGGTACACGATTCGTGTACCAATGGTAAAATGTTTATTTTGTCTTAAATATTGGATATCAAAACCCCATCTTTTCCCGGTAATATAACAACATCAATGTTGATTTAAATTGACAAATAATTCGTGCTTTCAATGTCGAAGACTTTGGATGATATTGAGTTAGAGACTAAGCTCCTTTAATATATACACGTAACTATATTGAAGATTGTCTAACAGTTACGTATCCCGAAGAGATGAATGAATAAATGAATGAATGAAAATACTTATAATGCGCCATTTCCAGAAAACTGCTCAACCGCGCATGGGAAAATTCATCAATGACACTAGTCAAATATGAGCCTTTCACGGTAGGCTTCACGGAAAAAGTGTGTCTTCTGTCTCGATTTGAAGATATCAATTATGTCCGGAACTCTAAGCTCCAGGGGGAACCGGTTCCACAAATAAGGACCAGCAACCATGAACGAGCGGTCTACAAAGGTACGGGATCCGGATGGTGGCACATACAGGAGACGGCTCTCAGATGAAAATATTAAAAGGTAAACATAAATAACTAAAACTAAAAAAATAACTATTCAGATTTGTATACAAACAGACTTAAGGTGACAATCTAAGGGTTTAAATAAATGTTTTAGTTTGTACATAAATAATATCTAAAATACCCTTCATCAGAGGCGGATTCAAGGGGGGCGCGAGGGGCGCCCCCCCTCCCTAATTTTCGACAGTGCCCTTTTTTACTGCTGAAAGTGCCTTTTCTCAGACCCAAATATGTCCTTTCCCAACCCGTTGCAGGGATCCCAAATGACTCAAACCATCGATTCAAACACACCAGTCTGGTCTGATTAATGCTTCCACTTTCAAACGAATTCTTGTTGTTTAGCTGACGGTGCCCTAATCCTATAGAGTGACAATAGACAGACATCTTGTGGAATCGGCGGCGTATACACTCATGTCCATCACCGACGCGCATGAGTGCAACTTAATGTAGCATTGTTTCATGTGTGGACAGTACATGTTACAAGGCTTAAATAGTGAAGTGGCTAGGGAATAGATCCGACTTTTTTTCCCATCATACTGCCTCGCTCGCCCTGACAATATTCGAGTCGCATGTTCAACTGGCTTTTTTGCTCGATTTTAAGGCTCTTTTTCAACGATTTCCGAACGTTTACTTAGACGAAAATATCAGCCAAATAGCTCTTGGAATGGCTACAGATGCGGTCAGTGCCCTCATTTTGAGCCCCCCCCCCCTTTTTCAAAATTCCTAGATCCGCCCCTGTTCATTGTTTAAAAGTTTTTATTTACAAAATAAACGACCTATCAACATTCATACAAATGCCAGCTTTTCTCTAAAACATGAAATAAGACGTAGATTTTCTTTTTCTAAATTTTCCCGGCAAGACCCTGACCTATGCTAGCAAGCCCTATCACAGCTAAGGTAAGAAATAAAAACACTACAATTTATTAAAAAGAATATCCGACGTCATTTATTTATGTATTTATTTTCATGAGAAATGTGCTTAAAGTTTATATAACACAATTCCCTTAATACAGTTAGGATTGTGGCAAAAGATGGCATAGAATATTTTTGATCTAAGGGGTGTCCAACGTCCAACATCAATTTAAAGCAAAGTCCAAACTATACCCTATTAAATATATTAAATACAATTAAATGCCTTTCCCTTTACGGTGCATCTATCTGTTTTGGAAATTATTTGTTAAACCTTTTCAATAAACTGGGTAGTAGCACTTTCGATTTCTTGGTCGATTGTTACATCATGTATGTTCAAATTAGATTGTGTGCAAATTTGAGCATCGCTGAGATGTAAACGTTGTAAATCTCAATCTATTATTTCACATAGTTGTGAAAACTGAAAGGAATTGAACCATTTTAGACCTATATTCCTTTTGGTGGATTAACATTCACATAATTGAGGTTAGCAAGGGATTAAAAATGACGATTAACAGTTTGAAGTGTTATCAATTTCTTAACTGAATAATTCGAAGGTCAAGTTTAATATTCCCTACAGTATGTACAAGATTGGACCTGTTATTCATAGGGAAAAAATACAGCAAATATTTGTTAGCTATTAGAAGTGGTTGTATTTATCGTATAACTTTTGTCAACAACTCCACGTTATTCAAACAATCATGGACATGAATTTAAATAAGACCCGGTTTCTTTTCAAATCCAATAACTATACGTTTTATATTATGTAATTATTTAATGCAAAAATGTGTTTTTAAAGGCACATTCCCAGAGAGGGAGAGATGGGGTTTAACGTCCACTCGACACAAACTAGGTCATTTCGGGACTAACATATGGTTTAATTTTATTTCAATAATTCGCTTACGCGTAGGGTACTTTAGCAGTGGGAGGAAACTGGGGGGCTCGGAGCAACCACCCGAGGTTGGACAGGCGACCCTACTCCTTGTCACGTACAACCGGGGATTCGAAACCACGCCAGTATAATTAATTATTACGCTGTTTGAAGGTAAAGGTCAAGGTGTTTACTGTGGGGTGCCATGGTAGATCAGTGGGTGAAAACGTAGTCTCTGTCACCCAGAACCACCTAGTCTTCAACGTGCTGAGGGTCTGGGACCGTTGTCAATATTTGACGAAAAGTCCATTGCCCATGCGTAACCGGGAGTTTGGTTTTTAATCTGGTTGACTATCCAGTATCTTCTGGCCAAGTCAAGTAAGAGTTTCACCCCTTCCCGCAATAAATCCCATAATTCTTACATTAATATGAACAAACATGAATTGTGACGACGAATTGGGATTAATTTTTAAAAAAAACATAGATATGGCCCATGAAGAGAGAAATTTTACAATAAAAAAAATAAGAGTGTTGGATATTAGGACTAGTTACCTCCCTTAGACTTTGTTTATGATAATGTAAAAGACCGGATAGTCTAGAGACTAGTGAAAACGCTGAGAACGTTTCTCGGGATATTTCAGCTTGTTGCCCCTTGTCAGTGGTACAAGATAGGGACCTGTAAAGGAATGTTCAGCGTTTTGTTGTGAGGGTGGAATAAAAAAAAACAGGGTCCCGTATACACGCAGGAGGTGGGGGGGGGGGGGGCAAATGGTTAACACGTGTGCGTTGCATCATTGAGACAAGTGGCTTAGTTTCGATTCCCCGTGTACGTGACAAGGAGTAAGGTCGCCTGTCCAACACCGTGGGTTTCCTCCCACTGCTAACGAACCAGATATTAGTCCCGAAATGACCTTGTTTTTGTCGAGTGGAAGCTAAACTCTCTCTCTCTCACTCTCTCTCTCTCTCTCTCTCTCTCTCCAGCACACACGGCATGGCATATGCCTGTCTTCATTGACCCAGTTGGTGCAATAGGTGCATTAAACCTCTATATTAAGGTGGTTAAGTTAAAAAAAATGGCGTATTCTTTAGTGTAATGAATAGCCTAATAAAGCTAACTAAGTTAATGCAACAGGCAATCGAAATCCTATTTAAATAGGTGTCGGATTAGAAACTATATATACTCACATGAAAACTGTATTTCATTATACATGTATGGAGACACAAGAACACGCGACTAGACTTTAACTGAGTAATATACGGATGAATTTATTAAATATTTCTTGAAAGTCCACTTTAAATCCTAGTAAACGAGGCAACCCAGCCACGGAACCCCTGCGATCAAAGGAAAATGGTTACTAAATGTTATATATATAATATATGTATATATATTTACCTATACAGCAGGTATATATTCATGATCAAAGTCAATACATTACATAAGTTTGTTGACACATATTCACACAATTCACAGCTTTTAAGCAAGTCATGTTGACTTCGTGGTTTATTGGTAACAAAAACATAGTAAATAGATTATATAAAATGACGTAAGTATTATGTAGACGAGTATTTTATTATAAGTACATATGTTTGTCTGGAATACATTATCTAAAGACTTGCCTTAGCTCTATATTATTATAGTCTATATAGATGTATGGAGGCTAAATCATTCCAACATATTCAGCGCACTGGGATTGCCCCGCACCACCCTACCCATATCCATCCCAACATAACTAGATGCATCAAACATACTTTCCTACTGTAGGCAACGTATTCGTGAATAAATAAAATTATGCCAAGTGTCTTGTATCCTTCAACTGTCCCGACAGAAAAACACTCTTTTTACAATACTGTAGACCAAGCTTCCGATCCTCACGTGCGCTACTATTGGGTGAGGGTACATGCCTTCTACAATCCCTCCCCTATCCTCCCATTCACACCCACGTATCCGTCTGGCTCAAATATATTGTGAGACATGTCAAGATTGTGAAACAGTTTTAGTTCCAGGGTTAGTGTTAGGGGTATGATCATCAGGCGAGAAAATACACTGTAGGATGGTTTAGGTAGGTCAAACGCTTTCGAATATTACCCAGATGTATGTTGAACAAACTGTTGTTATGGGGATTTGTTCAAGCCATCCACAGAAGTGGGCGTGAATTACCACGCCACCCTGCCCCGTCACGCCCACCACCCTACCCCACCCATTCGGCATACGATTAGACATAATATAACAGTAATACACACCAACGAACAGAATGTTTAATCCTTGCAGACCATATTTCTCCAATTATATTCTCTCCCCAGATCTCTCTCTCTCTCTCTCTCTCTCTCTCTCTATATATATATATATATATATATATATATATACAGTAAAACATTCCAACTAAAGCGGTTACACGTGTATTGTTGTGGGGAACCATGATGGCTCGGTGAGTAAGGCGCTGGGTCACTAGCCAGTGTATCCAGGGTTCGATCCCGGTGTTGGCCGAGTAAGTTCTCCGGGATTTTCCAGCGTATGGTTTAACTTTGGTGCTGTCAGGGCAACAATCCCCTTATAACACACTGTACAGCTGTGTCCATCTCCATTACCCCGGATTGGCGCAGAACAGTAGGACGTTAAACCCCAATTTTATTCACTCAGTCAGTATTGTTATGAAAATATACATAAGCCCCAAACCTCATTCAACCTGCGAGACCCTCATAGGTCTTAAACATGCGAACTAGGTATCCCTTTAGTTCTAATGTTGCCATTGTTTTTGGAATAACATGTGAAATTATATATTATTGCGTCTTACCTCATGTACTCAAAAATAACAACAAATTTTCTCAGCTATAAATTTGTCCTGGATTACATAAGTTAAATATACAACTCTCAACAACACAGCAAGTCTTGTTGTACTAATTCAGTATTTGTAAGTAACGATAGTAGGAAATGTAAGCACAAAGGCAAACAATATACCACTATCTATATAAAACTATTAATAAACACGCAACACCGTACGGCTTATATGATGAATCTTTCAAGATGCCCGCGGTCCTTAAAGAGCACTAGACAAAATGAAATGGGGTCTAGCGTCCTACTGTTCTGCTCCGAACTGGGCTAATGAAGACGGACATACGCCATACAGTGTGCTATGAGGGAAATTTTTCCCGGACAGTGGCGCTACGGCCTACTCTTATATCGAATTCCAACTGTCGAGGGAGCTTTTACGTGCACGTCAATGTGTACACGGGACCCAACGACTAGACAGCTGTCCTTGTCAGTCCCCCCACCTCCTACTGCATCACTGACAAGGGGGAACCACGTCGGAAAATCTGGATGAACTTTCTCGGCCAATGCATAGATCGAACACCCGACCTCCAGGCTAGCGAGCCAGCGTCTCACCCACTTAGCCACCGTGATACCCTCGCATGTTTAGACATCTGAGCGCCTCCTTAAGGCGTGTCCGTGTATTTACTTTTATCTAATTACATGTATGTAGGTCCATGTATCTATACGATATGTTTATACAGATATGACGATACATGATCATGACTATCTTGGTCAGGATTTATATGTAGTACGATCATAAAGATCAGCTGGAAGATGTAGACCGCCAATCTGATTAAAACACAGATCCTACTTCGTTTCGTTTTTTTATAGTTCAAAATTTCGTTTTACTTGTCTTTACTACACTAGGTTCTGGAAGATTTGTAATATATCCGGCGTTTTGGTTGAAATGAGGGATAAGCCAGTGAAACATTCTGAACGGAACTGTGGGTAAACCACTAGAAACGCCAACGTTGATTAATTAATCAATGCCTGGTGTCATAGGGTCAAACGACGCTCGTACGACCCCTGACACGACCTTCGAATACAACTTGTCAGATCTTCATGTAGTGTAGGCCATCGAAAGTATAAAAAAACGAAACGAAATATAGATTTGTATTTTAATCAGATTGTTAGAGCGCATCATTCACATGTTTGAGAATAAACATGCTAACCTTATAAATCTGAGACATGAAATTAACCTTTTTTTATTCTTGTAAAAATACCCACTGAGTGTCTTCCAAAGATCAAAATGCAAAATTTTGCTATCACCGTGGGTTGGATTCGATTTGAAGGGGGAGCCACGGTGGCTCAGTGAGTAAAACGCTGGCTCGCTAGCCTGGAGGTCGCGGGTTCGCTCCCAGCGTTGACCGAGAAACTTCGTCGTGACTTTCCGGCGCAGTTTCCACTTGCCACTGGTGCAGGACGGAGGAGCCTGTCAAGAACAGCTGTCTAGTCCAGTGATTCTCAACCAGTGTGCCGCGGCTCACAGGTGTGCCGCGAGATCTTCCAAAGTGTGCCGCGAAATTTTGAACGGCACACCAAGAAAATGCGAAAAGCCACTTGATCCCAATTGAGTATTTACTGGTGTCTACTGGTACGTTCATAGCTGTGTTTTTCTTCATTTAGTTTGAGTCATTCTATGTTTCTATGACTAGCCTGTGTCTGCGGTTGTATGCCGTCTATGACTTGCCATGTTTTTATTTTGAAAATTCAGATATTTTTCATTTATATTTAGCCAAGTGTGCCGCCATTTGTTCGTGTGCTCTAATGTGTGCCGTTGCCTAAAAAAGGTTGAGAACCACTGATCTAGTCGTTCATCATACAACACTGTATGGCGTATGTCCGTCTTTATTAGCCCAGTCGGAGATGAACCCCATTTCATTTCATTTCGATCTGAAGGCAAGTATTAAACCAACGTGAACGGCAGGTGATATCGAGTGTTGTAAGAAGAATATGTATTATCCCATGACGAAACCGGTTACTACTTATAGCTAAATGGAGTGATAGTTTGGACTTGGATTATAGTAATCTGATTAAAATACATATGTATAATTCGTTTCGTTTTCTTTTATACTTTCGATGACCTCTACTACATGACGTTTAGTAAAGACAAGTAATTTTGACCTATAAAAAAACGAAATATAGGATCTGTGTTTTAATCAGAATGGGAGACAGGGGGATCACGTGGCTAAGTGGGTAAGATGCTGGCTCGCTAGCCTGGAGGTCGGGTGTTGACCGAGAAAGTTCATTCAGATTTTCCGGCGTGGTTTCCCCTTTTCAGGGATGCAGGATGGAGGGCCTGACAAGGACAGCTGTCTAGTCGTTCGGATTGGACGAAAAACCGGGGTCCCGTGTACACATTGGCGTGCACGTAAAAGATCCCTTGGTAGTTGGAATTCGATATAAGAGTAGGCCGTAGCGCCGCTGCCCGGGGAAAATTTCCCTCATAGCACACTGTATGGCGTATACCCGTCTTCATTAGCCCAGGTTGGGAGCAGAACAGTAGGACGTTTAACCCCATTTCATTTCATTTCATTTCACCACGGAGACAGTCACGGGTCCGGTGGTTTGTTTGAACGCAAACGTACAACAATTACCACAGCTAAATATAACACATATCCAATCAGAAACGTCTGCTGATAGAATACATAAATATTTTGTGATGATCGTAATCCTAACAAGTTATGGTTTGTTGGAAATAATTTGTGCTGATGCCCAAAATATTGTAATCGTTATAACCCACTATCAACACCGAATACATTTACATACGTTAAAACAAACACCTCGCCGAGTGGAGCAAATTTTAAAACATAAGTTCGACCAGGAGGTGGTTGGCGGGTGTGGCGGGTGGCGTGTGGCCTAAAGGTCTAACGGACGAGCTTTTGATTATCAGGCCTGTCATTGAGTCAAGTGGCGTGGTTTCGATTCACAGCTTGTAAGTAACCCTGGTGGGTTTTCTCCGGGTCTGTCGGTTCCTTAATCTATAATATACCAGCAAACAGCTCGGTGGACGAAAAGGATATAGCATAACAGATCAGCCATTTTGAAAACAATATTCTCGACCTAGAAACTTCTATACTAACTACACCGAAATAAAACTGTCACAAAATACACAGATCAATATAAAAAGACACGTGCTGCTGTGTTTACCGTAGATAATAATATTTTAAAGCATAGGCTCGGTTTTTAAAAAAATAGGCTAATGAACTGAGTTGGAAGTACTTCATTAGATACCTATTGTGAATTTAGCTAATCCAGATTAATCTATGTCAGATTAAAGGTGAAGAGACTCGTACGATAATCCAATAACGTGTATGCTCAAAACCTAATTTCTATTAATTACATAATTACAGGTAGTAGTCTTAACTGTTAGAAATAAGTCAAGCATTAAATAGGATTAAAGATACTACAATACAATCATGGTCTCTAAACCCAGTTTGTATTTAACAATACATAGGTTTGGCTATCGTTATTATTATAAGCTATAAACAATAAGGTACTTATTTTGGAAACGGTCATGCTAGCAGGCTAGGGGTTTGACTATCGTTATTGTTATAAGCTTTAAACAAAAAAAAAAGGGTTATTTTGTACACGGCCATGATAGCAGTTGGATCATTGTACGGAACGATAAGTGTCTTGTGTTGGAAATTATAGAAAATGGGCATTTAACAATTTTTAGGATCTTTTCTTGATTTAGGTAAGTCCAAATCCCATCAGTGAAATATAATGACTTATGTATTCTCTACATAGTTCTATAACAAATACAAATGAATATTGTAAGGATTTGCATAGTATGTCTGAAAGCTAGAAGCCTATTTAAAGGCGAAGTCGCAGAAAATGTTAACGAATAAAACTAGTTAATAATGTGTTGATTTAAATCTCTTACAAACCTTTGTCTTGGTCCTGTGAAACTATCGAATCTCAATGATATTTCTTCGAGAAAAAAAACATGTACAATACCGCCACCCCACCACATTCAACTCATTGTAAGACTATATATTTTCAAGATTTATAATAGTAAGTTATCGTCGTGAATATCAAGTAAAACCCATGTTTTACCGATGGTTATATCCAGCATGGTTAGGCCATCTGTTCGACCAACAAAAATCTCTTAATCTCAAATTACGATGTTTGTAATGAAAAGGGAAAATAACATCAGAAACTCAAATGTCATTATTACACAGTGTTAACCACTGTGTCTGGCGTGGTTATTTTAGCGCATGCATTAGGCTACTCGTACGTTAGTCAGTAACACACACGTCAGAGACTTCATCGTCATTAAGTGTACATGTTATATGCGTTAAAATTTTATTTTTAAACTGAGTAGGTTTATCTTTCGTTATTTCATAAGATATAATGTTGACAACAAATATATTTTACCCGGTATTTATATTATTTAATCGAGTTTAATTTATTTCCAATCGAAGAAATATATATTTGTACATTCGTCTGTTGTGTGCTATCTCCAAGGATACTAGAAACAGCAAAGGCCAAAGCATCGTTGACTTCAGAATTCTCTGAGGCATTATCCTCTCAATGAAGTTAATATGGTAAACAAAATCGAACAGTGTATGCTGATCCAAAATGTTCTATGATCTTACAATTTGAACATTCGAACACTCATCGAATACCTGTCCGTGAAGTCATTAAAATAATATGATATTTTGAGTACCATTCACAATTCATAAGTCGATACATAGCTCTTCTGTTATCTTTATTATCGATAAAAATATCGCGATATCCGGCATACTTATAATATTAATAATCTCTACAAAATAAATAAACCTTTACTGTCGGGGGAGGAAAGAGCAATATTTGAACCCTAGAGAACCATGAAGTTTAGTAAGGGTCCATTTTAAGAGTTTGTTTCCTCTGAGTTTGACACACATTTCTAAACAGAGCGAATAAAAATAGTATTAATCTTTATTTTGTCCGAGGTCTTTATTTTGTGACGATAAAACGTACCACAAATTCCAGCCATTTTTATATATATATAAAAAAAGAACTATGCTACATATTCCTAGAAAATATCTTTAGGGTGCTACAAATTTTATATAGTAACCAAAGTTCCAACATGTCAGAATGTACGTTTAATTCTGCGTATACAACTGTACAATCAAATGTAGGCTACTTTGAATTTGTTTCCTACAAACGAACCCTTTCTTCGTGAAAGGGGATCACGTGGCTAAGTGGGTAAGACGCTAGCTCGCCAGCCTGGAGGTCGGGTGTTCGATTCCTGCATTGGCCGAGAAAGTTCATCCAGATTTTCCGGCGTGGTTTCCCCTTGTCAGTGATGCAGGACGGAGGGCCTGACAAGGAAAGCTGTCTAGTCGTTCGGATGGGACGAAAAACCGAGGTCCCGTGTACACATTGGCGTGCACGTAAAAGATCCCTTGGCAGTTGGAATTCGATATAAGAGTAGGCCGTAGTGCCGCTGTCGGGCAAAATTTCCCTCATAGCACACTGTATGGCGTATGCCCGTCTTCATTAGCCCAGGTTAGGAGCTAATAATCGAATATGCTTAATTACTATATAACAAGTCTTTACATTAAAATAGTACATCTTTTGGACTGGTGTGAAGGATCTTTTAATTGGTTGTGCCTTAAACACACCCCTTTAAACATACTACAAGTATTTGTTCGATCAACGCGGATATTCTTTTATTGATTCATAAATTTACAACACGAATTATGACCTTTAGAATTGTGTTTTATTTTTAATGGGTGTATGACTCTATTCTTTGGAGAGAGAGAGAGAGAGAGAGAGAGAGAGAGATGGGGTTTAACTACCACTCGACACAAACTAAGTCATTTCGGGACTAACATATGGTTCAGTTTTATTTCAATAATTCGTTTGCGCGTAGGGGTCTTTAGCAATGGGAGGAAACCTGAGGACCCGGAGAAAACCCACGAGGTTGGTCAGGCGATCCTACCGTATAACTGGGGAATCGAAACCACTATTCTTTGGAACCTTAAAATAGACGAAAATCGGTCGGTCGTATTCTAATCTTGATATTTGTAGATTTGAGAAATTATAACAGTAGTTTAATTTCTTTTTCATATAAATGTTATTTTTTTTTCACGCCATTACCAATAAATCCAGTTATTTAATACCCTGCCTCGTTACGTCACAGCAGTTAATGGAGTTGAAAATACGATTCATACTAAACCTAAATATATCCCATAACCATTAGTCACATATGTATATATTATTATTTACCTGCATGGTTGATTGAATAACGTAAAGATAATCTGCTGTTCAAGATTATAGCCTTGCTGAACCATAACCGAACCGCTCTAATACTAATCTCCTTAATACAATAGATCGTTGTCATATGAATTCTACATATTTAATTTGCTAATAAAACAAGTTATATCTTATATTCTAGAATACCGCGAGGGAGCTTTACGATGAACACTGGATAAAACTGTTTAACTGACAAAAATGCGTTTAGTCCAATATGATGAAATACAATAAGTCATGCACCTTTGACAGTGATGCCGAATGAATTTATCGATGTCTCTTTACGAGATTAGAAAATGAGCAAATAAATTGTATGTTAGTGTCAAATGTGTTTACATATAATTTTCATTAATTTATACATTTATCAGGTTTTTAGTGAAACACTCAAAATGGCCGACATTGTAATAGAGCCAAAACAAATAAAAGCAGATGACCTTGTACTTGAGCAACCGGGAGAAGAAACATTTATCAAAGATATTGAAAACACAGCAGGTGGTGAAATAACTACTGATAATCCCGATAACAGCCAGCTTGAAAACAATACTAGCCATAATAAAAATGACAATACTACCCCGGAAGATAACGGTGTGTCAAATGTTGAAACGATATCGCACACATTACAGAGACTACATCGAACATCTAGTGCCAGAACTAAGAACACTTTGTCGTGTAAAAGTGCCAAATTTTCAAGGATGCTACTCAGTCATGGCGGTGCGGATACGGAATCTCAGAATGAACTAATGAAGAATATATTAATAACTCAGTTTGATAATTATAATCTAGAATATGATAGTGATGATGATACTGAAGACAATGTATTTAGTGTAACTGATAGTGATCATGTTGTGTATCCAGATGAAGATGATGCTGATTATGATACGGATTTAGAAATGGACATTGACAGTAAGTTATTAGTATAAATAGTGATTTTAATATATGTAGAGTTGCAGAAGTTTTCTTTTTTTTTTATCACAAACTCTTTTGAATTCTGGACAATGTCTGAAGGTTGATTCTTGTTAGTCGTTTCGATTTTACCCATTGCAAGGAACAGGGCCCTGTTACACGAAATTTTAACTAAAGATAAAATCCAAATTTTAGTAGATACTTCAATTGATCGGCTAAGCACTAAAATCAATCTAATATTATCAAATCAAATTACTAAAATTTGGATCTTATCTTAGTTAAAATTTCGTGAAACAGGCCCCATTGCAGGCCCTTGAGGAGCCTCAAGAGGAGCAAGTATATTGAAGTCTCAAGCTAATACAAGATGGCAACAGGTGTATCTGCGGTGTAGTGCATTAAACATGCCATATTTAAACCAGATACGCCTACTAAATGTCTAAATCAAACCATAATATTATGCCCCCCCCCCTTTCTCGCCACATCCACCGTGTACCTTTTAATCTACTCACTTAAACTACTCTCCTCTGTTTATAAATATATACGCGTTGTAACTGCCTAATAACACCCTCTCCCGCTTCCCCCCCCTCACCCACTACCATGGGCGTCACACCATGGTCCGCCCCCCCAATCTGGAGGGGTTTGAATATACTTGGACCCCCCCCCCCCCCAAAAAAAAAAAAAATAAAAAAAAATTACATAGTAGACCCTAACTCCTATTTATTTACAACAATTATTAGGATTAGTTAAGATTCTATCTGTATAAAACCTGTACGTATCATAATATGGTTTACATTGCTAAAATAAAACACAGAGAGAATCATCCTTGAAACATGTGTGATGTGAAAAGTAACTGTGTTCCATAAAATTGTGTCAAGTTAATTTTTTTCTGCCACTTATCAGAGTGAATCGCATGTAGGTACCCAAAAACATTATCGCCTAAACCAAATATTTATCGCCAGCTCAGCCAGCCACGTAACCATAATACTTTGCACGCGGTGGGCCAATCAGCAAACGAGTTGTGTAGACAGCATGGCCATATGGTGTTTGTTTATATTTTTAGTGGTTTTTAAATAGGGTTAGGGTTAGGGGTTAGGATTGCGGACCCCCCCCCCCCCATATATATTTCACGGCTACGCCTCTGCCCACTACGCCCCCTTTATCTTACCAAACAGTAACTTACCTCCACCATAATCTCTTCAGATCAGAATAAAATCAAATTAACTTTTCAGAATGGTTAGATGATGAGAAACGACATATAGGAAGTGATTTAACTGGAGAAAAGAGATACATAGCTAGTTGTGAGGTAGCCGGGGTTGTACCAGCATCTTATTTTGTTCGTCATATTCAGGAAAATGATGTGTGTATGAGGTTTCATGGTTTAGGTCCACAAGGTGTTCGAGCAATGTGTGTTCCATTGAAAGTAAGTTTATTTAAACCAAATTAATTCAGGGAAAAGAGGAAAGTGTGATAGATTGCCGTATGGGGGTGATAAACTAATCTCATAATAAAAATGAATCACTAATATTTTGGATTATTAATATTAACCAGAGAATGGGATCCCACTGCCCATGAACCAACCGAACAAAATTAAACGAAAGCAAGCAGACCAGGCCCGTAACTAGGGGGCGCAGGGGGTGCAAAGCCCCCCCCCCTGCAAAAAGTTTCGACCCCCCCCCCCCTGTGAAAAAATTGTCGACCATAAAAACAATAGATATACATTGTCTGTTAATTTTACAGCACCCCTACGAACAATTCCTGTCTCCTCGTTGCTCTGGGCTAGTTACGGCCCTGAAGCAGACTTAGTAAACTCTAAAAATAAAACCCTACAGAGTACAGTATTCTGGTTTCATCAAGCTCCTTAGGCTGTTAAAGTTGTTGAAATTTTGCCCTGACAGCAGCGCTACATCCTACTCTTATTTTGATTTCCACCAGCTAGGGATATTTAACAAGCCACCAATGATATACATGGTGTAGACTCCCTTACCGGGTCCATTGTCATGGGGAATCTAGAGGAGCTTACGTGCACCACACCAACTGAGCTACCATAAATATAAACATATTGCTTTCCCTGAACCCACAATCCAATATTTTATATTATAAAACTAGCGAATGACCCGGCGTTGCGCCGGTTGAAAGTAGTATGACTCCGTAAAAGGAATTTGTATTCCAACGCCACCTAGCCAATGTTTCTCCCCAGTCCGAGCTACCCGTATACACCAAATATCAGTCTCGGAACAAACCTTGTGTAGCCGCCAACCCTGAACAGACAGACAAACAAACCAACAGAGAAAGGAAAGTCACAAATTTGTATAGATTTAAAACACAACTAACCTATATATATATATATTTCACCTGTCTGTCACCAGCAGTCCGTAACAGCTTATGCACTGCACCTGTATAAATCAAATAATAACATACTTTATATGTTATTATAATGTATATATATATATATATATATATATATATATATATATATATATATATATATATATATATATATAACACATTTGGGAATTCCCAGATATATCAATGAGTTAATGGTCTGATTTCAATGAAAAATTTTGATAATATAATATCGTTTACCAAGCCTGTGGGTCCCTGTTTCAAAGCATGTGCGCCGGTTTGATCCGGTATCTTATTTCGGGATTTCAAGGATATTTCAATGAGTTAATGACGTGATAGTATTGATTATTGTTTGCATATAACCACAGGAATCTGACCTTCTATCCGTATATATATGCATACACCAAGTCGTACCAGAAAATATATAATAAAAAAGAACAGGAATGCAATGCGTCAGCGCATGGCGGTCGTGACAAAATGAAAATGGACGAAAACGATGTAAATATTGGAAACAAGTGGCGATGATATCGTTTTGCGGGAGTATTTATGCAAATCAAAACGACTAGATTGAAGAAAAAACATATCTGAGTGAATTGACAGAAGTTTGGTTGCCTGACATTACGAATTGTTGAAAAAAAACGAGCCGAAGCGAGAGCAGGTAAGATCGAGTTTTCAACAGGCATTGCATTCCTGTTCTTTTTTATTATATATTGTCTGGTACGACATGGTGTATGCATATATATACGGATAGAAGGTCAGATTCCTGTGATATAACCTAGTATATCAGTTCGCAAAACTGTTACGCAATCCAATGTCTATGAAAATATAACATTCGTGGGTCCCAGCTTGGCTTGGGTTTTTGTTTAGTGACAAAAATACAGTACTCAAAAGGTCTAAGTCCAGTAATGATTAGTAAAATAAGAATTACACAAGTAAGAAATAAAACACCAAGTCAAAAATTTAAAGTTATTGGGTTGTTTAAAAGACCCTTTGCAGACTGTTAACAGAGTAAATGAAATATAGCCGTTAATCTGAAATAAGCACTCGATCCATTCCATTTCATCTTTTTGAAAATTAGGTTCTGACCTAGTAGCGTATTCTACAAGCATGCTTTAATATTCCAAGAGCCAACAAAAAGATATACATTAGACATAATTTTACCTTACATTTACTGATATACATAACAAATAAGACATCGAGTATCATTATATGTCATACCCCAGGTTAACCATGCGCATGATCACAGCTTCCCTTTTATACAGTCGTGTATAGTCAGTATAGTTTATTAACAAAATGTCGCCATGGAAATAAAACGAAACAACATAAACTAAAAACTAATCAATATTTTGACATTTAAACTGGAATTGACGTTAACAAATCCACAATTTAATTCGACCATGTTAACCATAAAAAACACCGAAATGCACTAAATGAGATATACCAAAACATGGACCTACTGTAGAAATTGGTTGTTGCATTTACGGCCATCTGCGGCGGTTTAGCTCGGTACACGGTTCGAATCGGTTCCGTAAGCATAGGACTCACGTATCTGTATTATAGAAAACAGATTTTATCGATTTGTCCCACTTTGTTCCATTACTATAAGGACTGATCGATTGCATATTGTGTAGAACTAGTATGCCGTACACGTATTTTGAATTTTAAAAGTAAGGAAACAATACAAACCAGATAAGACAAATGGTGTCACCAGTGTCGCGGTTTGGCTCGGTATCCGGTTTGACTCGGTTCCATATCGGTATCATCAGTTGGGAGCCACGGTGGCTCAGTGAGTAGGGCGTTGGCTCGCTAACCTGGGGGTCCTGTGTTCGATCCCTGCTTTGGCCGAAAAAGTTTATCGGGATTTCCCGGCGTGGTTTTCTCTTGTCAGTAGTGTAGGACGCAGGGCTTGGCAATGGACAACGTATAGTCGTTTGGATAGGACGAAAAACCGAGGTCCCGTGTACACATTGGCATGCTCGTAAAAGAACCCTCATAGCACACTGCGTTAAACGCCATTTCGTTTCATCATTTACGTACCTATTTTGTTTCATGTTTTTAAAAGCTGAAAAATGGTGTTATCATGTTGCTTCAATACTTTTTTTTTTTTTAAAAATGTCTTTATTGCACCCGTAACCAACTAACCATAGAAACAAATATAAGTACCATCTCTTAATCTCAAAATGACCGGTGGATTGTATGGACAAGACGTTGCTCCCTATTTAAGAATTATCCGTTCTTAAATGTATGTGATGTCATGCACGAAAAAAGATGTGCTTGTATTTCAGTAACATCAAATACCATTTCTATGTGTATATGTGTATTGTGTTGACAAGCTATATTCAAGAACTATCCCCGACTAAAAGTTGGGGGGTTGGATGGCCGAATGGTTAGCACGTGCGCGCTGTATCATAAAGCCTGTCATTGAGTCAACTGGCGTGGTTTCGAATCTCCGGTTGTACGTGACAATGAGTAGGGTCGCCTGTCCAACCTCGTGGGTTTTCTCCGGGTCCTCCGGTTTCCTCCCACTGCTAAAGACCCCTGCGCGCAAGCGAATTATTGAAATAAAATTAAACCATATGTTAGTCCAGAAATGACCTAGTTTGTGTCGAGTGGACGTTAAACCCCATTGCGCTCTCTCTCTCTCTCTCACTCTCTCTCTCCGACTTAAAGTTGTGTCGTGCACGAGGCATGGCATGCTTATATTTCAATAACAACTTATACCACTTCTTTGCGTATGTGTAGCATCCAAACATTTATTTTTGTCCACGTCTTTATTATCCCAGTCGGTGTAGAAAAGTGAGACTTTAAACTCCAATTCATTTCATTTAATTTCAAACATTTAGATTTGATATTTTCGAATTGTAGAGTTCGAATTGTCTTGTATTTCAGTGTTCTAAGGGGGATGGGATGACCGAATGGTTAGCGCGTGCACGTTGTATCATAAGGTCTGTCATTGAGTCAACTGGTGTAGTTGTACGTAGGAGTGGGGTCGCTTGTCCAACCACGTGGGTTTTCTCCGGGTCCGCCGGTTTCGCCCCCCCCCCACCACCTTGCTAAAGATCCCTACGCGCAAGCGAATTATTGAAATAAAATTGAAGCATCTCTCTCTCTCTCTCTCCCTCTCTCTCTCTCTGTGTTCTAATTGTATCACTATATTTTATAGATGAATAGTAAGATAGAGAAATTAGATTTAGAAGGTAATGATATAGAGGAAGATGGCTGTGTCTGTTTATCGGATATGTTACGTGAAAATATCTATATTACAAAACTAGTAAGTATTTTCTATTATGTTTTGCATACAGAAAGTAGACCCAACCCACCAGTCTTTTCTCGGCTGTTTATTATGTTTTACATACAGGAAGTAGACACAATCTCTAGTCTTTAATTTCAAGTCAAAGTCACATAATATAAAGAAAATTTTTTTATTGTGCGTCAGAATAAATTAAATTATGTCAGAATTAATTTTGTTAGACGCCCTATTAAAATACTTTAATGTAAACTGTAATTATTTAATCTTTCTTTACAAAGAAGGTCATAGTTGGGCGAACTTTGCACGTGATCCGACTTGATGTTACTTCTAATAGATTATTATGCAATATATCAGGAAATAACTTCATTTATACCTACTGTGAAATTATACAGATATTAATACATATTTTTTTTTTTTTTTTTTTTGTAAAATTTAATCCTCTGTCACTTTACGATTGGGACATATTTCACAAAGAAGAATTTGATCTTTAAGCTTGCACCATAGTCATCTGATATAAAATCATCTTCGAGGCCTACTAGCAATACACGGTTTTTAGTAAACCAGCCAAAGTTTTTATTTTATGTCGAAATTAACTATTACACTTTCCAAGTGATAATTCATCGTTATGATCCATCAAACTTTAATTTAGTGTGGCATTTAAATGGGTGCGTCTAAGATGTTTGTAAAAGTTGATTCTAGTAACTGTCATCCTTACATTCTGCTAGAAATAAGTAGAACATCCCCTTTAGATGAAAAATGTAATTTAAAAATGTGTATCAAAAACATTATGAGTTGAAAATTGATTCGGGTGATATTCATAAACAAATTAATAAAATTTTAATGGACACTACAGAATAACTAATATAGTCATTCATGTGGAATTTGTGAGTCTGATAAAACCATCATCAATTGTTCTTGAATATCAGTAATTATGTTTCAATAAGGTATCCATATTCATTATATTTAATAGTAAGTTACAGTCACGAGCATTTAAATTATTCAGTGTAACACGACACTATCAGTAGAGTAGATGATTTAATTATTGTTTCACAGATTAGGCTGACTGTGAGGTTATCACTCGCTAGAAATAAAAGTATTCATGAATAACACAAGGTACAATTTTATGGATACACAATTACTGAGTTTAATATTAAGCGACGTTTCGACGAGGATACCCCTACGAGGATACTCGTCAAAACGTCGCTTAGTATTAAAGGGACTATCCCGATTTGAACAGAGTCTCAAAAATAAAAGTCCGAGTACGTATGAAATTTAAACGCCAAAATATAGAGGAATGGTGTATTTACCCTGTCTCAAATTTTTAGCTCTTAATATTGAGTCATTTGGACGTGAACGTCAAAACTACTTATCCGGACACGTAACTCTTTTAAGATTTCGGGTCAATTTTTTCGTTGGATGACCTGATAATCGATTCCCGTTCCTTTAGAGGTCTGTACAGTGCATGGCCCACATACTGTACTTGATAACGAAGGGTAAATTTCACATACACGTTATTTTTATAAAATAAAAGTCTGGTTTTATCCAGACACCGCGTCATACAGCTTGGGGCACCGGTCTCCATTTACAAATGAAGACTGACGGGTGTAAGTTGTTTGAAAACGTATCACATATATTGAGTAAGTTGCTCGACTCTAAGGTAGACGATTTTAAGGAATTTTAACACAAAATGAAGCAGTTTTATTCTCAGAAATATTATCGGGATTGGCCCTTTAAACTCAGTAATTGTCTATCCATAAAATTGTACCTTGTGTTAATATGTTCAATTACTAAATGCCAATTAAAGATAATATTTATGAATACATTCAGGCAACTACTCTAAAACTTGGACAATCTGTTACCCCGTATTCTATTAAAAGCGACACTGGATAATGTTTCACACTATTATTTATCTCACAAATTTGAATAATCAATTCCAAATCTGATCCCACCAATCGGATCAGGTTTTTGCTTTTGACTAATCAGTTAGAGAGAGAGAGAGAGAGGTGGGTTTAACGTTCACTCGACACAAACTAGGTCATTTCGGGTCTAACATATGGTTTTATAATTTTATTTCAATAATTCGCTTGCGCGTAGGGGTCTTTAGCAGTGGGAAACCGGAGGACCCGGAGAAAACCCACGAGGTTGGACAGGCGACCCTACTCCTTGTCACGTACAACCGGGGATTCGAAACCACGCCAGTTGACTCAATGACAGGCCGTATGATACAGCACGCACGTGCTAACCATTCGGCCACCCCCACCCCCCCCTTATCAGTTAGAGTATAATAACAATATTCCAGTTCGGAGAGAGAGAGAGAGAGGGGTGGGGTTTAACGTCCACTCGACACAAACTGGGTCATTTCGGGACTAACATATGGTTTAATTTTATTTACATAATTCGCTTGCGCGTAGGAGTCTTTAGCAGTGGGAGGAAACCGGAGGACCCGGAGTAAACCCACGAGGTTGGACAGGCGACCCTACTCCTTGCCACGCACAACCGGGGATTCGAAACCACGCCAGTCGACTCAATGACAGACTTTATGATACAGCGCGCGCACGCTAACCATTCAGCCATCCAACCCCCTATTCCAGTTCGGGTTTGCTTCGACAGACGTTAACAGTTTGGGGCAAAGTTTCTCTGGAGTGAGCTAATCTGCTACTCGGTATCCTAGGACTGGCATTTTTTTTTTGCTACAGCAGCAAATTTGTAATTTGGAATCTGGAATTTGGAATCTGGAATTTGGAATCTGGAATTTGGAATCTGGAATTTGGAATCTGGAATGAGCCTTCTGGGCTTTCGTATATATCTATTGTAATTTTTTTATCTGGAACTTCACTCAAATTAGGACATATGTAATGATTTCTATAATTATACACGCACGTATTACTTGATGACGAAATTAATGTCAATGTTCTAAATTAACTATTTCCATGCAAGGCAGTGCACTTTATTATTAAATGACCAAAGAAAATATATCCCAAAAATATACTCCTACATGTCAGTTAACCAAGGTTTTGAGTTGAGTCCCACTCTCTTCAACGGCTGTATTAATGATCTCGAACAATATCTCTCAAGCCCATCCGTTGATCCGTCAGATTTTTTATAATATCCGAACAACTCATTTATTATATGTAAACGATTTGATTCTCATTTTATCTAATAATACTGAGTTAGAAAATAGTCTAAATCACTTTGAATTGTTCTACATGGATTGAATTCTGGAATTAAGTATTCCAGCATTTCTTGAAAAATGTCATGTTTCTGATTTATTCTTGTGTCACTTGTAAATTATATATGTGTTTTTATTTGCAGGTATTATCTAACAATAGAATAGGCAATGACGGTGTAATAACTTTATGTGATATATTAAAACGTAACGATGCTGTCACAACACTAGATATATCAGGTAAGGTTTTAATTGTTTATTCTAATATCTTGTTTTCATTTATTTCACTTTGAAAAATAAAAGTGTCGATTTCATGGAATGATATCTACTACTGATGTGTATTGTGGGGTCACTGTCCGTTTTGCTTTCAAATTAAGTCAATATACTGTCTTGAGTAGACACAGTAAGCTAAAATGAAACCGAGATTTGGGTAAAAATCGACTACCGCTTAATCTGTAATGGTACAGGGCTGAATCACCACTGTTCGAAAAAACACGATTCAGTACTTTATATTGGCCTAAGTCAGTGAGGTTTTAGCATCTTTAAAATTTTCCAACTGTTAGGGTCAAGTTTAAAATGTAGTTTAATTTCATCATAATTATTGTAAAATAAATAAACAAATTATCAACATAAAAAAACAGCAAAAGAATAAAACAGAAGACACTATTTAAAGATGGATTAGCCTGTTGAGTACCTTCTCAATTTGTTAAAAAACGATAATTTCGACATCGGGTTGTTGCAAAATTTGAGACAAGTCGGTCAAGTCATCGTTGAGATACTTATCAGTAGTCTCGAGCAATCTAGGTTATGGTGTCATCACTTCTTTTAATAAATAATATTTTATTCAGAACATGTAAATTGGGTTGGTTTTATTTTGTTTGAAAAAATATATGTATGATAAAAGAATAAATATATAATCGTCAAAGTATAAGAGTGGCTGCTCCTACAGATTCTACTGTATTACAGTAGAATCGTTAAAGTAAATAATGCTACACGAAATTATCACAAAACAGAACGCACCAAAGAGAAGATGAGCTTTACTAAATAGTAAGCATACCTTACCCCATGCACGATCCCGTCTCGCTACTTGTAGTTAATTCGGGGTGTATTGGCCCAGGGGGATCACGTGGCTAAGTGGGTAAGACGCTAGCTCGCTAGCCTGGAGGTCGGGTGTTCGATCCCTGCATTGGCCGAGAAAGTTCATCCAGATTTTCCGGCGTGGTTCTCCCTTGTCAGTGATGCAGGACGGAGGGGCTGACAAGGAAAGCTGTCTAGTCGTTCGGATGGGACGACAAAACCGAGGTCCCGTGTACACATTGGCGTGCACGTAAAAGATCCCTTGACAGTTGGAATTCGATATAAGAGTAGGCCGTAGTGCCGCTGTCCGGGCAAAATTTCCCTCATAGCACACTGTATGGCGTATGCCCGTCTTCATTAGCCCAGGTTAGGAGCAGAACAGTAGGACGTTAAACTCCACTTCATTTCATTTCATTTCGTATTGGCCCAGAATATACCCTTCACTGTTTTCCAGAGACTAGCTATATTGGTTGATATCAAATGCATGTTTTATATTTTAACAGGGAATGAATTAAGTGATGTATCAGCTGTGCAGATATGTGAAATGTTACAGGTATGTAAATATTGAATATTTAATCAATGAATAAATACATTGCCCCTAAACACACTGAAAATCAATTTTATTTTTTTTTATTCTTTAAATATTAGTATGCAAATTGTAATACGTTGATTTCATGTACATGTATTTTCAAATTTCGCTTTAAATGCTCGTTTTGTTCAATTTCAGAAAAACGCAACAATTAAACATCTTTTACTTAGTCATAATCAGTTTGAAGAAAAAGCAGCAGAGTGTTTTAATGAAGCTTTGTCTGTAAATGAAGCTTTAGAAAGTTTAGATCTCAGTTGGAACAGATTTAGAACACGTGGTGCTGTTTGTATAGCTGAAGGTGTTCAGGTAAGCATAATATGATATAATAGTTTTTATCTCCCATGGATGATCGCTTCGAAGCTAGACATTGGTTTTGGAGCATGGCGGCGGACTAATGTCCTGCATTTTCATATTTTTAGAAGTCGTTGGTAGGTTACGATGTCTTTTGTAAGGATTGTACTACTAGACAGTGATAATGATTACATTTATGTACGCTTCTGTCAAAGCCTTTTGTAATGTTCGTACCGGTCAACACTGTTGTTAATGATCGAACATTTAGCATCTACATGTACTTATATTGGTCAAACGTCGTTGGTAATGATCGTAGATTTAAACGTCATTGGTGGTGATCGAAGATTTAAACACCATTGGTAGGTATCAGACTTTTATAATGGCCGTACTATGGGATCCCGTTTGTGAAGGTCTACTTAGACGTTATCGGTAACATAATCTTTTTTGACTTTTACCACGAAAGTCTCCCAGTGTTTTGTCTTTTTTTATAAAAAAAAACTGTCAAACTCTCACATCCGTCTTTAATAAGTTGAAAATATTGAATAAATTGTATTATAGTTTTGTTGTTTTATTTAAAGGAAAACTATGGTCTCCGATGTTTAAATCTGTGTATGAATGGTTTTGGTCTGGATGGTGCCTGTAGTATGGGAAAGGCCCTGAAAGTAAACAGAACTCTACAGGAGTTAGATATGTGCTTCAATAGAATACCCGATAAAGGTGTAGAAGAAATAGCCATTGGTTTACAGACAAATGATGTGCTCAAATCATTGAAGGTAAATAATTTATTTACTTAGAAAATTTTTCAGTTAGACAGTTTAGATTGTCTTTTAAAACACATAATTATTGGCATGATTATGAAAATATACACTAATATTTTAAGGATGCAACCTTATTATTGGCTGAGTTTTATTTTACCCAAATCAAAGATAAAAATGGGTATAGCAACTTGCTTGGCGACTTGATAACGGCATTAGAATCACGGTTGAAACGTTACCAACTTTAAATTCATTAATGAAATTCTGTGTTTTATTTGTCCCGATGGAATGGACTTGGATTTGCGTAAATCTTCCACGTGGCTTCTGAAATCGCTCTAACGTATCACTCCAATCAGAGTCTCCGCGAGACAATGTATGTGTAATCTTTACATTACATCCGATACCATTTCAAGTTCACATAGCTAACAATTTTCTCATGATCCAAGTGAATTATGGCACTTTGCTCGTGATATATGGACGCGCTAATTATTTCACGCTTTACCTTTTTTTTCAGATCGGATCGAATCAGTTTGGTGGTGACTCTGCCTTGTTTTTATTAAAATCTATTGATAAGAATGATAGTAGTGCTTTAAATTATCTAGAATTATTGGTAAGTACTTAATATGAAAAAAAGAGAGGGAAAGACAATATAGGTCCTTTTTGGGTCTCACACACGGTATAACATTCAATTCCTTTGCCCACAAGGGTCTTTGACGGTGGCGAAACCCGTAGAAAACCTACGAGGTTTGTGTTTCTGTCGAAAACGTACACGATATATTTCTCAATTTTGTTTGACGTAGTCCATAGGATCCTGTGTTGCCTAATGAATAGGACGATTGTTCAGACAGGTTCCCTCTCCTCAGGGTCGCAGAACGAGGGGCATCGGGCGAAATAATAAAATACAGCGAGGTAGCGCATAGCAAAATGTCTCTCATTGCACAATGCATAGCGTATGCCCTTTGTCACGAAGTCGGCTGGCGCAGAAAAGTAAGACGTATAACCCGATTCATTTTCCTTTTACACGGTTAAATAATTGCCTTGACACCAATGTATCGTAGTAACATAGGTTTATAATGGAAACAACTGGATAACGGTATAATTGTTCCTTGTTGTTCTTGATGTTTACCGTCCGCTTCCACCGATAGTAATATCGCAGACAAGTTGCCATATGTTCATTTTTGCCCCCGCCTTTCGAAGAAGGCAGGGGACTATTAAAATGGTTTCGTTCGTCTGTCCGTCCGTCCGTCTTTTCGTCCGTCCGTCTGTCTGTTTGTCTGTCTGTCTGTCCGTCACACTTTTTGTGACACAATCACTCTAAATCTAACTGAGCTAGAATTTTCAAACTTAGAGTAGGTGTTTATTAGGTCGATGCCTTGATGGAGTTCGAAGATGAGCAATTTCTGCTTAGAGTAAGCAAAGATAAGCAATTTGATTGGTTGATGCTTTGGGACACGATAACTTCAGTTCTAAATAAGTGAGTGTAATGAAACTTGATGTATAGTTTTATCACATCAATACCTTGACTAAGTTCGATAATGAACATTTTCGCCTGAGGATAAGTAGAGCGATAAGCAATTTGATTGGTCAAGTTTGGAAGATAACAACTCTGCTTTTAATTGAGGTACAATGTTTAAACCTGATGTTGATGTTCGTTAGGTTGATTCTATCTGAAAGAGAGTGACGAAACTTAGTGAATTGATGATAATCAGTTTGATTGCTCGATACTTTTGAAAAAGATAAACGTGCAATTAATTTATATGTGTGATCTATTTATTTCGGGATTTCGGCTGGGAACATCACCCTCGCTGTTGGCTTGTTATTATCATTTTGGACCCAGGCCGGAAGTTGAAAGGAGACTGACATCGACGATGAACATTAATATACAAAGCTGACAAAGTCGATCTGTTTTATTTAAATAGTCTGATATGTTGAGTTCATAAAATATGTATTAATAAAACAAGTTTTAAGATTTAAATATTCGTGTATTTTGTTGTAGAACGTAGAAGTTACAGAAGAATTCATGGATTTGAAGAAAATCTTAGAAACTGAGCGTCAGATGAAGATTTTCCATGGTGGATTAGTATGCGATGATACTTATAACATACCTACTTCCTGGAGATTAGATGACGTAGTAGATAGCTGGATGTCAAAAAATCCCATGAGTATTCTGAAGAAGTGAGTTTATTGATGTTTTAACATTATAAGCTTTTAAAGGGGAATTATACAAAACTATCACCATATCATATTCAAAATACATTTAAACCCCAGAGACTCTGGCATCACCACGACAGACAAACGTTTACGTTTATGGGATTTCGGTAATGCCAGGTATTCATGGTGTCACCTGCGAATTTATTCAAGGATTTGGCTATTTCGGTCACCACCACGATAGACAAATCGTCACTATTATGCCCCACCCCCACGTCATTAAGTTTATGGGATTTCGCTTATGTCAGGTATTCATGGCTCCCGATAGACAAATCCTCACTATATCCCCCCCCCCCCATTACCTTTATGGAATTTCGGTAATGCCAGGTATTCATGTTGTCACCTGCGAAAGGATTTGGCTATTTCGGTCACCACCACGATAGACAAATTATCACTATTATGACCCCCCCCCACCCCCCACGCCCATTACGTTTATCAGATTTCGCTTATGCCAGGTATTCATGGCGTCAACTGCGAATCTGTGTAAGGATTAGTTCTTTCGGTTTTTCAGCAAAATTGTGTTGTTTTTGCGTATATATGTATATATATTGTCAGGATATGGAATATTTGTTTATATATATTGGATATGTTATAGTTTGTATATTTATTTTAACAGATACGATTTATTTATAAGGATTTGGATTAATTGTTTATACTGTTTTGTTTGTTTTGACAGGTATATTGTGGAATCGGGATATCGATTAATTGATTTATTTAAAGATTTTGATAAAGATGGTAATATGTTTATTACAAGAGATGAGTTCACTAAAGGATTACAGGTAGTCCATTATTCTATTTTCAAATTTAAATATACGCCCACCAGCAGCATTTTGAAGGGTGGTTTTCAAGTTTTCAGGACTGGATTTCGATAAAGTTTCTCCAAATAATCCACGTGTTTGGAAAAAAACCTAAAATACACTGACCTGGAGAATGTTTACAAGTTTTCAGTGTTCGTAAAATCAATCTCCGCAGTATTGGAATTCGAAGAAGAGTTAGCAGAAAATCTCCTGTCCGGGCCATTTTTCCCCACAGCGCACTGTATACGCATGTCCGTCCAAAATCCATTTCATTTCCATTACAACGTGTTGGTAAACAGGCACCAGCTGCCAAAATGTCAATCAGAATGTAACGACAAATCGGAAGCCGTTTTAATACGATCCATTGGACTATCGAACACACTTATGTAGTTGGCTAATCACTCTCCCATACAGCACCCCGCTCTTACTTTCACCTGTTGATCATAATTCTTCTGTTTTTAGGCTGCTAATATTAATATGACAGAGACACAGATTCAAGAACTGGTACAACAATTAGATAAAGATAAAAATGGTAAAATAGATTTCGCGTAAGTATCCCCATTTTCTTACCTTTAATTCAAACTACTATCCCCGTGTAGTCTGTACGTTATTCCTTTGAACCACTCAATTACATCAAAACTGATACAGAAGCCGAGATAAACGCCGAAATCTAAGTGCAGGCACTGTCGTGCTCTGGGGAGTGGGGATGTGGATGGCGCCGTAAGGGTGTCGTTGTTTGCACAGGACCGCATATAGTTGACTAGTATATGTAAAGACCGTTCCCCGAAGAAATATACCTATATAGTCAGGTGGTGCTCGGGCATGCATCAGTGGAACCGTTTTAACTTCTTTGTTCGCTCACGTGCGTTCCGGTACAACCTGAAGCCCCAAACAACTAGATATCTTTGATTTGGATCAAAAATAAAAATTTAGAGCTCTAATGTGTTTTTTGAGATGGCAGTCTGTCTTCGTTCAATATAGATATATTCTTCGATAGATGAAGCCAATGTTCAGATATGAACGATTTGGCGTTTCTGTGTCGACACCATAAGCTCCCCAAAAAACACTAAAATTAGTAAAGGGCTGGCCTCAGATCAACCCATAATAAGTAAATCCTTTATTTTTGGCCTACATGAAATAGGTTTAGCTCCTTTAGATTTGTCAGAAATGAAATATTTTGACGACATTATTTTCCATTGTTTTATATTTTTGGGTCTTGGCGATGCCTGGTTTACTTGTCTTCCAATAAAAAAACGGGAATAGCTTTCTTTTGAAAAACTTAAAAGCTGTGTTCCGTTTACAAATGTTTTTATAACATCCAATTTACACATCTAGCAACAGTTGTTTTAATAGTCATTGATACGATTTAATTTGATTATTTATTTCAGGGAATTAATAGAAGGAGATAAAGAATACAGAGAAATGCAGAGAAAAATACTCAAACAGAAATTAGAAGAACAAAAATAAGAATGGTGAATCTCTTAGTAAAGTTTAGTACGACTTGTGGATTTCATCAAGATTCTTAACGGCTAGAGCAGTGGTTCTCAACCTTTTTTTGTCAACGGCACACCTTGGAACACATGAAAAATGGCGGCACGCCTGGCTAAATATATATATATATATGAAAAATATTTGAATTTTGTAAAATAAAAACATGGCAAGTCATAGACGGCACACAACCGTTGGACTAGTCATAGACACATAGAATGATTCAAACTAAATAAAAAGAAAAAAAAACACAGCTATGAACTTACTTTATTGCAGTGTTTCGAATTCCATCAGTTATATTTTCTAAGAGTGCTGTTCAAAATTTCGCGGCACACAGGTGTACCGCGGCACACTGGTTGAGAATCACTGGGATAGAGTGAGAGAAATGTTCAAGTTTTTCCTACGGGTAAAATAATAATACGGCTTAATGTTATAAGAAATGACTTTGATAATTTTCTATTCTCACCATGAATACGATTGTTTTTTTATGATTTCTTGCATGTGATGTGATTAAAATTACAGTATTTTGAATGATTTTTAGCATTGAATAAAATTGGGCGATTCTAATTTGGATCTTACAGAAAGAGGTTTTCCTTTTAGTTTTAATGAAATGCCAAGCTTTTCTGTGTTGTATTTATATACATGTAGTAGAAAAGAGACAAAATATTGTATTACATATTGTTACCAAATTGGACTGAAATATGGTAATAAAATGCTGTATTCATTATTACAGCTTTATTTTGAAACCAAGATATACTACTATTCTTTGGAAATATTAGAACTTCGAAGCACTCACTATACAGCATAGTATTAACTGGTGGGTCCGGGAGAATTACCCCACCCCCTCACTCTTACCAAATAGCCTGCGCCCGGCACTGTATTTACCGATAAAGACAACTGAAACTGAAACGTAGAGAAAATAAAGCAATTATTTTACCACTCTTTGATGATAATACAAAGTTGTTCAGATGTACAAAAATATTTAAAATTGATATGTACATAAATATTCATATATATTTATAATATTATAATAATATATACTCAATAAATACATATATAATTATAAATGATAATAGTTTAAGTTGTAATTTAAGTACTGTGGTCCATAGTTGATCCATTATTTTGTGCTATAATTTTGACGAACTTTGAGTGTACATGCACAATATCAATATAATTGGCAATAGTATTGAAAACAAGGGAACATTTCAACTCAGACATGACTGTAATGCTAAGTTCCCACTGCCTTGCGAACTGTTACGGTAGGATTGTCCCTATTTAGTCCACGGTCTGGTACGACTGACCTCAACATATGATAAGACCTGATAGGATCACCACGATAACTCCACGATTAAAACCAATGTCAATCGTGGCGTGAATCGTGATAGTGGGAACCTAGAATTAACGTTTTGGGGATCCGCGATGGATCGCGAATTCATAGCCTCTGTGATCAGTAGCTGCAGCAATTATGATCCATACACAACACATTTTGGGCAGGTACGGAACACCTTATCTGTTTTAACAGACCAGGGCCAAAGCGCATTACTTCACCAATTCCAATGGCTTAATTCTAATTAACGCTATGAGTAGTCGGTTTCAACATCTTGGTAACGTAAACAATTCATTTACTGAAATAAAAACGATGAAGATTTGTATCCTGGATCCTGGTTTCAATTTCGTAGGTACTACACGAAGTCAGTACGCGAATAATCATGAAATTATACGTGATTTCATTTTATGTATTGGATATATATAAGATTAAGTGCAATGACATTAGTTGTTTACGAGGTTCCAGTTTTTGTGTGAAAAGTGTGTTATGCATTCCATTTGAATCCAGAATGAAAAGTTGCAAGAGCATTTGTCTATATCCAGTTTTTAATACTCTGCTATGAGTTGTATGTTTGTATGAAAGAAATCAATATAGTGTTTATGGATGGTTTTAAGAAACCAGGAAATTCCCAGAATTTGTATTATTTTAATAAGCAGTAATCAATGAATAAAACAATTCTTATCTTTATATACGACTTGAGTCATTTCATATGTTCTGGGGTGCAAGGGACCATGTGGTGGTGGTGGGCAGGTTTTTATTTCTTCTCACTCGGGTTCTTCCCCCGAAAAAACAATAAAAGCTGGCGTCTTCTAGTCAGATCTATAGAAACAAGATTCGATTTGGTGCACTTTGACGTATATATACCGAACAAAAATCTCGAATCTAGGTACCATCTAAAAGATAACCATCTCTGTCTTGAAGGCGTGTATTGCTGAAATACATTTTAAAGTACAGCCGGCAAAAATGTAAGGGAAGCAGGGCGATTGCCCGGTGCTTCAGAGCGCCGGCGCCAATACATTATGTTACAGTATTGGTTCTTTGATTCGGGTTCTTGGTGACAACATTGGTTTAACTTCATACTTTCATTGTTCATCCAAACATATAATGTATAAGACTCCTTAGTTATGATTCCTTAGTTAATGACTTCTTAGTTAGCTTGTCTTTAGTGAGCCCTGGTGCTAACTGAAGGCGCTCTGGCCTGGACTCAAGCCTATTCCCAATTAACTCATGTTTCTAAGAGTTCTCGTCTTAACTTGGGGTCTGCCATGATCCCCAACCTAACTTTCTAACTAACTTCCTGATCTCTTCTTTATACCCATGACCCTTGTCAGATGTCAAGCTGATTACACCGCTGGCTATAACGTAATGCTATATTATCTTTTTGTACAAATTGCTTTACAAGACAACATACATTACACGAATCACCTATCTTGTCATGATATCTTTTAGATGTTCTCCAATTGTGTAACAATTATGTCCAATTGACTGATTAATTTTAAATATTCGTAATCAGTGATCAGGCATCGAACGGTTATTGAGAGGCGTTCCAGTGGCGAAACAGACTGGTGAACACAGTGTCCTCTTCCTTGATGAATGGAATTATTAGTTCATGTGTCACCAGTGACACATTCTCGTATTTGACTCTTTGTAAAAACCACGCGAAGGACCAACTGAGGGACCTCCACTCTCGGGTTGTTCAGGGTTGGTTGAAACTGATTACTGGAGTATATCCTACGTACCAAACCTCCAGAATCCAGCAACTGCAAACCATCAAACACCTCAGAAATTCAGAACTAAAAAGACTTTTAACTTATTTAGGGGCTCCCAAGCCTCCCGCACTCGCAGACTTCTTTTCAGTCCATCCCTGAACAACGGCCGTGGGCCTGCGCAATATTCCATCTTATTTTTCTCTGCCTGTTGGTGTTTCAAATAGAATGGCTAATGACTCGTGAAACGTGTGGCTATATCACCAATTAGCCCAAACTTCTTCACCAAAGTTCTGAGACAGCGCCGCTGTCTCCCCCCCCCCCCCCCCCAATGCTTTCTAACCTGAAAACCATATACACAGCTGCTGATAGTTTAAATATTTGGTTATTCCAGAAAAAAGAAATGGGCCCTTTGTCTCCTTGGCAATGAAAACTCATTTTTATATCGCAAATACAAAGGTCGAAATCGGATTACCGTTACTTTTTATAATACGGATTTCGATATAGGGACTCATGGAAAGAAAGTCTAAGCGAACACTAACAATTTTCTGGTGTAAGGGAAAGAACTCTTTTTAAGAATTAGAGTTACCTCACCAATCACAGGAAGCCGCGGGTAAAAATGGATGTAAACAGAAAAAAAATCAAATTATTTGTTGTAAACTTTTACTGAAAAGTTAATTTTTCTAAAATCTTGGTAATGGAGGATGCCGATTTAGCCCTTGCTTTAGCTCTACAGGAAGAACTGAACAACGAATCTCCCCAAACACCGATAATTTCCAATCATCACAATTCGTCATCAAAATCAAAAACCTTCAAATCACCAAGTTTGGTGGACGAGTTTTGGGAGTTAACCGACCCAAATCCTGATATAAGAGCACTGTTTCTACAGTTTAACGAAAGGTTCTTCTGGGGAAGGCTTGCAGGAATAGAAGTAAAATGGAGCCCAAGAATGACAGTGTAATACTTTTATTATGTTTGATTGAAAATTGCCAACGTCATTCGAGATATGAAATGATTGTAAATATCGCTACTGTACACTAGTACCAACTTAACTCTTACCTAATAACCATGCATAACTCCTGTCTCTGTTCCCCAATTTTCACTCATGCTTAAATTTCCCTCGCTTGTAAGTCACTAAGTCAGTGACAAGGAGTAGGCTCATCAGTCCTACCTCACAGCTTTTCTCTGGTTTCCTCCCATTGCTGAAGACACCTAAATGCCAAGTGGATGTTATATAATTGACATTGTGTGTGCACTACTGTCACCAACCAGAAAGTTGTGATTTAGGCTAGGGCCAGGGTTACAAATTTCACAGTAGAGGATAAAATAATGATTTAATATAAAAACATAATTAGATTATCTAATTTATTGTTTTCTATTTTAGATGTGCAGGTATATGTTGTTATGAAGGTAGAGGAGGACTTTGTTCTGTGAGATTAAGTACGCCATTATTAAAATTGAGACCAAGAAAAGATTTAGTTGAAACATTGCTAGTAAGTAAAGAATGAAACAGAAATAAATGTTTCCTATTCATGGATACCATGGCTACAAACTGACACATGCTTGCAATTGTGACAGGGTTAAAAATAAAGCAGCTGCCATGGCAAGTTTTGCTATATAAAATATGTGTCAAAGAATGGCTGACGTTAGTCCTACTGGACCGATTGCTTCCAATAGGGCCGTTTTCCCTAGTAAATTAGTCCTTGTTTAAATAAATAGACATAGGCTGTGAACCAGAGGGAGGGTGGGGGTGGGGAGGCTTCCAAAAATGGTCCTAATTGGATCCCACAGCTCTTTACGTAGACTCTGTGTTAAAGTTGCCCTGGTGTCAGAGTTAACAAATGTTACCTTCTGGTACATGACCATCATCTGCAAATTGACCATCAGCAGACCTTCAGTTTAGAATGAGAAATAGTCTTTCTTACACAGCAAACAGATTAATATACATGTACCATATTAGCATTTGCTGTATAGAATGCAGAATTGGTTTCTGGTCTGAATCATCTTCTTTCACAATTCCCCAAGCAACGAAGTAGAGTAGTCTTAATCCAGGACGCGTTTTGGGCATTTGCCCGTTATCAACTGGTTACAAAAATAATCCTGTTACCCGGTATATAAAGACAATGGAATTATTACTCACGGGCTTAACATTGTGGATTAATACTTCTACTATACAGTCTTGTCATGTTTGTTGCTTGGGGAATATTACCTTTACTTTATTATCACTGAGATACGATTTTGCCTGCACTTTACAGGGATTCTTCTACCCATCGACAGTACTTTCAGTAGGAGTTAATTCATCACAGTCTAGGATTTTATTTTTTCTTTCACATTTCTTATGGTTTCCTTTTCTCACTTTAAATATCTTTGAATATTTCTGTATATACATATTATTTTGTTCTTTCAGCATGAAATGATTCATGCTTATTTGTTCGTAACAGATAATAATAAGGTAAGTTTGAACATTTATATTATGTAAAATTTTCCAAATGCTAATTTTTAAAAAATAAACTGTGATTGAAATACAAATTCCCTTTACAGAAATTCTTTGTTTTGATACAGGTCACAAATATCTTGTATTGATACTACAAACAATAGCAAACTAGACAAAGACAACATTTAACAAACATGCAAATATATATATATATATATATCTGTATCAGTATCAAAATTATCTGTTGTTAATATATTGCAATTTTTTCCAGGATCATGACGGGCATGGACCAGAATTTCACAAACATATGTACAGAATAAATGCAGAAACAGGAACTAACATATCGGTAAGGAAACAGCAATTATTAAAAAGTATTAGTACACAATTAAAGAGTTATGTTTTTTTTAAATCCTACACCAACTATTGTAAAGCAGTGGACACATTAGCCGAATCGGTCGGCCGAATCGTTCGGCCGAATCAATCGGTGCCGAATTTTATTCGGCCGAATGGGTGGACACACTACCTTTCATGTCACATGATTAAACATGGCGGCGTCTATGGCTTCAATCTATCACATGACTTCTCGATATGAGTGGTGAATTCTATATTCGGCCGAATGCTTTGGAGAAGCGGACACACCAGGCGAATATAATTCGGCCGAATATATCAAACATGTTTGATTCGGGCGATTCATTCGGCCGAATAGAAATTCGGTCGAATGACAGTGGACACACTAGGCGAATTTTGACGCTGATTGATTCGGCCGAATCATTCGGCTAGTGTGTCCACCTCATAAGTTCAACAAATTGGTAATTTTATTAAAGATTTAGACATAAAGAGCTATGATAGTTCAAAAATAGTTAATGAGAAATGAATATATTGAAATTTTAGTCAAATTACTTTATTCTGAGCGAAGTTTTGAGTGTTGATTGTCAAGTACCATTGTTACAAATATGAACAAATTTTCGATGATAGTCTTGATTGTCAAGTAGCATTGTTACAATTATGAAGAAAGTGTCGATGACTGAAAAAAGTCTTTAATATTTAGTTTCTATCCTGGCAAAATGTTACCTTACATTGTACACAGAAGCCAGAATGACTTAATATTTATGTCAATAAAAAGTACAAAACTTTATGTATGTAAATAAATTGTATTTGCATTCGTATTTTCTCATGTTGATTTTATAGGTTTATCATACGTTTCATGATGAGGTTGCTGTTTATAAAACACATTGGTGGAAATGTGACGGTCCTTGTCAACAGAGAAAGCCCTACTTTGGATATGTTAAAAGATCCATGAACCGAGCTCCATCTGCTAATGATTTTTGGTGGGGAGAACATCAAAGAACATGTGGTGGAACTTACACGAAAATAAAAGAACCAGAAGGATATGGTCAGAAAAAGAAAGGAGGAAAGAAAGCAGAAAATGAAAGCAAATCAGATTCTGAAAAGGGTATGTGGCAAATTGCATCGAAAAGTCATTTATATGAATTTTATACAGAAAAACTCATTTATAATTTAATTAAAGACATCACTTCATACAGCTTGTCAACTGTTGTACTCTAAATTTTCTGAGGCCCCCGTGACCAGTTCTGGAGTTAACCTTTACACCCCCCTCCTCCTTCAGTTTTTAAATTGAGTTTAATTGCTCTCAAGTATATGTATAACAGTTTTTTTTTCTATTTAACAGGTAAAGTTAAATCACCAGATATTAGGACATTTTGGGGAAATGTTAACTCATCAGATAATAAGAAGCCAGCAACAGTTACATCGGGATCAATTTCAGAAATAGACAAAGTAATACAAAACGGTGTTTTAGTACGAAAAAATCCTGAGAGTGGTAAAAATGTGAATGATAAAAACTCTTCTAAAAGCTCAACATCTACATCAAATACCAACCCCAACAATAATATTAATATTCCAGTCAGAAATTCATCTGTTACAAACAATAAAACCAATATTCCAAAAACAAATAGTTCAAACAGTGGAAAACCAATGCCAAGGGTAAATGGTGAGTTGTCTAGTAAGGGAGATAATTCTGTACAAACTATTGGAGTAGACGCAACAAATGTCCCTCCATATATTCCGAAAAAGGATTCCAATTATGATTCAAATGTTATGCAAGTCAAAACAATATGGAATAAAGAACGGGAACCAGTTATTTCTCGACCAACCTTCACAGGTAAAGGAGAGACACTTGGGGGGCCAAATCAGGGACACGGTACAACGAATCAGCCATTGGTTACCCCTAAAAATAATACTAATCCAGACTTAAATGTCATGCATGCTAAAACAATATGGAATAAAGATCGAGAACAAGTTATATCTAGACCAACATTTACAGGAAAAGGGGAGACAATCGGTGGTCAAAATCAGGCTCATGGGGGATTAAGTTGGCTGGCCCAATTAAGAAAAGACATTGGAAAACCTGGACAAAGAAAGAATATGGACTCATCTATGCAAAGAGATAATAGTAAACACAAGGCACAAAATACAAATTATTCAAATCAGCCGCATTTCCACAGTGGGAAAGACTTATCAATACCTCAAGCAAATGCTCAACAAGATCAACCTGTTCACAATAAAGATATAGACATTCTCAATCGCCGAAAATCTACCCCTAAATTATCGAACATTCTGAACAATGGAGATGCCAAACGGAAAATAAAAAAAGCTGTTTTACATTTATCAGATAGTGACGATGGCGAGCAGCTACCTCCAAACAAAAGATTAAAACGCTCAAATTCCCCTGATAATCTTGTGTCACCCGTTATTAAATCTCGCAGATCCAAAGATGGCCTTACTTCTCCGCCATCTCACCAAAGGCAAAACATTTCTGATTTTTTCTCACAAACATCTTCTCAAATCCCAGAATCAAGTTCATCAAGTAACAGTGTGTCGTCAGACAATCATGTGTCATCAGATGTTCCTATGGCTTTGTGTCCAGTTTGTCAAGTTACGGTGAAAACTGTAGAAATTAACGCTCATCTTGATTCATGTCTTTTGTCTTGTGATAATTAAAAAGATTTTTATAACATTGTAGACTTTATCTCCTATTATAATACAAGGATAGTTATCACCAAATCTTACCCGAGGTTGACAGGAGGAGAATAAGAATGCTGCAATTTTATTACATGTATAGAATCTGTATTTTTTCTACGTTGTGATGCATACAGTACCTCCTCACTCTCAAATAAAATCTTTAGGGAGTGTTCTTGCACTCTTGGTATTTTTGTTAATGACATGATGATAATGCAAAAAGAATGTGATATTTAATTCTTGTTTCTGTGTTTTATGTAAATGTTGTGTCAGATTGTCAGATTTAGACAAAGTTCAATTTTTTTTAATATTGAAACAGTAAATGTACAGTCATGTACTGATATGCTCTTGTGACCCAGTAAAATCTAATAGCAGCATAGAAACACATCGCTGTAATATAACATTATTGCAGTTCAGGAACAGACCAGGTAGTGTTTACAATGACTGCTGTCTTTACTATTCAAATGCTACCAGAAGACTCACCAGCCAAACTATTCAAACAAAATGTATTGTTTTGTGGCACAATCCACATATGGTAGATGCAAATGCATGCATTTATGTAATCTACACATATTATATTAATGTCATTTTTAAAACAAGTCCTAATGATGCCAGTCATGAATGTCTGGGAAAAATCTTATGATATCGGTCATGACTGTCTGAGAAAAATCTTTTCCTAATGATGCTGATCATGTCAGTCGAGATCAAACCTTTCTTTATAATGCTGCCAGTCACTTACGTTTTTGGGCTATAGATACTGTAAAGGTTCATATGTAAACCAAATCCATCCAAAAATTTGGTCAGAATGGCTAACAAAATTTTTGTTATTTTATGTCAATCTAATGATATATATTGACATAAATTTAGCATGGCAAATTCTAAAGGTAGTTGATCATTAAAATTTACATGTAAGTCTGGATCAATGTTCAGGTAATATAACAAAATCAGTGATACTGGGTACTGTTTGAAGTATGTGAAGTACTTAAACAGGTATTATGCAAGAGGTAAATCTGCCTATTGCAACTCTTTCTTTAGGCCTTAAATGTTATATAAATTAATAATTAAACATTAATTACGTACCAAGAACATAAGCAGTTCTCGATGCCAACAGGTGGCTCCGATATTAGGTAGATTTGAATATGTTTTTCAATTGTTAATTTTACTATACAAATAGATACTCGAGACTTTGTTTATTATCGTAACAATGACAGTCAAGGATACAGTGTAATAACAGTGTATATCACCAATATCTCGGCTCAGAGCTAAGTAATTTGACTGAAATCTTCAACATATTCCCTTTTCGTTACCTATTTTTTAACTTTTATAGTTCGTTTGTTCATATGGTTTTACATCAGCTTCCAGCTTGGGTGATATCGCAGACAAATGTTTCCTAGGAACTTCCCAGAGAAACCACATACATGTAGTAGGCTTAGCCAAGGATGGTTAGGAAACGTGAGATTGATTAGTAGGCCTATTCAATCTTGTTTCCTTTAAATAAAATACATATTGCCTTTTGCAGGGTAGCTTCCAAGGTAAAATTTCATCCAAAGGAGTTCCTCCGGGTACTTAAAAAAAAAAATGTGATCTTGCCAAGGCTATTATAATGAGAACAGAACTGTCAGCTCTTTATCTAATCTTAACTAATGCCCCTTCAATTAGGATAAACTAAGCAGTTGATTAATAATTACTCAGCTTCTTTCTTTGAAGAAAAGCAAGCAGTTCCTGGCTTGGCATATTAATTGATTAAGATGATTACTTGAAACCACATTCAATATGATTGTTACTTTGATGAAATGATTAAGGTCAATTGTTACTTTGATGAAATGATTAAGGTCAATTGTTACTTTGATCAAAAGATTATGGTCAATTGTTACTTTGATCAAATGATTAACAGCTACTTGTTACTTTGATCAAATGATTTTGAGTCAATTGTGACTTTGAGCCAAGAGTGAATTTTGGCTGTTTGGTTTATGAACGTTATGACTTCATCACTGACAAAATTATGTGATATATGATATCATGTACAGTATGTATTACAATAATGTTTTCCTTTTGCCTGAGATTAACATTAATTTAAACAAAAAAGAAAAATATCAATTGCTTTTAATAAAAACAACAAAAATTAAAATATTACAAATATACATGAGCAAAATTAAAAAGTACATATACCATCAAACTCATAAATGTACATGTACCATCAAACTCATAAATGTACATGTACTATCAAACTCATAAATGTACGTATGATGTATTCAAATCATATTCTGAAAATGGTAAAGCAAAGAAATTGGTCTATTTTCTGTCTTTTTATATGCTAAAGGATATAGTTCACATATGGATAAAGTTTAAACACTACGCTAAATAAGCTTACATGTATAGAATAATAATAAAAAAGTCTAAAACATGTAATTTGAACATGTGTGTCGCAAAACTATATTGTATGTAAATTCCATTAGTTCCTGCTACATTCTTCATTAAACAAACTGCCATATGTTTCTGCTATTGTTCAAGTACTTTGATGTTTTGGGCCATTTTGCCAGTGAAACATTCTTTAATGTTACATTATAAGAACCATACTTATAATTTTCCATGAATTGATTCACTATAAATTAAAATGATAAATGTTCACTAGTCTACTTCTTAGTACTGCCACTGGGCACCATATCCTTCTGCTGTACATGTAAACGTTTTGTTCTTCTTCGCCTGATTAAGATAATGTTAAATTAACAGAGTAGAAAATATTACAATATTAAGGATAACCTCTCAGTCTCATAATTAAAAATAGGCCTAGTTAATTTGTGATCTGGTGCCAATGGTGGCATTACCAAATTACACGAATTTTTACTGTCACACTGGCCTGGAACTACAATTGTTCTACTTGCTTCTGAAAGAGATAAATTTGCTTTCCAATTTCTTTAACCATCTCTTCCTTGGATGCTTTTGGGTGATCTTTAACGTACTGAGAGATGTTCAGAATAGTTTGATTTCGCAATGCCTCGATTGCTTGTTCACCAGAGATTCGATTCCAGACAGTGGAAGCGATTCGAAGACCTGTTACTCTTTGAAGCATGTCCTTATCACCCGTGAACAGCGCCACATTTTGAAGAAAATCACCAGTTTCACCAGAAAACAAGTTTAGAAGATCCATTTCGATCAAACAGTTGTTGTTCACGACAGAAAAATAAAAATATTTACGCAATCTGCACTGAATAAACTTATTTTATTCCCCTGTTTACGTTTCCGTCACGCCAGCGCCCTCTCTGATAAACTACAGCAGCAGACTTCCGTTTCCGGTGTTGGATGAAACCCAAATGTTTTCATTTTGTTGTTCTAAATAATATTGCGAGTATGTCCATGAATGGTATGGGGTTGGATTTATGGAAGGCATGAAGAAGCCTTAAGGTATATGTTAAGAGGAGAAAACGAAAGGCATGCCAGATACGAAGAAAAAGTAAGTTCTATGAAAGGCGATTTATCTTCAGTATTGCTTGGAATTTCTTTTGTTTTGCGTGTGCTGCAGTCTCGTCTTCTTGATGGACGTGATTGTGACCGAGCACTGACTGACACTGTGAATATAATTGATATCAGTTTTGCACTGTGTATATAACCTAATAAATACTTTCTCCGAATCAAATCTAAAACATACCACTTGTAGAATCTAGTTATTATTCTATTTTTTAATTTTTATAATTTATTTCCATTTAAAAAAAAAAAGAAAAAAAAGAATTCATTTAGATCTAGATTTATTTATTTTCTTAAGAAAGTTCTAATTGTGCCTTGGACTTGGTGGAGTGTCGTTTTATTCTCAGATTGTCAGGAATATCAATTAGAAATCAATGTGTATATATGTGAGACAGAAAATTGGGATGAAAACAAAGATCAATGTGTGAAAGATTTAATTAGCTCCTGTTTAACATAGTTGGTTTTTAATGGGGTAATCCCTTTTTGTGGATCATTGACATAATCAGTTAAAAATAGTTTTCAATATTCAATCAAACATACATGTAAAGTCTTTTGCAAGCTAAACCTACAAACTGTTTAGTGTAGGACTAAATTCTATGGATTACAATTACTGTTTTGTTAATAAAGACTAAAGAATCCCTGTCAAAATGTCGGTAAGAAAATAAACTGTAATTGAGCACCAAATCCATTCATAAGCATGCTCAAAGCGTATTTGTATAGTGTGTACATATATTCCATTGACTTATCCAGTTCTACCTGTATTACTAAATTATGACATTGAAGCAATTTATATCCTGAATGATTAAGCAGATTAAGGATTGCTTGTGCAAAACATACCACATTGTTAGTGATTATCACATGGATTACCAACACAATTCATCTAATGATTTGCTCTATGTGATGAAGATGCTTTAACTTTATTAGGTCATTAGGCATACATTTACATGTACAATAATTAAATACTAGTCTGTATGTTGTTTTCTTGGTGAAAGAGATATTTCTTCTGTCCCAGTGGGAAATGTTTTGAAACCTTGATTGATCAGGTTGGTTTGTTAAATCGTTATGTTACAGCTTACTATTATTGATTACCTTACTGTATAAAGATACATACTGTGTACGGTACATGTAAGAGGATTGACCATGAACTTATCAACTGACCCTTACTTATATGTACATGGACATTTGCTATTAAAGAAGAAAACGTATTAGCATGTAAATGTAATTGAGTGGCAAAAAAACTGGCATGACTATTAGCCCACTCCAAATTAAAATTGATGATATTGCATGGGTCATCAGGTCAAAATCGTTTTACCCATAAGAAAAAAGGGTTGCCTTGGGTCAGCCTAAATATTAGGTTAAAGATTAATAATACCGGTACATTATGTAATGGCTTGGATTATCAAATTACTGTGATGTTGGGGGCCACACATGTACATTGTACTATATTTAACCAACTTAGACTTTGTCACTTACACCAGGAAAGTAAATTACATATTTTAATATAATAAAAATATGTTCAAAAAACTGTGATAGTGTTACATGTATCTAATTATTGACAATCCAAGCACTAATTGCAAGATATTATTTGCAAGAGTTTTCTACTGAATTCTTTGAAAATCACAACATAATCAATACTGCTCCTAAATTTCAACCTACATGTACTTGTATATACTGTAAATGTCTTTATTTGAACCAAAAATCCGTTGCATGTCAACATTAACAATATTTAAAGTAGACATTTCAATTTGTTAAATTTTTAATGAAATAGACTTTCAGTCCATGTACGTTTGTACATGTCATGTGAGAGTAGATTTTCAATAGACACTTATAATGCCCTGTCCCATCCCACTCCAACAAAGAAAAATGCCAAAACAACTGAAGTTGTCTGCACATTAAAATCATGTATGTACATACAGAATATTATATCATTATACATGTCATTGTATATTGACTTATTTTAACTTTAAGGCCTCCTGACGAGAACTCGATGTTTGGCGATAAGTTACCAACTACCTGTACTTCCAGTGACAGTAAGCCATTAAATAAACCAGTTCACAGTGTTGATGATGACAGTCAACCTATTAAATATGGTGAACTGATAGTTCTAGGGTAAGTTATAGTTTATTTCATCATTTATCTGTGATTAAATACTTGTGATTTACAAACTGCATGCATACATAATGTATATATTTCCCCCCCTGTAAGCATAAAGATAAGTGTTAAAAGTTGCTTGAAAGTATTTCCATGCATATAATCCTTTAAGTGGCATTTAGCAATTTAGCACATTTAAAAACAACTTATATGGAAAACAATTACTTGTTTATAGACTAGCACAACGTTTCGACAAGTATTCTCTTATCATTTTTGTGCTGGAAAACGTCAAGAGCATACTTATTTATAAACTAGTGATTGTTTTCCATATAAATTGTGTTGTGTTTTTTTGTATTTCAACGCAGGAAAATATTTTAAGCTTTCCCCTGTCACTTTTCATTGAATCAGTTGAACAGTTATTACCAAACACCAGCCAGGAGATATTGCCATAACTGCCATAATTTTGTTTTCTATTATACATGTGTCTGTCTCCCTTTATAGAAACATACAAAGTTTATTGGTTATTTGTTGAGATACATGATTTGGTGGCTGTTCATGTGCTCAAGGAATTTATCATTGTCCTTTAAGAGGGCTCTAATTTAATTCATTGTTGTCACTTTTAGGTAATAGCATTTAACATTGATGGACGTGATGAGCTTGTTTGAAAGTCATTTCTTTTATTCATTGCTCTAACATTAACAATAAAGAAATTCTGTTATTTGTTCAGATCCATCTCTAGAGATTACTGATATTGATGTTAATACTTTTATTATATCTCCATTTTACATTCTGTTCTATCCCACTGTTGTTTCTATCAACCATACTGTATATGAATTTATTTTATCGTTTGTGTTAGTGGATATATTTATCCAATAAAGATGATAGCCATGGGTTTTGGTTACTCATAACGTTGTGGTGAATTCTTAGTTAAAAAATTACAAGATTAACGCTTACAAATAAAACCAATTATTCATTGATACATGTACATGTATCTGATAAGATGTACGGTACAAAGAACAAACAACTTAGTCTAATTAAAATTATACCAACATTTTGTTCAATATTATTTATTGGATGTAAATGTATGCTCCACTTCATCTTGGTCTAAAAAGTCAATTCTGTATAGAGCATGTTAGTTATGCTCAGATTGTGATTGGTCAATTACATATTATTATCAACCTACCAAACAAAACTAGCAAGCAGAATTGTTTGGTTGATCATTGAGTGATTGTCTGATCAAAGTCAGAGGTATTATTATGCTGCAGTTTTAGATATAATGTAATATATTAATAAAAACACAAAGTACATAAGTATGAAAAATATTTTTTCAGATGCCATACATGTAATTTAAAAAATGAAAGAGTTTAAGGCAGTTGATCTGTCTTTTTTGAAACAATATATTTTCACAGCTTTATGCACAGTAAACTGTATGCATATGAGTTATTTAACATTTAAATTTAATTAAGAAAACAAAATCAAAATATTAACAACAGATAATGTCACAGTTTGGATTCAGTCTAATGAAATAGAGGCCAATCAAAATGTTTTACTAATAATTTGTCACATCTACATGTAGATAAGTACATGTAGATAAGTAGGCTTAGAAAAAAATAAACCTATAGTATATTTAGACTGATAATCCTTTTTGAGATTCAACTTTTACAATGCTGTAGTTTGCGAGGGATTAAAATTCTCTCAAATGTCAGTGTTTTTAAGCTTTAGAAATAACGATTATCAGCTCAAAGTTCAACTCATCAAATTTAATCAAGTTGATATTTTCACTTGTCACAAACCTCAAGGAATCTATGGGTTTTTTTTAATAGAGGTTTCTGATTTTAAGTTGATATAGTTGGTGGTTGTTGGGCAGTGAATCAAGTGATTGTTTAGCCAATATTTGATAGGCTTGTATTGATTATCTTGTTTTAAAATAGTTTCGACCTCAAATCACTTGTTTAATTTACACGAGGTCAACACAACACACAACATGTTTACATGCTCATCATAACTCACTGACTTTAACCAACTCCAGACACATTCACACACGACTTGTCCTCAAGTCCTTCGTTCAACCAACTTGTTTTCTTAAAGAAAAAACAGAACGTACTGGTGCACAGAATTACATGTTTGTTTCTATTCAACTCACTTGTACTTTTGTTTTACCTTAGTTTTATTTTGATTTTAAAGATCAAAGAAAAAAATGTACTTTAACAACATGTGGACTAAAGAGCATAGTTCTTAGACTGACTAATATTCATTTTGTCAGCAAATTAGATGTGATGTCAGTATTTTCTTGACGATTCCAAAATTCCTTAGGATTGTTAAGCAAGGCTTCCCCTTGTGAGTGGTGCAAGGTTACGTATACAAATGATAGCACTTTAAAGATTCCCTGACAATAGGAAATCAGAATAAGAGAAGGCTGTTGTGCCACTGCCTGTGCAAAATGTCCCTCTTTGCACGTGCATGACATATACCCTAAGTCATTAGTCCAGTTAGAGAACACATTTTTTTTACAAGTATATTAGGTTCGAATGTATAAGAATGACCATTTAAAGGTGTCAGAAAAATTTTTTACTTCAAAATTAATGTGACAAAAAACCTTTTTTTGTTTCATTCTGTATATCTACATGTACATTTAATGTACTTATATTAGCAGATCTTGGAACAGCTATTTAAACAATTATACTATAAAGTTAAGTAACAAAAATTGTTGAATGTAGGAATCACGGTCACTTGATTAATATGTTACTGGCTTACTAGCCAGGAGATCGGGGATTCAAACATGGCATCCTCCAAGAAAGAGCCTGCTTTCTACATGTAGATGTTGGAACAAAAAGCAAGGTTCCATTGGCAGCATGTTAAAGATTCCATGTCATTTGGAAATCATAATAAGATTAAAACATAGTGACACTGTCAGGGCAAAATGTCACTTCTAGCACGCTTATGTTGTAAGCCAGTATTCATTGGTTTTGTTGTGCTGAGAAGTAAGGTGTTAACAGTTAAACCCCATTTCATTTCATTTATTTGAACGGAAAGCTGCACATTGATTGAAAATTATGTCATTGTGTTCTGCTTTAGCCAGGTTATTTCAATAATACAAACATTACCAACTGAACAATTTACACAATACATATCCGCTATAATCATTGAAACTGGAAATAAACAGCACACATGCAAACAAAAAAACATTTCTAAACCTGGTTCAAAACTTTCATATCAAATAATGCTATTTAATCCTTTAAATATTCAGCTATGAAAATTAGCCGTGCATTAAATATTTATTCTATGCATTTTAAGTAAATATTTCCATATTTGTGTGGTTGGAAAGAAAAATCAACACGATGTTGTTTAAATCAATTTAATGTTCAAACAATTCCCCCACTTCAAAGGTCTTGTTTAAAGTCTGACAGTGTGCTGTTATGAGGATTATATTGAAAGAAATGAAAAAAAGATGTTTATGAATGATTGATAACTTGTGCCCTGCCTGACATTTAGATTGATTGATGTGATGATGTCTTTTTTATAATTGATACCTGTGATTAAAACAGGCTCCGAATCATGCAATTACAGGTAATTATTATAAAAATAGAGGCAGCAAAATAATCTAGTTCACAAAGGTTGCTGTTTTTGTTTTCTCAATCTGATTAAAATACAGATCTATATTTCGTTTCGTTTTTTTTTATACTTTCGATGGCCTACACTACATGAAGATCTGACAAGTTGTAGCGATAGGTCGCGTCAGAGGTCATACGAGTGGCTTTTGACCCTATGACATCAGACATTTGATTAACCAATCAGCATTGATATTTCTAATGGATTACCCACAGTTCCCCACAAAACATGCCTAAAGCTTGCCGTAACAGACCGTTTCATTGGCTAATCCCTAACACCATCCAGAACACCTCAATGATAACAACTCTTCCAGATCCTAGTGTAGTAAAGACAAGTAAAACAAAATTTTGAACTATAAAAACGAAATGAAATAGGATCTGTGTTTTGATCAGATAGTTGTTTTCTAATCTCCTAAATAAATAGGGTATAGGGCAGTGGTTCTCAACCTTTTTTTGCCACCGGCACACCTGGCTAAATATATGACAAATATTGAATTTTGCAAAATAAAAACATGGCCAGTCATATACTGCATGCAACTGTAGACAGAGACTAGCCATAGACACATAGAATGACTCAAACTAGATAAAGAAAAACACAGCTATGAACTTATCAGTAGACATCAGTAAATACTCAATTAGGATCACATGGTTTTTCGCATTATCTTAGTGTGTCGTTCAAAATTTGGCAGCACATCTAGGAAGATAGTGTGCCGTGGCACACTGGTTGAGAACCACTGGTATAGGGTGTCAAGGCCTAAATGATGCATAGCAGGAACGTTCTTAGAATGGATAAACCAGTGAGGTTTTTTTTGTTTTTTTTTAAAATGTCTTGAATTGAAATCCCCATTTATTAAAATACACCTTTCATTGAAATAAAACATTCATGACCACACTAGTGCTGGCGCAATATATTGTTTAATTGATGTATAGTGATTTACCTTCTCATGATTCGGGTATTGAATCACAAGGTGCAGAATCAATGTTCCCCTATTCTTGTTAATGCTTTTTTGTTGCTTTAGTAAGTGGGGCCTAACCTGTCACTCTGAATTATCCACGTCATACATTATCCATAGGAACACAAACACTCTTAACTTGTTTTGGTCCGTATTTTGATTCACATCACTATTGTGATATAAAACAGTTTTATTTCTTTGACATTAGCAGGACTAAAACTATCAATTATTCATTTATCCCGTTGTTTTCTTGGTAAATATTGACCTGGTTATGAATTGTGATATGAATCGTTAATAATCACCTGAATCACAATACGCATCATATCATGACTGCAGTGGCAATACCCAGCACTAGACCACACCATTGTATTTTCTTTACAAACTTTAGATCTTAGTATGTCGGTGAAATAATAATTTTTAATTAGATTTGATTTACATTATGTAACTATCGTTAAAT